TTTTTTGCAGAGCTGATTTTGGGAATGTCACATTCGTGTTATTGATCGTTGAATTGATCATTTTTCGGTTCCGCATTCTTCAGATGCGTGTTCATATTTATATGTATTGTCGTGAAATTTAAAGGTGATGTAGGTGATAAAATTGTATTTCTTTTTTTTAATTTATTATATATTTCTTTTTTATTTTCCCTCTGAAAATTTGCAACTGCTTAATTTTTTTACTTCGGGAATTTCTGAAAGTCAGTTGCTCATGTTCTTGTATTTTTTATGGGTTCCTCGTGGGTTTTATTTATCCGTTTTATAAGAAAAATCATCTTTCATACTGTGAAGGATGCGTTTTTTAACGACGTCGTTAAAATGTTATTGAGGTGCTGGCAAGTACACGTATTCTCAAGGTACGGGCCGTGAGAACAGGGTTTCTCGAGGAGTTGAATTTCCCCATGATGGGGTTCGGAGGGTTTCTGAGGGAAGACGAACCCTGTGGGAAATGGAAAGAAAAAAAGGGATCGAGAGTAAATGAAAAAATAAAACCGTCGCGGTTGAAGTTGCACGTTGTTTTCCAAGTACTGTACTGTGACCAAGCAAACAAAACAAAAACAGAAGAAAAAAAAAAGTAAGCTGTGAATGTTAATTATCAATATTCTCGGGATTGGGTTACGAACAGCAGAAACCACTTCACTTCTGGTTGAGTGGAGGAAAAGCTCGAAACGATTGACGTATTTTCTGTCTTCCCCTAATTCATTTGGCTCTTCTTCTTCTTTTTTTTTTTGCCCGTTGGTAGTACTGAAAATTGTTTTTACAGAGCCACAAAAGGCGTGGATTCAGTATACCGTGGGTTCTAAATTGCCCCTAATTCGCAGAAAGGCTTTCAGGGATCCCATTAATCAATTTACCCTGTCATTGACTGATGGTTTATCTTTTTGTTCGATTCAGAAATAATTTTTAGTTGAATTAGGTGACTCCGGTTATTTTTAAAAATGTATCTTCTTCTCTACAGCAATAAGTTTTTCAAGAGAACATTTCTGCGTTTCCGCCGTTATAAAGGTAAAATTGACTTTTCGCGGTATGAAAATTTGAACCTGGTCAAGTGTGTAAAACTAGCCAAAAAAAAAATTCCCGGATTAGAGCTTCGATTAAATTCCTTTCAGTCCAACGAAATTCAAAGTTTTTGAACCTCCCAAACTCAAAATGTTCCTGGTCAACCTCGGTTAGTATCATTTTCAAGGCCTTTTCGTTATCAAGTTGGGGAAAATTGCGAGAGGAAAAAAAAACCGCGAATTATTTTTAATGCTCTCTACAAGGGTAAGTAGGAAATCTATTGGAAAAAATTAACTTTCACAATAATTTGACCAGGAAATAATTTTCCATTGATCAACCTACCGACCTGAAGCCATATTTCCCAAACTCGAAAACTCTCATAAATTTAGGTTTTAGAGTCTCGTATAAATTCTACTTGGCAAGATTCTGTTGATCTAAATGCACCAAAAATTGAAGAAGAAAAAAATGTATCACTTGAATATCCTCTATACTTCAGTATACAGTACTTTTTTTGGCTATTTTGCCTAGATTTTCTCGTGACTTATAAATAAAGCTAAGATTGTAAAAAGAGTTCTTCCAGAAAATGAAAATGCTGAAACACGATGAGTCACTGCTCAATATGATAATTTTGTTACATTATAATAAACTCATTGATATGCAAGGAAGATGCTGGGCAAGATTCCCTCATTTTTCGTTCTTTTCAACACGAGTGATCTGATGACTCAAATTGTATCCGTATTAGGTGTCCGTCATTAGCTCATGTTCGAGTACTGTGAGATCTGCAGAAAAAAGAAAGGATTTGAATTAATGTGACTGGGAATGATTTGAAAGAACTTGATTGATTTTAATGGATTTCTGCGCTGATATGCCTTCTATTTTTTATGTACTGTATATACTTTACGTAGCGTCCTTCAAGAAATCCCCGCCCACGTTGTTGATAATTTATCTCCTCTTGACGCAAATTGTCCGCGTGAGTGTATTCGGTAATTTGCTTGCTGTTAAAATATTAAAAAAAAAAAAAAAGAAACGGAAGGATATAGAAGAAGGAATAGCTTCTTGGCCTTTTGTTTTCGCCGCTCACGAAGCTCGGATGGGAAAACGTGACTGGAAATTGAGGGAGAACAAAAATAAATAAATAAAAAAGAGTCTTGATGATGATGTTGATGATGATTGACATGCTCTGTGAACTGACTTGACTGTCTTCCGGTTAACGATTCGGATATCCAGTTGCACTTACTGGCCTTTTTGCTGGTGCGCGTGGGAGGACGGAAGTCGTGCATTTTTTTTTTCGGCGCAATGGGAGAAAGAAAACCCCCCTTTTATCCCCGACAAGGTGTCCCTAAAAAAAATTGAGTTCAACAATTTCAGAATTTTTTTTTATTTACAGTGAACCTCCCTAACTCGAAATATTTTTCTCTCAAACCTCCGTGAGTCGAATTTTCTGAGACCTTTTGTTTATTATTTCCTTGAAATATGAAATCAATAAAACAAATGATTTTATGCATCTTGAAAGGAAGTGAAAGACTAATTGAGCAAATGAACCCCTGCCTCCAAGTTCAGCAAGCTGTAAACTCATGAAGAAGCAAGTTTAGGCCCAGAATATCTTCATCTACAATATCCTACAATTTTTCTTATTTTTCCTCAAAGCAAAAAAAAAATTTTCCTTTACTCAAAACCTCCCTAAGTCAAATTTGTTTCCTACTCCCAGGAAATTCAACTTAGAGAGGTTCAACTGTACAGTATTAGAAAAAGTAAGAGTCTGCTGAATTTTGCAATGAATAATTGTGTTCTTTTATTTCTGACTTGAAGAATTCTTCTAAATGTTCTGAAGAAATGCATCTCTAGTTTCGGCAGACTCATACTTGCGTTTCAGCATGAGATTTGAAGATAGTTTTCGGACACCCTCTACATCTTTCTGTTTAGGCTAACGTAGGGATTAGCGATTGATTGGCATTCACGATTTGCCGACACTAAGTGCAACGCATTGACCTGCACGTGACCTGGCTTTTGAAAAGGGGGGAAAACTCCCCGTTTTTGCTTTACTCTGCTTCAGGAAATGGTCTTGAAAACATGTACAGTATTGAGATGCATTTCGTAAACAGCGTTTCTCTGTATATTCAGTGTCCTTGTGACCGCATTGGGTGATTATTTGACATTTCCTTGAACTCTGGAAATAACTGTTGTCGTAAAAGTGTCTTTGTACTGGGGAAAGATAGCGTGGAGAATTATCGTGTTTCTAAGGAAAATGAAGGATAGTATTTGTATGCATAAATAAACGCGGAATCACTTGTGGGTTTTTTTGCTTGCAATTTTATCAAGTAAGTACATATTTCTCTCGTGCTCATGCAAATGTCACGATTTGCGTTTTAATGCACTAAGAGACGTTTGAGTCACGAACCGTTCGTTTTTTACGCGCATTTAATCACGCTTAATTTTTTTTTTTTTAAGATGGTTTTTTGCGGAAATGTTCTTCATTTTGATGTTTGCAGTTGAAGTACTGCGTACATGCTTGTTTTCAGTACTGTACAAAAGTATAGTTTGAGAATTTTAATTGGCCGAATCTTGAATATTGGTTTCTGAATGTCTTTTTTGATGAGTTTCAGTGTGTATCTGAATCATGAATATTTCTGAAAACTAATAAATTAAATCCAATGAAATGGCGTTTGAGAATTTTCTGTGTCAAAATTGTGTTAAATGCAAAAAGTAAAATCAGGATGCGTCTTTTAATTATTTAAAGGGAGGTTGTTAAACTGTGACATGATTACGGAAGGCTTTTTTTTAATTATGCAGCACAGGAGTATTAATTATGATTCATTGAAATTTTCAGGGCCCTCGGATGGAGGAGCGATTGGACGACGCCATCAATGTGTTGCGAAATCACGCCGAGATCCAAACACTACACTCGCATTTGCCGTCTCATCTGCAGCCGTCGATGCATCCGATGGCCGCCTACGGGCAACAGCCGCCACCGCCGCCACTGGCATCGCACTCGGTACGTGACGGAGGCAATATTTGACCATGGGCCCCTCGGGGTTTTCTCTAAAATTGCGTCTTCCTTTTCTTTTCTGTCTTGTATTCTTGAAAAACCACTACTGTGCTGTACTTGTAAAATAGAATCCAAAATAGAAAATAGAGTTTTCCGTCTGCCTTTCGGGGAAGAATTGAGTAATTTTATTTTTAAAAGATTGGATGTAGAGGGAAAATATGATTATTCTCAGTTGAGTGCAGAAGGTTTATTTCTGGAGTATTCAGAAAAATCCAGTCCAGAAATGTGGACAGCGTTTGCTGAAATTTAGACCTAGTGAAGCTTCAGGCGACACCTATGTGAAAGTAAATGAAAATTCTGCAGTTGCGGACACCTGACGTTGATGAGGGGGGAAATCTTGAATGTATTGTTTTGAGGAAAACGGTGGCATTTATATTCGTTGATTAGGTGTGATATTTCATGGACATTTTACTTGTGTTACATTTTTTGATTTTTTCGGTGAACAAGGTTGAAGAAAGGAAGTGTTTGATGTGTTAGTATTTGGAATTCGAAAATGTATTTTGATTTATTATTTTTTCTTGGAGCAGCTGGTGACGTTGCAGAGCCCACATGTGGGAGTGGATCCCACAAAGGCGACTGGCCACACGACCTATGGTGCTGTTCCTGTGCCCGAATTGCAGCCCAGCCACGAACCAGCACCTCCGACTACCAGTAAGTTTTCCATCCCCTGTTTCTCGCCTACTTAGTCATTTTTCTTCAGCTGTTCTAATTTTTTTCCATCATGAACAATTAAAAATCGTTTTTTATTTCATATTTTAGAAGCAATCAATAGGTTCATATATGGCAATTTCCGCAAATTTATCGCATTTTTCAGCTGGTCTCGTCTCTTGTTTTAAATGTTTCCATTGTGGAATTTCGGATGGATGAAAAAGGCGTTCTTAAATGACTTTTTTTTTTTGCAGAGAAACGGAAAGAGAGAGCCGGCGACTCTGGGGTGGACATCAAGGTTGACCTGGTGACGAGTCCCGTGTCGTCGTCGGGGGCCATGGGAGCGAGTGGCGGCACTCAGCCGAGGACCAAGCGATCCCGAAGGTGCGTCTCGTCACTGTGTCCTGACATATCGACGCGGATGTTTTTTTTTTTTTTTACTATTGAAGCTCTAATGCGAAAAAATATATATATTTGATGCCGTAATTTCTGAAAACACGAGTAATAATTAATGAAAGCATTTCCTTAAACAACGCTTCGAATTTGGGCTTGGATTTATTTTTGACAAAGAAGAATATTGAGACAACGCTTCAAATTTTAGAATGGAATTGTTCTGAATTCAACATTAAAGAAGGAAATTTTGAGTTTAAAATTTGTTGTATTCTGACATGTACAGTATTTCAATCTGAAATTTTTTGTTGAGCTGAGAAATTCTCGTGTTTCTAACGCAGTATTTTTAATTTCCGATAAGAATTTGTGTTCATTAACTCATTCGAAATTAGAAGTACATATATTTTAAAGCCCTTCGCTTTAATATGTTAAGTCCTGAGGCCTCAGTGCGGAATAGAAACATTGTGCTGATGATGATTATGATGTTGCTTGCCCTGTGTAAATAACGCCAACGAGGCTTTGTGGTATTTTTTTCTCTCCCCGTTTTCGTTATTGATTTCCCTGGCTGCCTTTCCGATGATGCTGATGATGATGATGACGACCGATCAGCAGGAATAACCAACACGATCCTTTCGATTTGATTCCTAGGACTGAGGATGAAGATGAGGAGCCCGGGACCAAGTTTGTGCGCGAGAAAGAGCGCAGACAGGCGAACAATGCCCGTGAAAGGTCATTTTTATTAATATTAATACAGTATTAATTTATGCACATGTTCAAGTATTTATTTCTTTAATGATGCTGAACACATTTTTCTCAATTAGTGGGGGGATTCTGAGTGTCGTTTTTGCGCTTTGACTCGTATCCGAATGCTTTTGAAGATAATTTTCAATCAATGATGTTAGTGTTGGCGAAAATGTAGATTCTTTGAGATGTGCTCAAATCTTAAGAGACGTTCAATCGAAAAATATTCTCTTAAATGGTGAAATGAAGGCATGTTTCAAGTTTTGCTATTGATTGTGGGTTTTAAGATTGCGATGTAATAATTTGTGTACTTTTAGATATATGCCAAAGCTTTTAAATCATCCCTTGAGTTTTAATGATGCTGAGCACATTTTTCTCAACTTTTGGGATATTCTGAGTGTTCTTTTTTTTTTGGCACTTCAACTCGTATCTGAATGCTTTTGAAGATAATTTTCAAGCTCTGACGTGAACGTTCGCGAAAATGGACTTCTTCGAGATGTGCTCATATCCTAGGGAATGTTCAATCGAAAACTATTGTTATAAATGTTGGAACAGATGCGTGTTTCAAGTCTTATTTTTGATTGTGGTTTTTAGGTTTGTGGTGTAATAATTTATGTACTCAAATTTCGAAGTACTGACGAAGCTTTTAAATCATCTCTTGTGCTTTGGTGGAACGATCTTTTAAAGTTCTAAGAAAATATACGTGCCGAATTTCACAGCTTTTCGTCACATTTTTCTGCAGTCGGGAGAGTTGTATCGACGTATTTCCTGTTTTATTTTTTTTTAGCGAAAGGGGATGATTGACAATGATTATGATTGATTTAATTTTTTTGCAGAATAAGGATTCGGGATATCAACGAGGCGCTGAAGGAGTTGGGACGGATGTGCATGACGCACCTCAAGTCGGACAAGCCGCAGACGAAGCTGGGCATTCTCAACATGGCTGTAGAGGTCATCATGGGGCTCGAGCAGCAAGTCCGGGGTCAGTGTTTGCCCCGGTCATTTATTTATGTTTTTGTAATTTGCAATGAGTTGTCGTGAATTTGGCGATAGGAGAAATGGCCTTGGATTAACCTTGCTTCCTCGAGGGATAAATTCCACAGACATGGTTATCTTTTTTTTTTTGGATCAATTAGGAAACTTCTCTTGTTTGCGACGCAATTTAATTCGATTCAATTTTTTGAGGATTTGTGTATTCCGTTAACAAGTCAAGATAATCAAGGATTTTAGCCCTTTCTACCCTGAGTATGAAAATGCAAGAGACGAATTGATTGATCGCCTTCTACGGGGGATTTTAGATCTTTTTTTTTTTTACATTGTTAATAGTCTCTAAAGCTGCCATGAATTCGACCTGTGAATCAAAAATGCCCAAATGTTTGAACAATTTTCTTGAGAGAAAAAGTCAAGTCTTTTTGATACAATCAAACCTCTATAAGTCGAAATAAAAATTACTTTACCAGCAAATATTCGATTTAAGAAAACAAGCGTTTTTGTTTCGAAAATAGTCAAAGACAGCAGAATTACGGGAAGTTGTACAATGGGATATTCTGGGCCTTGAATTGCTTCTTAAATGAGTATCACATCCAGCTACAGTTTTTAATGCTTCTTCTCTCTTCTACGTATCTCAATAAAGTAATAGTCTAAATTCGAGTTGTAGAGGTTTGAGACGAAATATCTTCGGGTTAGTCGCAATTTTTTTGTGGGGGAATTTCAGGCAGGGACTTTTTAAAAATTTTGGATATTTCTTCAGTTGATTTCAACTCAATGGGGCTTGAGCTTAAAAGATATTTTTGATGTGTTTCCAGAGCGAAACCTGAACCCGAAAGCCGCGTGCCTCAAGAGACGGGAGGAAGAAAAGGCGGAGGAGCCAAAGATGCACCATTTAGGTGGGCCGCCCGTCGCCATGCCGCCCTTCCAGTCCCAACTGGTGAGTCTCTTTTGTTCCCTTTTTCCTTTCTGAAAACAGTTGAATAACTATACAAGTAAAATCTTGTTGCAACAAATACCATTATAACAAGAATTTCAGTATGACAAACTTTTTTCCAAGTCCCAGCGGAAATCCTATAAGGCACATGTTTTAAAAATCTCATTGCAACAAACTCACCAATTCCAGTGTAACAAACTTTAATGAGGAACATGTTGTAATATCTTGATAAAAAATCCCCGATGAAGGGAGGCCGCAGTCTCAAATTTTCCATTCAAAATGTGACTGTGACTGGTTTTTGACACATGAGGTGGAATCGAAGACAAAAATTCTTCAAAATTCCCCAGAGCAACCTATTTTTTCCCAAAAAAAATGTTCCTGGGTTAGGAAAGATTGGGGGGATTAACCTGGCAAAACTCATGTTGAAAAGGGTTTATTCGAGAGAAAAAGCCGTGTCATTCTAATTTGGGATGTTTTTTTTTTTTTTTTCACTGTCCAGGGCCCGGGTATGGCGGCAGCATTACCTCACGGTCCACCCCAGCAACAGTGATCGTCAACGAACTTCCGCCTCCACGACGGGAAAATCAACTTGAGAGAATGAATGTGAGAAAGATTTGAAAGAGAGATTTGCGAGAAGTCCGGGCTTGAAGAAGACGAAGAAAGACGATTTGTTGATCGGAACTGAGCATCATCAGGAGAAAAGGAAGAAGACGGATCGAGTGCATGTGTGTGCTCACGATGACGGAAGCCTGCGTCTTGGCTTTTTTTTTGTGTCTTGGTGCATCAAGAAAAGGCCTCCTTCGACAAGAAAGAAGAGAAAAAACAAAAAGTGGATTTTTTCGTGGTTCTTTTGCGTTTGTTTGTTTGTTTGTTTGAATGTGAAGCGAAGAAATCGACGTTGGACTTGAAAAGAAGATGCCGTGTGAGAGAGTGAGAGGTTGAAGTTGGCTTCAGAAAAAGTGGTAAAAAGAAAATGTGGAATTTTGAGAGAGAAAAGACGAAGAAGAAGAAGAAAAGTGTGGGCGACGTTTTATTGGCGCGCGAAAGCCAGTCCGGTCGGTTGCTCCAGTTGAAAATCTTATTTTGTTTGTTGTTTTTACGGACTTCGTGCTCCGAAATTTGCGGGGGAAAAGAAATGGTTGACGGGGAGGGGGGGTTTAAAAGAAAACAAATATGATGTGTGTAATCTTGTTCCTGGGCCGTGATTTCCGTTCCTGAGTTTTTATTACTATTATTATTATTATCGCGTTGGTAAGCCCGCTATTTCCTCCCCTTTTTTGTTGCGCCTGAATTATGTCCGATTTGCGAGAATTGGTTGAGCAGTTAGTTGAGACTCTTTTGTGTCTGACAATTCTCGCTTTGAAATATCTGCTGAATGTTTTCAAGACAGCCCCTTTATTCTTATAGACTCGGGTCTATTCTGATCGTTCTCTGTTAATTTTCAGGTAATCCTTAGACGGAAGGATTTTCTGAGCAATTTTTGTCAGGGTAAGTTTTCTTTTTCCATTCGAGTTTCTATGAATCTATCACTTTTTTGAGTACGTGGTAAGTATTCATTCTAATAGTCGCGGTTTTCTTAGAGCATCAATGAGAATATGGTTTCAGATTCAGAAACTTTGTTGGATTAGTGTAGCTTTGTGTTCAGGGGGAAACCCGAAGGTCTGAGCAATCAACATGCAAATCTCATTGTTTTGTTTTTTTTAGGGAAACTTTGATCTATCACTTACTGAAGCTTTTCACAGATTCGAGTCTGAACTAACTGCTCAGGAACGTGTCATAATTCAGATGTGCCCACAAGATTCCGAGGGAAATAAATTCGCAATACGAAGGACGATGGAAGGAAAGAAAAAGAAAATAAGCGGAGGGGGGAAAAAAGAATTTGAGCGAAAGAAATTAAAAGAGGAGGCTAAAAAAATATACTTTTCTATGTTGACAGTGTGCGGGGGAGGGGGGAAAGAAATTTTTTTGAGAATCGACGGCGGGTTTTTTCTCAGTGTGGCGCTTAGATGTCGCCTCTGGTTGTTTTCCATCACTGCTCTCTGTGGACAGTCTTGCCAACGCGGAACAGTTTTCTCATATTTTTCATTTTTGCTGATCCGATTTTAATCGTGCACGATGTGATCGAGCAGTGCAGTGTTCCGACTTGATTTTTTTTGCCCATTTGTGTGTGTGCGTGTTTCTTTCTTTCCTACTCTTTTGCGAGGGGTTTCTCAAAAGTCCTACGATTTACCATCCAAATTTGTACTTCGCCTTTCTCTTTCAATTTTTGGGTAAGAAGAAAGCAAACATCCGTTGATGAAATGAGTAAGTTGCGGTACTATTGACGATTAATTGAGGTTTTGTTAATGATAGCCATTGATAATCATCTGAGATTTTAAAAAAATTATTCCTTAGTATGGCATCTCAGAACACTTCTTAGTTCTCAGTCCAATTGTGGTATCTGAAGCTATCAATTTTGAAGTTTTTGAAGCAAATAGCAGTTGAAATTATTCATGCTTTTGTCAATGAATTATGGAAGAATGAGATCCTTGTTTCTTTCCTCTAAGAAATAATCTCAGTGCACAAAAATGAATTTTTAAATTGATGAGTCAAAATAATAAATGAGTTCGAATTTTTCGTAAGATGAGTACTCGTGTGTCATCAATTCTCATATACTTCTTGTGTGGGACAATTTGAAGACATTTGAGAAATCCCTTGTGTTCTGTCTCTGATGGGTTGGGTTGTTCTGGTGTGCAGAAGGGAAAAAAACGAAGAACTTGTCTCAAAAGGGTTTGTGTTTGTCGCGAGAATTCCGCTCAAAAACAGTTTACATGTTTTCAAAGTGTCATTTGTCATGCTGTTTCTCCTCTCTCTCTCTCTCCTCCTCCTTCCTCCGCGTATTTTGCATATCAGCAAGAAAGTTGTTCCAGTCCCCCTCCCGTGTTTTAGTTTTTTTTTTGCGTTTCCTGTCCCCCGTGTTTTTTTTTCGCTGGATTCGTATATCAAGAAAAGCGGCATATCGGAAACGTTGTCCCCGAGAAAGGAAGTTTTTTGTCTCGTTGTTTAGGCATTTTCCCCCTTTTTTTGATGTTGAGTTGATGATAGGGTTTATTATTACATTTAGGTATTCTTGTTTTATTTTTCTTCTTCTTCTGTGAGTTTTGGGAGATTATTTTCCGTTTCCTTGCCTGCTGACGATCTCGGAAGGGTTTGGTTTTTACATTGGAATTACGATTCTTCCCTCTTTGGACTTGTGTCGGTTGTAGTAGACCGGGAGCGCCCTCTTTATTTATTGATAGCTGTTTCTTCCCCATATTCTGGTTCCCTGTTTTTTTTTTTTGACCGGGGATTTTGGTAATGCATTTTTTGACCCCCAAACGCGCCTGTTTCCTCCGAATCTCTTGGAATTTTGTCAAATATTGTTGCTTTTGTCAAATTTATTTTATCCTGTCTGTGCGGAATGTGTATCACCTTCCATTTGACATGTTCTCCCAGCTCTTGCCTCGATTTAAGTCATTGTACACAGCGCAGGATTAAAAAAATAAAGGAAAATTGTGCCATTTTACGTGCGTTATTTCATTTCTGATATTGGTGCAAACCTGAGTTGATTGCTGTACTGATGTATACAGTACATGGACGAAGTCAGCATGCACTGAAAATTTCAGCATTTTATGATGTACAGTAAAATCTTGTCACAATTGCCGTAAGTCATTTTGGAATCTAGAATCTTTGAGGAGAGATTTTTAATAAGAATAGTGTGTAGCAGTCCTGTGAAGAATTTCAAATAACAATGTGGATTCACTGTATTAGTAGGCAGCAGCATGTGATGAACTAATCTTATTTTGCAGAAACAAGATGCCATCTTTCATTCTATCCTGAACATGTGTAGATTGTGATTATGAAAACTTCATGATCATAGTATTTAATGAGCAGTTCATGAGCCATTGTGGCCATACACTGTACATGGGGTTACAAGCTCTATATCTTGAAAATTCATATTGATACTTCTGGAAAGCTCTCCAGTGTACATCTGGTTTCCGTAGTGTAGTGGTTATCACGTGCGCCTCACACGCGCAAGGTCCCCGGTTCGACCCCGGGCGGAAACATTTTTTATTTATCCTCCCTGAACTTTAATTTGCATTGCGATAATTTGGAATTTATTTTGTTCTTAACAGGGAGCTTTGTTGTTCCTGCCAGTTAATCGAATTAATCGGTATCTTGTCGATTACGCCTCGAAAAAAAAGACGCTCAGAAGGTGGAATCGAACCACTGCGACGTTAGTCACCTACAGGTTTGAAGCCTGCACTCCGGACCACCGAAGTTCATCTGAGCACCGATCAACAAGAAAATGTGAGTATATAAACAAAGCGTTTTGCTATCATGATTCCTGATGTTCATGAAAGAGCAGGATGTCAAAGTAGTATAGCGCAGTACAGTACCTATAATTGCTGATGCAAACAATCCGACCAACGTAAACAGCATCGCTTTGATCCTCATCGGCATCATGATGACTTCGCTGCATATACCGATGGCAATTTATGTATATATTCAAGCGTTGTTCTATATCATTGCTGCACGATTCAATTCCAATGCTGTTGCTGCTAGGGAATATTTGAAAATTATTTTTCTACGCTGAAGTTCCTAGACTTTCTATTTTTTCAGATTTTTCCTGAATGATGAAAAAAAACTTTCCCATTAAGTATACCTACTGCATGTACTCTTGAGTACGTGTACTGAAAATTTGTCAAATGATAAAGACACTCGAAAATTTTAAAGAATTTTTCGTGTGTTAATGCAGATCGTCTTTTTCGTCGCATCTTTTTGTAACGTTTTCACCTTTTTGGTTCCTTATTTTGTTCACACAAAAAGTGAAAAACTGTTGGTGGCGTTGTGAAAGTGTATAAAGCGGGTTCATTTCTACCTTCAGAATTTTTTTTTTAGAAAATGTTCAAAATTGGTCTAGTCCATATAGACTTTATTGACAGTTGCTCCGTATTCCACATATAATCAAGCAGTATTTTCCGCAACGCAATTGTCTCATTATTTCTGCTGCTGGATGTGGGTTGAAAACCATGCCAATAAACCATCCTGCTGTGCGATATACAAGAATAACATAATTTTGTGACAAGAGATTTATTTTTTTTATGCATCGGATTATGGTGATGACGACGTTGAACTTTCGGCTTTAATTATGTTTTTCCCTCCAATGTAAGACATGGCCCCATTGAATCCAAATGCATCCTGAGGTGAGGGTTCTTTCATGCGGCGCCATCTTGGATTGTTGATTGAAGGTTCCCTGCTGCTGATGATGATGGCCTCATCATCATGATGCTGCTGCTGAAGCAAAGAGTCCCCATGATGGCCTCCAGCATGACCATGACCCATAAAGTATTTGGCATGTGCTGGCTTTGCAACAGCTGAATTTGAGTGGCCATCATACCTCCTCCTTTTCATCATAACGTGATGAAGAAACAATAATTATAAATACTGTATATATATATAATTAAGCTCTCAACTTTGTATTGTTCAAATAAATTGCTTATTTTGATTAGAAATCAGTCTTCATTGCACAACCTGCATATTATTGTGAAGAATCACTGATGCTCTATTTTTATTCCCTCTTCATCTTTACATATTTTATATCTGCTATATAATTGGATGTGTGCACAAATTTCTTTTATTCACTTGTGTAGTGTTTTCAGCATTCTTTGTGAATTGCGTCATTTCTTTGCCATCAAATTACACAAAAAATTGTTCTAAAAGAACTAGGAACATATATTTGAGGCTGTGTTCCTTTGCATAACTGTACATGTTTGCATTGACAATCAGCTGATATTATATTTTATTTGTTCCACAGCATCTTTTTGTCATGTGTTCTTTGGTTGGGCTCTCTTACTGCTGCCCAACAAGAGGATACAGTATAATAGTTACTGTGCTCACAATTTACTGAATAAAACAAGTATAATAATTACTGTACACTATACTGTATTACATGTCTATGGTTTTTTAAAGTTATATTCAATTTATATATAGTAATTTGTAATCATATCAAAGGCATTCAGAAGTACATTAAAGTTGCAATTATATGAAACTTTTTGTGAATTCAGAAACATTTGTAATCCTAAAAGTGTTGGTGAATTGACATATTCTCTGAAAAACAACAGAACAATAAATTTTTATGTGAAATTGGCAGGTTGCATATTTGGAGAAAACGTTTTTGACAAAACCCAGAATATAGTGAATTATAAATCATGATATGCAGATGGGAACAATTATTCCAAAGAAATATGTGACTAAAATGTTTTTAAAGATGCTCAACCCCCTTTTTCCCTGATACAGTATAAACTTGCTTGTTGGAAATCTGCAATCCACAGCACTTTCAAAAACAACACTTTTAAATTGAGTTGAAAACCTCTTTTTGAGAACTTTTTCAGCTGACTTCATGCATTGAAGCTGGACTCCACACCTTTTCATGGTATACTGAGAAAGTCCTCAATTTTTCCTTATTTTGATAAACAGAAGATCAAAATATAACTACAGTGAGACCCACGCATGCGGACGCCTTGACCTGCAGACAATTCGACATAGGGACACTTATTTTCCCAGAAAAAATCAATAAATAAGGCCCAACATGAGGACCCTGACTCAACATAGGGACATTTTGTGATAAAATTGCAAATACATTTCAGGCCAAATTACAAGAAACAGATATTTCCAACCCTAAAATTTATGTAAGAAAAGTTCTTGGGCATTTCTGTCACAAAATTACCATCCATTTAGCTAATTTAAAAAAAATTACCTCCAGCATAGAGGGACTTCTACTTTGTTTTCACTTGAATGTCATTTTTGTAGATATCAAAATTTCAGTGTACAGTACAGAGATACACTATTCAATGCTTCAAATGTTCTTATTGAGCTGAAAATGTATTCACCAATTCAAATTCAAGTGGCAAACAATTTTTTTTCAGGGAATTCTGAAGAATATTTCTTCCATAAAACACCAATTAAAAATTATATAATTTAAGTCTACGGAAAAACAAGACTTGACTTAGGGACATTTTGACTTGGGGACACTCTTTATGCACCAATTACGTCCGGATCTTGGGGTCTCACTGTAATGTACAGTATATACTGTATATATATACAGTACATATATACTGTATATAGGATGACATGCTCACAAATTGTTATGGTTCCTTCCATGATCCTGCTTCAGATGAATGCCTCTCCTTTTGGCTTCTGTTGCTGATGATGGGCCAATGGATTGAGTATAATGATAAGGATAAGGATGATGGCGTCGAGAATGACCCTCGTTGTCTGATGAGCCACTCATTATTCTGCCAGAACTTCCCATCATCACTGCTGCTGGTGATTCTGGTACTTTTGCATCAGGAATTGATTGCTGTAGATCGGGCCAGTTGGAAAAACTCCTGATGTCGGATGGAATAAGGTTCCTGATGATCCCTTCCTGCGGCTGTCCATTTCCCCATTCGTTCATTTGCACTTTGAATAATAAATGTTTAGATACAGTATGAAGTTCAGAGAATTATAGACAACATTTTTAAAGAAAGTCAGTAATATATTTTTTGCTTACCAGCAGTCAAGTGAGCACTGAATAAAACAATCAGGCAGGCAATTTTAACTAGGGTTGGCATCGGATGGAGCAGATTTCTACCAACCATTATTGATTCTGAAATAATCCTTTGTGGTCATGGATTGAAATATGTGAAAATGAGTTCGAAAAATAGACTATATTTCCCAGTGTGTCTCAAAATGGCCATTTACACAAAACAGCACACCAAAATGTATAAATATACTGTCTCTCAAATTAAAATTTCCCAGAAATCTAATTTTAAATTATTTTTGCACTTTTAGTGGGATTATTGCCTTATCTATCCCTCCTCAGCAAAGGAGTGAATTTCAGAGGGTTTATATTGCTTTACACTTGCCAGGATTCCTGGAGTTCCTATAATACAGTCAACCCCCATCTAACGGACTTGATTTGTGCAAGGGACGAGTCTGTTAGACAAAAAGTCCTTTACACGAATTCAATTACATAAAAAATTAAAAATTTCAATTTTCAGCACTAATTTTAAACCAAAAGAAGTCTGTTCGGCGGATTTTGTCTGTTGGGCGGGAATAACAATTTCAATTTTCAACACTAATTTTAAACCAAGAGAAGTCTGTTTGGCGGATTTTGTCAGTTGGGCAGGAGGGAAAACTGCTTGCAGAGCTGGTCTGTTTGGCAGAAATCCCTTACACGGGAGGTCTGTTAGGCGGGGGGCCACTGTATATTGTACTGCAATACCTGGATGAAAGTATACTTACTATACACAGGTAATAACTTGGCAAAAACTGTACAAAAATTTTTATAGATGGTGAAGATGTCAAGGATAAATAAAATATTGTTAAAATGGAACTTGAGAAAATTTGTTCTTCATAGCCCAACTAATGTTGGCATTAATTAGTTTTGTCATGTTGGGTCCCCATTTTGTAAATTAAAAACTGAATTCCCATCACCAGATATCTTTTAATTTTTAAAATATATAATTTTGAAGAAAAGCTCCATGGGAAATTTTTAAGAAGAGCAAAATAATGCAACTTGGACATATTTCTGGCCTTTTCTTCTGATTTCTTTTGAGCACTGTGCTGTTTTTGGTATTCCACATTAAAAAGCTGGACTAAACTTCAAAGTTGACATATTCACTTCTCTGTTTTTCCACTGACTGAAATTTAAAGCAACTTTTAAAAACTTTTAAATTTTCTTCCATTTCTTCATTTTTAACTTCCCTGCACAAAGAAAAAAATCATGAGAAGAGCTTTTCTGCACATCTGCTCTTCATTGATCCCCCAGCACTGATTTGATTTAACAACAGCACATTTTTATGGCAAATTCTATCCACTGAAGATCCAGCATTTTCAATGTCAGCATGCTGCAGAAACTCANTGTTTGGCAAAAATCCCTTACACGGGAGGTCTGTTAGGCGGGGGGCCACTGTATATTGTACTGCAATACCTGGATGAAAGTATACTTACTATACACAGGTAATAACTTGGCAAAAACTGTACAAACATTTTTATAGATGGTGAGGATGTCAAGGATAAATAAAATATTGTTAAAATGGAACTTGAGAAAATTTGTTCTTCATAGCCCAACTAATGTTGGCATTGATTAGTTTTGTCATGTTGGGTCCCCATTTTGTAAATTAAAAACTGAATTCCCATCACCAGATATCTTTTAATTTTTAAATTATATAATTTTGAAGAAAAGCTCCATGGGAAATTTTCAAGAAGAGCAAAATAATGCAACTTGCTGGACATATTTCTAGCCTTTTCTTCTGATTTCTTTTGAGCACTGTGCTGTTTTTGGTATTCCACATTAAAATGCTTGACTAAACTTCAAAGTTGACATATATTCACTTTTCTGTTTTCACACTGACTGAAATTTAAAGCAACCTTTAAAAAATTTTCAATTTTCTTCCATTTCTTCATTTTTAACTTCCCTGCACAAAGAAAAAAATACTCTTCTCGAAAAGACGTGTAGACGAGAAGTAACTAGGGGGTCGTGACTAAACTAAATTGTTGTCGTGTAAAAATACCGTTTAAGATAGGTGACTTCTAGGTCGTAAAAGTTACAGTCGTACGACCAGAAACTCAATTAGTTTAAGAAGATAAGATGAAGCAGCAAAGGCTAAGATTTCTTCAGAAGTGTGAGAAGTTTGAATTTAGTTGGAAAATGCCATTTGTATAGCACAAATATTCAAACTAAATAGTGGATGGGAGAATTGGCAAGAAGTGCTAGTCATGAATATATTCTTGTAATCTCATGTACATGCTTAGTTCCCTCTGTGAGAATTTCAGTTATGTATAGTGATATCCTCAATGTAAATGAAGTTGAACCTCTCTCAGTCAAATTTCAAGGGACCAGCAAAGAACATTTACTTGGGGAGGTTTTGATTTACATCCATTTGACTTATGAGATCAAGCACTTTTATTGTGGGAAACGTTGAAAAATTGCACTAAATTTCTTTGTGATATTCTTGGCCTCAAATTGCTTCTAAAATGAGTTGAAAGGGTGCTGAATTCACTTGCCAAATTTAGTCTGTCACATCCTTTCAAAGCACATCAAATTTAATATTTCACTGTGTTTTTCTCTCCTGTTTCAATAATACTGTATCATAGGCAAAAGGCCTAAAAATTGACTTATGGAGATTCCAGAGGAAAAGCCTTGGAGTTAGGGAGGTTTCAATGCATTCTTCCTTAGGGAATTTGGACAGGGCTTTGACTTAGCAAGGCTCAACTGTATTACCCATCCAGCACTATATTCTCATTTATTGAACACCATTTCAGGGCAACTGTTCAATTGACAGAAATTCAGACCTCGGAAAATGAAGTTTTGAGTTTAAGTGCAGAAATGCCTTTTGTTAGCATGAGTGATTTCCATAGTGTAAAATTTACTACGAAGTACAGTACAGTGCTGGCATTCAACTTGAAAGATTTTTCCTTGCCTTAAAAATATTCTACTGTGCTATTCCATAGTTTGAATAAAGAATCGCCCTTTCATCATAGACTTACACATGTTTCCCATGAAAGTTCAATTAATGAATCAATCAAATCAAAAATTACCATGATTGAAAGTACAGTGGGCCCCCGACTTACGACGGGCCCATGTTACGTCGATTTCAACTTACGACGATTTTTTTTTATTAAAAAAACCCTGACTTACGTCAGGGTTTCATGATACGACAGCTTCTGAGGTTCTTCAGCTCCCTCCCACCAACCGTTTTTTTTGTGCCATGCNTTGAACACCATTTCAGGGCAACTGTTCAATTGACAGAAATTCAGACCTCGGAAAATGAAGTTTTGAGTTTAAGTGCAGAAATGCCTTTTGTTAGCATGAGTGATTTCCATAGTGTAAAATTTACTACAAAGTACAGTACAGTGCTGGCATTCAACTTTAAAGATTTTTCCTTGCCTTAAAAATATTCTACTGTGCTATTCCATAGTTTGAATAAAGAATCGCCCTTTCATCATAGACTTACACATGTTTCCCATGAAAGTTCAATTAATGAATCAATCAAATAAAAAATTACTATGATTGAAAGTACTGTACAGTATTACGCTGAAAAATAGTATTCCTTCAAATTGGGACCGATCATACCCAGATACCAAGTTAGGAGTACACCTAAATCAGAGTATGACTTGCATGTTTTTTTGAGCAATAATGCAATGTACAGTAATTCTGTATTTTTTCGGGGGTTTCAAAAATTTTATGGATTTAGGTGCTGTTTTTCTGTTGAGAAAAACTGCTCGACGTTTTTCAATCCCCAATGATGTACAGTACTACGCATTTAAGCTACAAGGCATACATTTATTTAAATTTCGTTCAATGGTTTTTTTTTTCATGTGATGGCACTGAAGTCTGCTGACCTTGTCATGGTTTATATATTGATCTCATCTGGGCTCTCCCTGACGAGATAAATTGTGTCAACACATGTCAAGTACTGTACTGTCTTCCAGTCCTTGATAAAATATCCCCAATACCACAGCTCATCACACTCAGCCCAAAGTCGCATAAGATTGATTCAGTACAGTACTTTCAAGACTCCCATCATCATCAATTCCTCACGACATTCCACGGCGAAAGAGTGACGCCAGAGACCCGAGGAATTCTTCCTCCTTCCGCAAGTGCGAGAGAAAGAGAAAACAAATCATGCAGCTCCTTCTAGGAAAACAAAATATCTTCATTCCAGAACATCAGTCCCTGAGAAGCACTGCCACTCTGAGAAAACATGTTTAGGCACGGCGGAACAGCAATGTTTCGCATTGAAAAAAAAAAAGCTTTCCAGATCCTTTCGTCTCTATGCTGACTGAAACACACACACACTAATACTTACTAATTGTAACGCCAAAAAAAGCTTCTCGTCAATCCACAACGACGGTAATTAAATTCCCAAGCACGTTACTTTCGTTAGTAACACAGGAAAAGAAAATTTACATCGTCCTCCTGCAGGAGCAGCAGCAAAAAGTTACCTCATGGAACACAATGAATTAATTGCCGTCGAACAAAAAAAAAGCGAACACAGGAAAATTACTCGCGAGACGAAACATTCTCAATTTTTTTTTTTCCCAGACGACGCGTGGATGCGCCGCAAAAAAAAAAAACCTCACTCGCCAACTTTCCGGTTCCGTCTTCGCTTCAGATCTTCGTTATTTTTCTTTTCTTCGTCGTTTTCGTCGTCGTCATCTTCATCCCCGTCGTAATCGTCTTGCGGAAGCGACAGGAACAACTTCTGGGCTTGCACAGTTGTTATGTCTGAAATTCAAGCTTCCGTTAGCATTTTCGCAACAACAAAAGAAAAATTCAAATTTTTTCAATGTGACTGCCACGACTCTGAATTATTATTTTTTCAAAACAACATAGACATTACTTTAATTAAGCTTTAGTGAATTGAGAATTTATTCAAATATTTCACCTCTTCAAAAATGTGCTCGCAGATAATCAAGTTGCATTTTAGAAAAATCAAGGCTATTTCTCCATTGCTTGCGCAAATGTGATGAAAGTAACAAATGAGTCGGCTCATTTGAAAAATTGCGTAGAACAACCGACGAGATGTACATTTACTTCAAAATAATTACTGCACTCGCGAAATAAATCCGCATAAATTTTTCTGACGTAAGACCCTCAACTCTCTAGACACATTCCAGAAATGATGAAAATAAAAAACAAACCAAAGAGCTTCAAGTAATTACCATGGAATCGTTTGATGCACTGGGGTTTCGAGCGCCACAAAACAGCAAAGCAGTAAATCGGGATCCCGAGGGAAGTGATCAGAACAGCAACTCCAACCTCTTCCACTCTCTCAACCACCGGGAAGATCACCAGGAAGAGGCAAATCACCAAGAAGAAAATCGGGATGGGTAAGAAAACCTTGACAAAAAAAAAACAAAGAAGAAAACAATCATAAATTCATCCATCAACACTGGCGATGTCAATCAGAGACACTCATCACTCATGGCTCCGCTGGATTTTGACGCTACGCAACGCAGCACACACATACAATCACTGTCTACTTTGACGGATACTTCCACGCATAATTAATCGTGTCAACCCGACAGTTTCAGAAACTCTTCGTATCAAATTTTATAACAATTCTCAAAGCATAAGAACGCGATCAAATTCAACTTATCCCATACAATACTGTACTTTCAGTCCAAAAAAAAAAAATTATATGAACTTGTCATCGAGGAAATTTATATTTTCTCAGTCAAGATAAATTTTCAACGACATAAAAATCAAACTTTTCTTTAACATACGGGAGAAATAATCTCGTTGGAGATGCTTCGAAGAAACTTCAGACCCCTTTTGACATCCTTCACACACACACTTGTCACTTTTACGAAAACCTATAGATTGACACTTAATCTCGGTGATTGGCTTCCCAGCATGTCGATGCACAGGCTAATTTCAGAGAGAAGCAACTCATTTTGACAGGTCGAGGAAAACAAAAGTTACATAAACTTGATACATAATTGTTATCCAAAAAAAACGTAATAATCCTCGGTCCAAAGAATTTTTTACTACCTCAAAAATCGAGCTTTTTTCATGAACACAAAAGTAAACAATATCGTTGAACAAGCTTAAAAGAAGCCTCAATCGACATTTTCGCAAAAGCTTCCGGATTGACACGTAATCTCGTTTGAAATATATCCACGTGCCAATTTCGGAACTAAGCAAACCCACCTTGACAGGCCGATGAGCATCCGGTTTCTTCCAGCGGAAGTACAACAATCCCATGATTGACAAACAGATGAAACTCGACTCCACAAACGCTGCGTAGTCGATCAAACGACTCACTTGGCTCGTTGACAGGTAACAAAGCGATAAAATACCCTGGAGGAAAACGCATTCAAATCACTTTTCATCGCAAAAATTTAAATAAATAGATGTAATACCAGGAAAGTTAAGGAAACAGCGGGCGTTTTCCGCAAGCTGACCAATGCCATGGAGTCCGGGAGCAGCCCAACAGAAGCTGCCTTGAAGCAAATCCTGCATTTTAATATTCCATCAATTTGGCACTTTCATCAAGGACGCAAATATTTTTCAGTACTTTACCTCGCACTGGTCATGACGTGGACACTTAACGCGCCTAAAGCAGACATGGCCACAAATACGGGCATTATCCAACTGAAAATGCCAAGTACTTTATCCCCGAATGTCTGCAAATTATGCAGAAAAATAAAGATCAATGCAACAGACAAGTAGAATAAAAATCCACCAACTTACCACAGCGATTGCATTAGATGCCAGCATAACTGACGGTGGAAGAACCGCTAAATATGCGACATTTGCCAAAACGTAAAGCAGCGTCACAAGCGGCATCGAAATGTAAATCGCTCTTGGCACATTTCTGCATTAAAAATTACAACGAAATAAAAAAATACAACACCAATAAATCTTCCGATAAAATGGGCGGCAGTGAATTGAAAACTACAACTCAGTCCACCGCTTCAACAGAAAACGAAGCAAAATATTGTTTTCACTGTTGGAGAAATACGAATAACTAACATTTAGATTAAGTTGCACTCAAAGATATTCTATCAAATATCCCAAGAAAATACTGTCACTCACACAAATGGATTCTGCACTTCTTCGAACATGTAGTTCAAGTAGTTGTAGCCTGCATACGAGAACATTCCTTGGTAAAACGAAACTGCGATTTTGGAAGGAGATGAGGAAGAGTTCTCAAAAGGCGCCTGGAAGCTTTCGTAGTGCCCTGAAATACGAAAAAATTTACCAGTTGCTCAACGTTGGAAAAATCAGCCTAAAGATACGAACCCATAAACAGATAAGTCATGCCGGCAATGATTACAATCACCAATGCTGAGATCTTTGTGATGAGAAACACGTCTTGAACCTTTTTCGTGATCTTCATGTTCCAGCAATTTAAAAACGTAAGAAAACCTGCGTCAGAATTCGAAACCAAATTTATAAAGTACGTCGGAAACAAAGACACATGGAATTCGAGAAACTCACATATTACAATTGCAGCAATGAGACGCTTGGCATCATCGGGAACTTCGCAAGTTCCATAGAATGGCTGCATTGCATAGTTGGCAAACGTCAATGCCATAATCGCATTAGTAGTCGGACTGTACAAAGCAAAAAAAAAGGATCGCGGATGAACGACTGAGAATGATTGATGGATAACTCACACAAAAACGAAAACTGCGTCCCAAATGAAGAGAAATGATGGGAAATCGCCAAATGCTTCACGAATGTAGGCAAAATCTCCGCCGCTGACTGGAATCAAGGTACCAAGTTCCGCATAACAAATTGCTCCCATCGTCGACAGAATTCCACACGCAACCCAAACCAATATAGCAAATCCAACAGATCCAGTTTCTTGTAGGACTCCGGTCGGCGAAACGAAGATTCCTTCGCAATGTTAAAATAAATATAATTGATCCTCAATCTCTCCATTTACTTCAAGTCAATTTCTCACCTGTCCCAACGATAAGTCCAACAATGACAGAAACGGCTTCCATCAAACGGAGTTCTTTTTTCAGACGAACTCCTTCTGACTTAGTTGGTGGCGAGGGCATCATGGTTTCGGTTTCCATTGTATCGACACGGTAGTCAATGCTGAATGACACAATATAGTACTCAGGGAACTATCAACATTCACTCACAGCATCCACGCAATCTGGGGAAAAGAAAAGGAACAGATTCTTTGGTACATTGAAGTTCATAAACTCCGATTATTTCACTTCAGAAACGAACATTTTCAAGATGGAAATGCTGACAATAAAAACGCAATGATTATTTTTCATGATTAGGCCCAATGTGCGTACACAGAGATTGCCAGACGTAGTTCACTGATAGCTACAGTATTAGTAAGCGCAACTCCAAAACTTTTGAAATTTCACACGTGTGGAAGTTAAAATCTAGAACAATACAGTACAATGATAATACTCGGATAATGGGCAGCAAGTCGGAATATCTACGCAGGCCAAATATACTGTACCTGAATATGAACATCTTTCAGAATTTCGGGGGTTTGTTACCGTTTCCGAGAAGCTTTCAGTTCGTCTGTGTACATAAATACAACTTTCAAAGCCAATAATCTGTGCGTGCACGCGGTTTCACTGAAGGTATTCAGTCTTCATAAACTGTAACACAAGCGACCTATGATGGACAACACTCAGGTAGGTAATCTGATTTTTCGCTATAACGAGGCATCGCTAATTCGGACACTCACCAGTTCCTATCTCGATCAGGCGACTGAATGCGCTGCCAGCTGCCGGGTAACTGGTTCTCAAGATAGCGGGCCTGCATGCTAATACTGTACGTGCTTAACATACTGTACGTGCGTATTTCCGGCGTCCTTGTGATTCCAGAAAGAGACTCTCTCCCTGAATTACAAACAGTATGCAGTAGTATGGGTCTAAACGTAGTACTGTATCTGTTTTAGGAATATGCATGCGTAAAATATTGTATTGGGATGAATGATTCTTGGGACAACAGCAATTCTCTGTTCTTCTAAATGGTGTTACAATTTATCTTCACTTTCTCCACAAATTATATCAGTTTTTTTCTGAGCAGAACTGAAAAATATCTTGAAGTGACTCACTAACTTATACCATGTACGAGTACTGTATATGGCATCAGTGCACGGGTCACGGTACGGTATGAGAAATCAGGGATTATATAGACAGTGACATCTAAGCAAGAACTTTCACTGCGCGAAATTGTTCATGCACTGCATCTACTAAGACGAGCACGACTCGGTTCCATCAATCCCCTTGGGGAGATATGTGCTAGCTTCTCCTGCTGTCCCGAAACGGAGAATTTAGACTTCGGTGTACAGTTCTACGACAGATTGCTGCAGATCTTTTAGGGTGAATGATCGGTATCGTGTTGATGGTTCGTTACGGCGGTGGGGGCGATTACAACGCTTTTTGTCAAGCTGTGAAGGTTTTTTTTGCGTTTAGCAATTGGGAGAACGAGAAGTGTATGCTCCGCTGCGAACGCTGTGTGAGTCATTTGAGTGTAAGTTTTCACCGGTTGCTCGGGAGTAGTGATGACCATTTGCATTGTCTACACACATTGTTCTCTTGATGCCTCCGTGAACAGACGAGACATTTTTCCGTACCCGGAAAAATATGATCTGGAACGCCCGCGTACTTTACTTGATGGCGTAATTGAATTGGTGTACAGTAGTGAAGAACCTGGAAGATTCAAGGACTGCCCAGACACAATAACAATCAAGTGCGTGCCTCGCACGATGACGGCTGTTACCCAGGATGAAATCGTCCAAAAGACGAAAACCGTCTTGCAAGGCTTAGAAGCATTGAGGGCGGAGCATACCTCGATTCTTCAAAGCCTGGAGCCTTTACGAAATGCCTCCCAGATGGACAGTAATACTCCTGTTAATCCCCTGATGCAAGAAAAAGCTTCGTTAATACAAAAATCCCTCGATATGATTAAGCTGGGACTCGGCGAAGCCCAGGTGAGTTTATTCGTAGATCTAAGCGGATTGATGTAAACTTCTTCAAAATTTTCGAAGTGTCACGTATTCAGACGAATATGATTCAGCTTTGATTGCTAGACGTGCCTCGGTTGTGACTCGAAGATAAACGCAAATTTTATATCTACAAATGTGAGAAATACGACTTTATTACCATATTCAACTTTCTTTTATTCTAATTCTTGGACCTTTTAGCTGAAAGGGTCGTGAACAATTTTGGACGATTATTATTCAGTGGCTTGTGTTGATCAGATTCTGTCATTTATTTGCATGCGAATCTACACCGTCGAATGTAAGACGCCATCTGAAGTAAGATGCTCAGGGAAATTTTTAGCCAATTCAGGTCAGCAAATGGTACCACTTTAATGTAAATGCAAGTGCAGTTCTGCTAATACAGTCTTTCATGATTGCTTGACGAACACTTTCTTTAATCGTGGAGTTTTTCCTCAACTACGTAGATCATGGTTGCCTTGTCGTCCCATCTGAGCGTGCTTGAAGCTGAGAAACAGAAACTGCGAGCCCAAGTGCGAAGACTGTGGCAGGAGAACGCGTGGCTGCGAGACGAGCTGGCCGCAACGCAACAAAAGCTGCAAGTTTCCGAGCAAACCGTCGCCCAGCTCGAGGAAGACAACAAGCAATTAAGTTTCTTGAACTCAATAAAGAAGTACGAGATGGATCCAAGTGGGGCACCAGCTGGTGACGACACTTCCATGACAGAAAGCGGCATTCAGGAGCACAAATCAGAAGACCCCGTCGTTAACCTCTTCCCTGACGAAGATGATGACGACAATCAAAGTTTGTTGAACTCAATTCCACAAGCTGGCTAAAGATAAAAATGAAAATAAACGGGTTTTCCTCGTGACCCAGAATGCTTTTGCATTTTTCGCCCCTTATCCATGCAAAAAATGCTATCGTGGTTGTGAATTGATTGTTAGGTCAGGTTAAATACGTTACACATCAAGAGATTGGGTTAGCGATGGGTTGGGTCAGATTGAATCAGTTAGATGCGCCGTGTTGGGTTACCTCAGTAGAGTTAGGTCAGTCTTGGTCATTTCAGCTCGGTCTTGGATGAGGTATGGTCATTTTTCAGTTCATCGTCCTTCAATAGAATATTTATCGAACATCGATAAATATTCCAAGAGGTTGGTTTAGCTTTAAGAAGTGAATGCAATCTAGAGATTTTTGAGTGTGGCATTAACGTTAAAATATACAATCGATTCTCTTCAAATCGAAATACAAGGTCAGCAGAAAAAATTTCGAGTCTGGGAAGTTCAAAGTTAAGCTAAAGAAATTCGGTAGGGAAAGATAAAGAATTTGCTAGAAATTTTGATTCGTGATATTCGAGGCCTTTAATTACTTCATAAATTATTTGACAGGATGCTGAACTTGCAGAAAAGGGTTCATTTGCCCAATTAGTCTTCTCCTTCCTTCAAAATTCATCGAGTTACATTTTTTATTTCTTTCCTATTTTAGCCAAGAAGCCCCCAGAAAATTCAAGTTGTGGAGGCTTGACGAAGGGGAAAGCGTTTGAGTTAGATGGATTTTTAATGCTTTGAATCTCAGAGAATTCTGATAGGGACTTTGGAAAGATCTATTCAGGGAGGTTCGAATTATCGACTTTCAAGTGTAATATGATTTTATTTTTTTCCATGTGAAGCGATATCACCGACACCGCCGAACCAGTTTGCCGCGCAAGTGAACGCTGGCTACGAGATCCCAGCCCGGTTGCGAACGCTGCACAACCTGGTGATCCAGTATGCCACGCAAGGCCGTTACGAAGTCGCCGTCCCACTCTGCAAACAAGCCCTGGAAGACTTGGAGAAGACGTCGGGACACGATCATCCAGACGTGGCCACGATGCTCAATATCCTTGCTCTCGTTTACCGCGACCAGAACAAGTACAAAGAGGCCGCGCATTTACTCAACGACGCCCTGAACATCCGAGAGAAGACGTTGGGCGAGAATCATCCCGCCGTCGCGGCGACGCTGAACAACCTCGCCGTCTTGTACGGGAAGCGTGGCAAGTATAAGGAGGCCGAGCCCTTGTGCAAACGGGCGCTGGAAATTCGGGAGAAGGTCTTGGGCGAGGATCATCCGGACGTCGCGAAACAACTCAACAACCTCGCCTTGCTCTGTCAAAACCAAGTACGAATTGTTGTCCTTGGTAAACTGCATTATCTGAAGTTCTGAAGTACAGTAAAATTCCTTTACAACTAATTTCTTTCTTGGTCCCGGCCGTTTCTTCTTAGAGAGACCGTTTTAAAAATTTTGGTATAGCAAATAATTCTCCTCTATAATCTCAGTACAGATATTACAGTATAACGAAATTGGTTTCTTGATTATGTGTGCATAAGCCATGGCAATTTTTACTGATTGACACAAAATGGGAAAACCCAATTTGTGCATAATTCATGATAATTACGTAGAAGATATAAATGCTGATCTTTTTGCATGGAAAATTAAGCTTGTAGGAAGTATCAAGCTCAAACCAAAAATTAATTAGTTTTATTTTACAGTTTAGAAATGGCTAAGTTTTTCAAAGAAAAGTTTGTTTGGAAGTATATTGCTCTGTTATGCGGAACACATAGTTCTTGATGAATAAATGCTCTTCACAACGCTTGCATTTTCTGTATGTTTCAGCTAATACTTGAGTAAGATGGGTATACTTTCAGAAAATTTAAGAAAGGGAAGGTTTGAAATGAGAGAGGTGTATTCCATATATTGAATTTTCTTCATTATTTTATGGAAAGAAGGTGAAATCTGGGTGATTTTTAAGTATTGTATCTGCTGTGGGAGTACTTCAAAGAATCTATTGCCTGTTTCCCACAAAATGTCAGTCCTACAAGCTAAAAAAAACCATGAATCTTGTTATACATATTTTTTTTTCAATTTTGAAATTTAATCCGAAACAGTGTTCTGTGAGCAGAAGCCTCGAGTCTTCGTTTTCAACGGTTTGTCGGCTCAGGCTGTTGACAGTTGGTTTTGATTTCAGGGAAAATATGAAGAAGTGGAGCGGTATTACCAACGGGCTTTGAAGATATATGAAGACAAGCTCGGACCGGACGATCCAAATGTCGCGAAAACCAAGAATAATTTGGCCTCGTGTTTCTTGAAGCAGCAGAAATATAAAGAAGCTGAAGTGCTGTACAAGCAGGTACTCACTCGTGCCCACGAGCGAGAATTCGGATCAATCGATGGTACGTCTGTAGGGCTTCGTGTCAATATCGGATTTGAAAAATTGCATACTGGTGTTGATTGAGCGGATTTGTCTGTCTCTTGACGCTGGTGGAAACCCGTTTTATTTATTTTGTGATCTGAAAAAACGGAAAGCTGTTGCGGAAGAACCTGAATCTTGGAAAGTTATGACTATCTTTGGCTAGAGGTATTGAAGATTCTGGATCCTGATTTTCGATAGATGATTTTTTGAGGCGTAATATTTGATTGGGCGCTATGGTGTGTTTCAACGTCGCTGTGCGTTGTGATATTGTGAAATTTTCATGCCTTGTCCGTTACGATGGCAAATTGCTTTAGTGTGGATAGATGTCACTGACTCAATGCACCAAAAAAATAAATTAATACTCAGTAGACTTTAAGGTAGACGAAGACCCAAACACACACGAACTCGTAACGATGTCAACTTACAACTTCAGCTTAACTAAGTAGAACACAAATACATTGGGATGACACATACGAGAATTGTCCTACTTGGACGCGACCTCTGATGCGCTTAGAGTAGGTGTGATTAAAACAAATAGCATATTATTTCATGATGTTCTAAGGTTCTGTATTTTTTTTTTCAAAGATTTTCAATTTATGGCATGATAAGTAAAATCTTCCCAGTTACAGTCGAGAGTTTTCCACCTATGTCACAGAATGCTAAAATTTTTCAGGCCACCTAAACAATGTAAATTTTCTGTTTGTTTTTTGTTTATTATATTTTCTACATTTTGAATACTGTGATTGTTGAAACAACAAAACTTTCAATTTTATTTTTGTAGTCTGACATTTTTGAGAACTGTGTGATATAGGTGGAGAACTCTCGTAACTGGAAAATGTTGACTTATAATGCATTAAATTTGAAAATTTTTTTTGTAACCCGAAAAAAACTCAGAAACTTTTAAAATCTTAGTCTACGTCATGATGTTTTTTTTTTACCATCGCACCTGTTCTGAGTATCCGAGGGCGCGTCCAACTGGGACAACCCTCGCAATTGTTGGACTATTTTCTGGTTCCGTCAATTATTTGTAAATCTGAAAAATATTACGGTAATAAGGATTATTTATTAATATGACCTGAAAGGAATTCCATTTGGCACTGGAACTTCCGTGAAAAGTGTTACGCCGTACGGATTACTCTACACGGGCTTCGTAAAAATGCTCGCAATCCAGAATTAACCTCGAAAATTCGCCCACGAGATTTTCACAGAAGAGTGAAAATCTCGTGGGCGTTTTCCTGTGGTGCGAATTTTGTTGACTTTCGCGTTGTCACACCATGGATTCGGACTGTCACCAATTTTTACTTCATTAGTATCCCATTCACCGGCTGTACATACAAATGATCGTACTTCAAAAAATCGAAGTTGCTGTGGCAAATGTGAAAAAATTTTCAAGTAGATGCAGGGTTTTTGTATGCGTATTCATTGTTTTGAGCATAGTTTTTCTTCGTGAGGCTTAGTTCATCCAATGAAGAGCAAGAGGACTGCAAAATGGATTAGACTTGATATTTAGGCTTTGCGTTACAGCTTCTCGATGGACTTTCGGGATTTCTGGAACTAGTCCACCAGAAATCCCGACGATGTATACAGACAAAGAACTTTACACGTCCATAAACACTTCATGTGGATTTTGACAATGGGCAGAAACCTGACTCCGTCCGTCCTTTTCGCACAGGGAACAACAAGCCGATTTGGCAAGTGGCCGAGGAGCGAGAAGAGAGCAAGACGAAGAATCGGGACTCGGGCAGCAACCCGAACGTGAGTGCGGCAGGCACGGGTCCTTACGGCGAGTACGGCGGCTGGCACAAGGTCGCCAAAGTCGACTCGCCCACCGTCACGACAACGCTGAAGAACCTGGGCTCCCTTTACCGCCGCCTCGGCAAGTACGAGGCGGCCGAGACGCTGGAGGACTGCGCCATNAGTTACGTGGTTTTTTTATTTAATTATGAGTCATCTGAAATTCCATCTGCTTCTGGGTTTGTGTGTGCTTGAGCATTGCTACAGTTGAATGTTGAAGTCGAATTGATTCATCTTGTGTTTATGTAACCGATGACACATACGAGAATTGTCTTACTTGGACGCGACCTCTGATACGCTTAGAGTAGGTGTGATTAAAAAAATAGCATAGCATTTCATGATGTTCTAAGGTTCTGTTTTTTATTTTCAAAGATTTTCAATTTATGGCATGATAAGTAAAAACTTCCCAGTTACAGTTAGAGTTTTCCACCTATGTCACAGAATGCTAAAATTTTTCAGGCCACCGAAACAATGTAAATTTTCTGTTAGTTTTTTGTTCATTATATTTTCTACATTTTAAATACTGTGATTGTTGAAACAACAAAACTTTCAATTTTATTTTTGTAGTCGGACATTTTTGAGAACTGTGTGATATAGGTGTCGTAACTGTGTGATATAGTTATAACTCTCGTAACTGGAAAATGTTGACTTATAATGCATTAAATTTGAAAAAATTTTTTAACCCGAAAAAAACTCAGAAACTTTTAAAATCTTAGTCTACGTCATGATGTTTTTTTTTACCATCGCACCTGTTCTGAGTATCCGAGGGCGCGTCCAACTGGGACAACCCTCGCAATTGTTGGTCTATTTTCTGGTTCCGTCAATTATTTGTAAATCTGAAAAATATTACGGTAATAAGGATTATTTATTAATATAACCTGAAAGGAATTCCATTTGGCACTGGAACTTCCGTGAAAAGTGTTAAGCCGTACGGATTACTCTACACGGGCTTCGTAAAAATGCACGCAATCCAGAATTAACCTCGAAAATTCGCCCACGAGATTTTCACTCTTCCGTGAAAATCTCGTGGGCGTTTTCCTGTGGTGCGAATTTTGTTGACTTTTGCGTTGTCACACCATGGATTCAGACTGTCACCAATTTTTACTTCATCAGTATCCCATTCACCGGCTGGACATGAAAATGATCGTACTTCAAAAAATCGAAGTTGCTGTGGCAAATGTGAAAAATTTTTCTAGTAGATGAAATTTTAGATGCGTCTTCATTGTTTTGAGCATAGTTTTTCTTCGTGCGGCTTAGTTCATCCAATGAAGAGCAAGGGGGCTGCAGAATGGATTAGACTTGATTTTTAGGCTTTGCGTTACAGCTTCGCGATGGACTTTCGGGATTTCTGGAACTAGTCCACCAGAAATCCCGACGATGTATACAGACAAAGAACTTTACACGTCCATAAACACTTCATGTGGATTTTGACAATGGGCAGAAACCTGACTCCGTCCGTCCTTTTCGCACAGGGAACAACAAGCCGATTTGGCAAGTGGCCGAGGAGCGAGAAGAGAGCAAGACGAAGAATCGGGACTCGGGCAGCAACCCGAACGTGAGTGCGGCAGGCACGGGTCCTTACGGCGAGTACGGCGGCTGGCACAAGGTCGCCAAAGTCGACTCGCCCACCGTCACGACAACGCTGAAGAACCTGGGCTCCCTTTACCGCCGCCTCGGCAAGTACGAGGCGGCCGAGACGCTGGAGGACTGCGCCATGCGCTCCAGGAAAGACGTGAGTTCTCAAATGAAGAACTAAAACAAAAAACGCTGTACCCGATTAAAAAGCAACATATTAAAACAAATGAACCAAAAATACAAAGCGTGATGAAAAAATAAATAAAAAATCCGTGTGCATTCGGTAGACGGGCGACGGCTGGTATCGAACAGTTTCAGGCACAAAACGCAGCAATCGTGATTTCTGTACACCTGAGATCCACCTGATTGATTCTTATTAACGTCTTTAATATTTTCGTTCTTTCCTGTTTTAACCCTTGCTTGCTTCAAGTCCATGATGTTTCAAATCGGTGTCGTTTAAATTACAGTGTATTACTGTACTCCTAATTAGGGAATTCCGTATTTACAGTCGCTCCTCTGCAAATCGAACTGCAAGGGTCCCACGAAAAAATTAGAGTTGAGAAGTTTTGAAATTAGGAAAGCAAACATTTTTATTGATGGAAAGCCATGAGAATTGCAGGATATTGTAATGGGTGATCTTGTAGGCGTGAAATTGCTTCTTAAATGACTTGACCTTGACAGGATGCTGAAGTTTGAGGCAAAGGTTTAAGTGCCAGATTAATCTCTTACTTCCTTTCAAAAAACATTGAGTTACATTTTTATTTCTTGGGAAAAAATCGACGTGGGGAGGCATTAGACTCAGGGAGATTTAAAAAAAAGCTTGATTGTAATCAAAAATTCATTCAAACGAAACTAAAATAACATCGTGGCTGTTGAATCTGGACCAGAAAAACAAATTCATTTATTTATTCAAATGAGATTATGCTTTAATGTACAATGCTAGGTTTGGGGATGGGTGAAGCATTTAGATTACAGTTCGTTCCAAGTAATGGTTGTTAGTCGAGTGGTGCTTGGGTTCACTGGAGTATTGGACTATGTTTTGATATAATTTTCAAGTTATGCTCAGGTAAGAGTTCGATAAAACGTAAGGATTTTTTATGATCTGTGAGGTGTTCGAATTGATTGATGAATTGCTAAGTGACGTCAGGTGATTTGGTGAAGTGTTGAAGATAATCTGCAAATCGAACTGCAAGGGTCCCACGAAAAAATTAGAGTTGAGAAGTTTTGAAATTAGGAAAGCAAACATTTTTATTGATGGAAAGCCATGAGAATTGCAGGATATTGTAATGGGTGATCTTGTGGGCGTGAAATTGCTTCTTAAATGACTTGACCTTGACAGAATGCTGAAGTTTGAGGCAAGGGTTTATTTGTCAGATTAATCTTTTACTTCCTTTCAAAAAACATTGAGTTACATTTTTATTTCTTGGGAAAAAATCGACGTGGGGAGGCATTAGACTCTGGGAGATTTAAAAAAAAGCTTAATTGTAATCAAAAATTCATTCAAACGAAACTAAAATAACATCGTGGCTGTTGAATCTGGACCAGAAAAACAAATTCATTTATTTATTCAAATGAGATTATACTTTAATGTACAATGCTAGGTTTGGGGATGGGTGAAGCATTTGGATTACAGTTCGTTCCAAGTAATGGTTGTTAGTCGAGTGGTGCTTGGGTTCACTGGAGTATTGGACTATGTTTTGATATACAGTAATTTTCAAGTTATGCTCAGGTAAGAGTTCGATAAAACGTAAGGATTTTTTATGATCTGTGAGGTGTTCGAATTGATTGATGAATTGCTAAGTGACGTCAGGTGATTTGGTGAAGTGTTGAAGATATTCCAGATGATTGGACAGTTGAAATGTATTTTGTTCGGTCAGGTACCTTTAATTCCAGACGTGAATAGCGGGAGTGAAGCGTTATGGTTGAAATTTGGTGGGTCCGTTGACAGATTGCAGTGAGTTAGAGTTTTTAAATACAGTAGTGTGAAATTGTGCCTGAACTTTTCATCAGCCGTCGTTACAATTTTCTTTCTCCGATCATGGTCTCACACTGAGCTGGCGATTTTTTAAAATGTTTGAGGCAAAGAGGTTTTTCTCGCTGTAGCTGCTAATCAAGCCGCCTGAAGCTTTTCTGACAAATACATTTTCCCATAATTAATTTGAGTCCGTCATTTTCCAATGCGGTGAAATAACTTTTGTAAAACTGTTGAAACGTGAGTGATCGATCCTTTGTTCCATGTTCGCCATGAAGTGTGTTACCTGCATAACGTTCCCCCCCCCCCCCCCCCCCCCCCCCCCCCACCCCCCGCCCCCCNAGGGTATGCAAACGTTCCCCCCCCCCCCCCCCCCCAGTCGATGTATTCCTTTCTGGTCCGGTGCCTATTTTGTTTTCGCTCCTCGTGTCAGGTTGTATTCGTTGCACTAAAAGGACGATGAGAAGATAGCAGTTTTGCTACTGGTTGTGGTCTTTCGTTTTTCCACTCGTATTTGTTTTTTGCATGAATACGTGAGGATTATTATTTTGTACACAAAAATAGATCGTAACACTTTTTCCGTGGAGTAGGTTTTGTGCAGATTTTTGTTTTGTTCATGTCTGTGAGGGGGGATGTGCAGAAAGTTGGGGGAAATCGCGTTCCTGCTGATGATTGATTCGGGGATATTCCTTCATGCCTTTTAAAAAATGGCGTCGATTCACGGATTAACGCGAATGTCAGATATAATTTCTTCGTAATTTGATTCGCTAAAATTTAGAATGAGTCTTGAATTCACTTGCAAAATGCTTACAGATTATGCTAACTTGCAAATAATTTTAAAATTTAAATCTGATCAACTATTTTGAAATCGGAAGATTTTTCTCTCGCTGAGGATAGAGTTAAAATTTGGTTTGAACAAAACTCTCGTGAAGTTTTCATCATTTCAAGGTACCGCAGGCGTAAATTAGATGTACCGTATGTGTACAGAAATTTATGCATGGTTTTTATGAGATATTGTCGTTTCAGAATTAACGACAATCATACATTTTTTTTACACTTCTGGAATCTTATGCCCCTATCGGATTATTAAAAGAATTAACCACTAGAGCATATTCATGACATTTTCATTCCCAAGTCTGATTTCTGAGTTGATCAATTTCTTGCAAAAATCTCAGCGCAACATCGTATCTCATATCTTTCTAAATCTTCTCCGATGATAACTATACGTGAAGTTTTCGATTGAGAAGTAAACGTTTTGGTGGAATGCTTTTATTTTTGAAATGCAAAATGAAGAAGAAACGGAAAGAAAGATCTTGCAAAAGTGTAATTTTTGAACGAAGGGCGGTACCGTTTTTCTCTGAAATGCGCGCTGAAATCAGACACATAAGTATTTTTCAAGACCGAGCTTGTTGTGTTGGCAGTGATTTCGAAAAGGAAAACTTACGAATCAATTGTTGGCAGGACGATTGCAAAATGGGAACGCTAGCGTGTTTCCCCGAGGTTACTGAAAAGAACCCTTTCGGACATGTTGTTTCTCTTTCCGTTGTTGGGCGGCACTCGGTTAATGTGGTGTGTGAGTAGAGTGGGCCCCCGCCGAGGCCGTTTTCAGGCTTTGCCGAGTCGCGCACCGGCAGTTCGTCCACGTCGAGCCTGGACCAGATTGCCGAGACGCCGTTGCTGGCCGCGACGACGACGACGACGACCTCGACGACGTCTACGACGATGACGGCGGCGACGACGTCGACTGCGTCCCCGGTCGCGTCGTCTCCGGCCGGCCTCAAGAACAAACTCCTGCACGCGCTGGGGATCCAGTCGTGAGAGCGCGTGTTTTTCATACATCTGCCGGAAAGAAAAGAGAGAGGCCCGGGGCGTGTTTCGTTGTTTTTTTTTTTATTAGACCATTATTTCAGTTTCCGGTTGTTTGGTCATCATTCTTTGTTTGTTCGTTTTCTTTTGTTCCGCTTCCTCCTCCTCGATCGTCGTCGTCGTCGTCATCATGCCTTGCAAATTACACTTGCGATGCCAAAAAAAATGAGCGAGCTCTGTTGGAAAGTTGCTTCGTTGGCGATTGTGACGAGCCCCATGGAACGTACATTTTCATCTTACTGTAGGGATAATTTGCGCATTGTCTACAGTGATGCACATGCTCTGAAATTCAAATAAACATCTGATCATGAATTTCAACGATTGTTCAGCGCAATCTCTGTGAGGTTCACGTGGTGTCGTATTGTTCCGAGAATATGACCAATTCAGAAAATGGAAATTAGTACGATTTTTGTGCGATTAGTTCAGTTTTTACAGTATTATGAAAGTCCTGCTGTTTCTGAAATTTAAGCCTTCGTCGAAATCACTAATGTACCAAGGTTGGTGTGTAAGTTTTGCCTGTCTTGTGCTTTCCTTTCTATTGAATCAAGGAGAGACATAATTTTCACGAAGGATTAATTGATGATTTCCTGGCCGATTTCTGATCACTTAGAGGTAGAAAAACACAACAAATTTAACGAAGATTGTTTAATATGAAAATGTAAGTAAAATGAGGGAAATTAAAAAATTTTAATTATTGAAAACGCTTCTGAGCGACACTGTTCGGGATTAACGACCATGTTACCGTGAAAAACCCGTTTCTTTTTATAGTTTTCATGTTATTGATTGTGAGTCTGACGCTCGTCGTAGAAAAATAATGTAGCGAGTTTTTTTTTTTTTGCCCATTGAGGAAAATTTCTAGCATATAATAATGGTACATAATGGTTTTCCGTATTGTGCTTCCATTGCGGATAGAAAATTATATTTCGGAAGTTCTGGCGGATGGACACGTTTTTTTTATCTTAGTTTGTTCAATCCGCACAGTCGCCAAGGAAACCACTTTTTGAATTCTCGTTCGCTTTGCACAATTTGGCTGGATGCTGATTTTTTTTTATACCGCTGCCTTCGTTTTTTAGCGGAGGAGGAAGCGAACCTTTTTTTTTTGAGCTGACTGTGATATTGTAAATATTTAAGATGGTTTCCATATGTCTTCCTCGTCTTTTTCCGCCCCCCGAAGATAGTATTTATTTCGCTGTTCGACGCTCGGTTGTAAACCGTCGTAATCCCGCCGATAATTTGGGAGTGGAACCTCGTTGTGACGATTAGTTTTGACTTTTGAGCTTGCGATGAATGGTTTATTTTCGCTGGAAGACAATTTTTTATATAGATTGCGAAGAATAACTTGCAAAGTGGTTTTTTTCCCTTTTGTTGTTCACGGTCAACACGATTCGGTGTTTTTCATGGTTGGAAAGTGATGGTTCAGAATTAATGAGGCGAAATCTTTATGACGAGGTTTTACTTTTGCAGAGTGGAAGTTGTAGTGTCAAAGGTGCTTAATGCTTGCTTGCAATCGGCCGGCCGTTATTCCAGTCGGGTGCGTTTTTAATGGTTAAACGAATAAAGCTCTCTAAACAATGGAAAGCCCTGATTTTTGCTGCCTTTTGCCTTAGCCACTAATCCGGAGAGATTAATGCTGACTGATGAGTGTGTCGAATTCAGCGAATGCAGATGATGATGATGACCGGTTTCTCATGACTGATGGGATGAAGTGGTTTGATGCGCGGTTGGTGGTCGTAGGTCTTGTCGCTCTGTCCTGTGTTTTATTCGCACGTAGTTTGTTCACGTAGTTTCACTGAAAGAGAGAGACAAAGAATTATGTGCACTGAGTTTTTCGAACGATGCAACCTGACACGCGGGAGCGTTTGAAAAGCCTTGCGTGTGGATGCGTAACCAGACGGCATTTGTGTGTCTGTGTGTGTATTTCAGCCGGAATCGGGTTCGCAGCAACTCAGAAACTCGTAGTGGTTTTACCAAGCGTGGTAAGTTGCTTCCAACGGCTATTTTATTTGTGTATGAATGAATGTATTTTTTTTGAGTGGCCTTAATTTGCTCCCGACAGCGAAATATATGTATTCAATCCAGCTTCATTCTTGTTGCAGGGTGATGCGCTGGACCCACGAATTTGCGAATATTTCGGATGATTATGAAAATTTATCTGGAAGGTGGTTAACCCTGAAAGAAAAGGAGACATTTTGACATCATTTCAGCCGGGCCTTTTGTTCCCCAACCTTTTTGGCTCGCAGACTGGCAAATTTTCATAGCATGTTTTGCAGATTAGCAAAGTTGAATAACATTTTTGCGGGCGTGCAGAATGTTTTCAAGCACCTGCCATAAATTCCTTCAAATAAACCATTTATTAGGAAAAAATTGAAGTACTAACTGATGAAGCAGCTATGATGGAATGTCTTCGAAAAATTGGACAGATGGGTTTCGAGAAAGGTTTCTCAGAATGAATAATTATAATAATTTATTTCAGCGGGTGAAAATATGTTTGAGGTGTTATTCAGGAGTGAAGCCAACTTTTATTTTTCATCGGATAATTTCAACTGCAATTGACTTTCCAAAATTTCAGATGAAGGTGACAGACTTCATTAATACCTTTGGTAAATTAATTATGCTGGATTGGCAAGAAAGTGCTGTGGACCAGTGCTGGTCTGCAGAAGGAAAAAGTTCGTCATCCTTGGTGAAATGGTAATTGTGTCATCGTCTGTCATTAGGGAATGATTCAGAAGAGGGCTTCTTTTAAGTTTACCGCTGATGGTACAAGGGTGTTCGATGATGAGTCAGGCAAGAGTTCGGCGAGGTAAAGTTGCTTGCTGATACATTTTCTTTCCCTTTCCCGGGTCACGAACACTTGCTGGCATGATGTCAGAATTTTCCCTTTTCTTTCATGTCTTTGCCATATTCATTTGACGCGCATTTCAGGATTAATCTTAGACCGTCGAAATATTCCCTTTTTTGTGGAGATTTAGGATGGCGTGAATCACCCTGTGGAATGTTGTTGATAGACGAATGTGTGTATTTGTGTGAATTTTTTAATGCTGCTGTTTATGTGAATTGAGGAATTTTTTGCTTTTTGAAGTCAGAGGCCTAAAAGAATGAGGATCGCTGGGACAGCTAGTGGAGAACGAAGCCGTCAGTCTGCTACCAAAGAATCTTGATTTTGTCAACCGTCTGCAGCATCGTATCGCATTGGAAAGTTAGTATTTTATTATTCTTTGGTCGCCTACTTGTTTCCGTCAGTGGTGAAATTCAAATTTTTAATTCGTTTTTTTCGGTGACTTTTTTTTTTTTTTTGGTGTGTGCAGAAGTTCATGTTATTTATCGGGAATCGGGATGCATTTTCTTTATGGCCGTGTATGGACCGATAAGTGATCAGATTCAGATTTTGAAAAGGGAAACTGAGAGGATCCTGAATGAATTTGTGCCCGGTTTATAACGCCAGCTGCTGATGCTTAGCTTGAGCTTGTGGCTGGACTCTTTTTCGAATACTGTACTGTAGTTTTCTTTCTTTTTTGTTTTATTTTGTTCGAATGGGAACATCGTGGTTATATAGAGGCTTCGATTTTAATGTTCAGATCTCTCGTGACAGATGTTCCTATTTTACCGCCAGAACGACCTTTTCTTCTTGTGTGTGGCTATCCGTAAATCTATTGGTCCATATCTTAAGATAGTTCATCGCATCAGCTTCCCAATCGTAGTCCGCAATTTTTGCAAGAGATTAGCAACCCGGCAAAGATCACCCGACCCGGGTTCTCTTTCGGGAAAACAAGAAGTGTGACGCGAAAAAATGACAAGTGAAAGCGGTAGTGAGTCCAAGTTTGCTAATGAGATTTAATCCGAAATAATGCAAAGATATATAAAACACGGAAACTATTGTGTCCGAAGCTCGAATTATGGATCCTAGAAGCGTAAAGAATTGTCGAAGGAGCTCGTCTTGAAATTTGATTCGAAAGCTGTTCTGAAAATCAGAAAATGCCGAGAACCTCCGACACGAAGTGACAAAATGCAAAATTCATTCAACCCTTGAGCGAATCAGATTTTTCACGGTAATCCGTTCATTAATATTCGTTTCAACACCAGTACAGCGAAACAATGGGTCGTATGTTGATCTTTGAAAGGTGTTTTTCTCTTGAAAGGCTTGCGAATTATTTTTCCGCAGTCATTTCCTTCTAAAAGTCCACGTCAGAAAAAGGCGAACAGTTTCTTTCTACCTTTGTTGAACTTTCTCGAACGCCGTTCAGAAATGCTTTTCAGCTTACCAAGGATAGCATCTATAAAGAGGAGGGAAGTACCGAATAGAAAATTTCTTGGATCCTCCGTTACGGTAATGAATTCTCGATGAATTTCGAAGTTTCGTTCTTTAGTTGATGGTATAGTCAGCATTCCGGAGCACAGATTTGTGGAAGAGCGAAATTGTGAAAATTTTTTGAATCCTGTGAAGTTTGAGTGGGTAGAGTGAAAGATGCACGCGGTTTCTGAAAACTTAGCGCTCATGGGTTGACGATTTTTTGTTTTGTTTCCCGGAATGTGATTGTCGCGTCCGCTGGTGAGTGTCTCGAACGATGATGAGAGTTGTTGAGGGCTTTATGTATCCCTAAATGGGGGTCAATTGCGGCCTGCAAATTTTCAATCCAGTTTGCTTTTTGAGAATGTATTCGCGCTCCCACTGAACTGTTCCTCTGCTTGATATGCAGCGCGCTGTGTGAGTTCCTTCGCCTGTATTTCAGTCTGTGCCACCTTTTTCAATGTGGAAATACACGTGAATCAAGATCAGAGACAGCATTTTTAAATCAATTTATTTCGTCAGTCCTTTGCTCTATTTTTCTTCCATGCAGATATTGGATCAAGAAAATGCAGCCCCAGTCTCCAATACTCTCACAAATACGAACCCATATAGTATGCAGGGAGAACCGTCTGGGAATAACACGAAATTATTAAGCACAGTACATAGGAATTTTTAATAGGCAAGATTCTTATAGAAAGTCCACTTGCAGTACCATACTCATTAAAGGACTGCGTGCACCTTTTTTCTCAAATCAAGAACTAGTTCAGTTCAAATTTAAATTAGGCTTTTGCCTGTAAAATTTTGCTGTTCCAGAGTAACTAAAATTTTGCTGCCCATTGAAGACAGTTCTCTCAAAATTTTCTGTTGCCTGTTGACATGAACACTTTGTTTAAGAATATCATGCTCTATCATTACAAAGATGGATGGCATTATTCAAAATGGCGGCTCATACATTTAGCGGTTTGATGAAAGAGGTTGCCGTTTAAAGGGTTGTTGTCGATTATGTCGAACGGAATTTCTGATCCTCAGGGATTTTCAGAAAAATAACTCATAATTTGAAAGTCTCGTGTTGCTGATGATGCTGTTATCGTGTGTTGTGTTCCTCGGGGAATCTTCTTTTGAGCATCGTGAGCCGGTGTGGCAGGCATTATTGCTCCTTGCCGTCAGAACGCTTTACGGTTTCCTGGACATACTCGTCCGGTGAGGCTCCGTTACACAACTTCGAGCACGTGCTTTGTTCGTTATCATGAAGATTAATGTACTGATGCTTTTGCAAAGAAACTATCCGAGTGTGTTGTCGGAGTTCTAAGGCGTCAAGTGATGGAAAGAATGATGAAAAGATCAGTGATAGTTCTGGATATTTTTTTATTCACAGGTATTTACAAGCCATTTCTTGTGTGACTGAAACGCGATTGACTGGTGAACCACTGAGTGAATCATGAGTTTCCGTGGTGGCAAAGGTGGTCGAGGTGGTGGAAACCGCCGTGATTTTAGCCCCTCCGGACCTCGTTTTCGCGACCGTTCCGGCAGAGGTAAAGGTGGACCTCAGTTCATGGGACCACGAGGTCCCATGGGCCCGAACCGAATGATGCCTCCTCGTATGTCTGGTCCGAGAGGCGGCTTGCTGGATGATCTCCCGCCTCGGCACGACGATTTCCCGATGCGCCCGAGAATGGGCGCACGCGTCTTGGTCGGAAATTTACCGATGCGGGTTTTGCGGAAAGATTTGGAGGACAAGTTTTTGAAATACGGTCCAATCGTTGGTTAGTGTGCTGTGTGATCTCAATTCTGGTTCAGCTGTAGCACTGATTCGTTTTTCTTCGAAGATATGGAAGTTTTTGGAGATTATGCCATTCTGGAGTTTGAGGCGTTCATTTCTGCCGAAGATGCAATTCGTCACGAACACGGTGTCCCTTTCATGGGCCAAAAAGCAGGTGAGTGATCCTAGCAATCTTCTAATGTTTCATATTGATTGTATTGTGTATATTGCTTTTTATAGTGGTGGAATGGGCGAAGCCACCAAACCCGGATGGCCCAATGCCGGGCGGTGGACCCAGAGGCTTGCTGGACGATCAATTTCCTCCAGAAGTCCCTTCCTTGTTAAACAACATTCGACCGGATGTACCATTTGGTCGAGACTTCGGACCAGACTTTGGGCCACGTGGCCCAATGCCAGTGCCAGAACCATTGATGCCGATGGACGCCCCGCATCCGCCTTTTGAGGACGAATTCCAAAGATCGAGACATCCATTCCGAGAAGATGTTGGGTCTCGTTCCAACGCCCCCCTCCGAGATGATTTTCCTGCTAGTAATGGAGGTGCCCGAGGTTCAGTTGGTGCTTCTTCAGCACCATCTGATAACCCTGCCAAGAAAGGCAAAGCGTCGACTGACCTGGAAATAATCGTGTTGAACAAGCAACAGCAGTAAGTTCATATCTTGATCAATGAGTTCTTGATAAATACGCAACTGTAAAATATTTATTGAGTGGACGCCGGAAATCAACGTTTTAATACCAGTGAACGATTCCAACAGGCGATATGCAGAAATGGTGGAGAGGAAGCTGAGGACTTTGGGCATAAGTGTTGATCTGCTATTCCCACGGGAAGGCGCCCCCATTCCGGCAATCTTGAACAGTATCTCCAAGCGTGGGGCTTTGTATGCTGCTGTAATTTCCCCACAAAATGAGAAGGAAGGATCCATCACCATCAACATCCTCTTCGGAAATCCTGTTGGTTAGTATGCTTGCTGAAGATAATCGTTTTCCCACTTCTGCTTAGAGACATTGGTTCTATTGGTCTTGAAGTAGTACAGTAGTAAGATTTCCCTTCGTAACTTTTACTAGGTATGTAGAATATTATTGAAATCTGAAGTTTATACAGTGTCATGCTCTACAAAAAAATCTTGTTCATATTAGAGCTGTTCAAGTTACTTTGATTCAACTTGCAAATAATTTATCCACTCTAAGCTTCCTTGGTGTTGTATGAAGTTCAAGTGCCTTAGGAAAAAGTACTGTATTTGTTCACCACCATTTATAGAGATTTGCCCCTAAATTACTGATGATGGAAACAATTGGAAACTTCCGAATGAAGAGTTCTGAATTTCTGAAATTTGTCATCTTAGTTCTTTTTCAATTCAATACAGGTAGACGCTCTCTATTACGATTTTTGGGGTCCCCTTAATTTTATTGTGGGTAGTTCACCTGAAGTATGTGTATTTGCCGCACGAGTGACTGATTCTACCCAATGGTTTGTGCAAACTTTTTGCATTTTTTAGAGCGGAGAAATATTCCCTTGGATGAAGCCGTGAAGACAATCGGCGAGAATTTCGATGACTTCGTGCGCCGAGGCGGAAAAGACGGAGAACGAGTCCGGATGGTGATTCCTGAACCGATCCGTGCTTTGTTTTCTGCGATCATGGAAGGACGGTCCGTGACGGATGCAGACTATGAAATTTCGATGACTTCGTGCGCCGAGGCGGAAAAGACGGAGAACGAGTCCGGATGGTGATTCCTGAACCGATCCGTGCTTTGTTTTCTGCGATCATGGAAGGACGGTCCGTGACGGATGCAGACTATGGGACGGCCATTGGGTTCCTGCAAGACCGTCGTGAGGCACAGTTCTTGGGTCGATCTGAAAGTCTCAAGCGGGCTGCGACTTCTCCAGGCGACGGAGGAATGTCTGCTTCGAAAGTGTCGGCGAAAAAGCAAGGTTCGTACCGTCCCGGTGTTCTCCGTGGTCGTGTGAATAAGTAGGATGGAAGGGCTGTGATGGGATTGTACGACGTGCAACTTTTTGGTCGTGGATGCCTATCCGTTTGTGTCGCTAGGACGAATTTGATTATTTTAACGATTCATTCCTTGTTGTTCAAATTGTACTACTGTACTGTGAAGTACTGGCAGCGAAAGAGAGTTTCAGTTTTAATCCGTTGGCTCTTGTGTCCCATAAAGTTAATTTAACTTTATTTTTCTCCTGTTCAGATATGTCGAAGAAACGTAAATTTCTACCGCACCCATCTGCTTACTTTCTAATTTTTTAAATAAGTGCGCTTGGTACAACAGTACAGTAATACTTATAAGCTCAATCTTCTGCCTTTGTTCTGTATGAATTTTTATAATAAATGTTGAATATTCATCAGTTTAGAAAAGGATTGATTTCATCCCTGTGGGAAACTCTGATCAATGTATCCCTTGTTCATCCTTCGGCACGTCGGAAAAGGCACGGTTTGATGGGTCTTGGGGGATAATTCAGGATAAGCTTTTCAAGTTTCAGCTGATGGTGGAATTTTGCTACGAAAAATCTGGGGTTCTGTTCTGCCAAGTATGAAGTTGTTACATGTCATTTTCTGTCAGGCATACTCTCTCCGCAATGATTCACGGGATGTCCTCTAGTGATGGCTGGGTGCCGGGGAGTTGGTTACAGGTTTATAATTACTGTACTGTATAGGGAAAACTAAAATTGTTCCGATCCGAAGTTCGTTTTGTATTCTAGTTTATTCTTTGGCAATATTGAAATTTTTGGGAAATGCTTTATGAATCCTGCGTTGCTGCCAGATGAGCTGCTTTCCAAGGGAAGCGGTTGAGATTGAAATTTCCTTCGAAAGTTCCTAGAAATTCACCTCTATAAGATACATATCCTCAATTAGCCGCATAATCACTGGTAATGAATTTTTTTTTAAATTTCCGTGAGCCACGCGAACGATAAAAGTTCTGAAAAATATCGCTCTGCAGTCCATATGGCGCAACCACAGGAAATAAACGCGCTAATATTTTCGTCTCATGTCAAAATCAAGTGAATCGGATATTTTCTGATGAAGGCTTAAGTATTCAATCAGCAAGGGTACATTTTCGGTGGGTGAATGCGAGCGTCTGAAACTAACTGCGAGGGTTGTCCCACTTGCGCGCCCCCTTGATTATTTCTGTTGTTGGTATGTCTGTATGAAATGAAGATCTTGCCCATGGTGTTGTAAGCTTGTGGGATTTTTTCGGATAGCCATAATCAAAAATGTAGAAAACCTAGTGGTTTAAACAATGACAAAATTTCAATTTTCAGCTGGCCTGATCAGCTATCTAAAAACATATTTTTAGCACCCTCTGACGTGTGTAGGGAACTATGGCCGTAAATAGAAAATTTTTATGTATCGTGCAGCAAATTGACGAAGTTAATTGAAAATCCGAAAAACCCCAGAACCGTTAACATCATGGGCTGTATCATAGTTTTTTTTACAGTCATACCTGCTCTAGGACACGCCCAAGTGGGACAACCCTTGTACTGTACTGTATATTGCATTACATTTTCACCCGTCTCAATTGTTCTTGTTCATTGTAGAGAGAGTCTGCTTGTGAGAGGTTTGGTATCCGTGGGAAGGGAGTGCCTTGGTAAACTATGAAGATCATGAACATAACTTGTAGATGAGGGAGTTAATCGAAGAGGAAGTCTTCGATCAAGCTTGTCAAGGTAATATTGATGATGAATGAGAACGATTCCACTCCGAGGGGGAGGGTGGGTTGGTTGGTTGGTTTGGCAGGTTGGGTGGTGACATTGTTAGGCGTGGGTATTAATGCGAGTGTTGTTGTTTCGTTTCTTCCCCTCTCTTCATCTGTCCTTTCTGCTCACGGTCGGGGCATGCCTTCTCCTTTTCTTCATCCTCCTTCTGCTTTCGCGACGTGGGGTCCGTCCGTCCATCCATCCATCCGTTTCGGGCGGGATGGCCTACCTTGTTTGCAAAAAAAAAAAAAAAAATTGAATTGCGCGCGTTGGGAACTGGGGTGGGGCCAGACGTGGACCAGCTTGGCGACGGAGGAGCGACGTGGCGCGGAATGAGGGCGGCCGGCATCGATTTCAGCAGCCCGAGCGTGCAGCGCGCGATGGACAGTTTGCTGGTGCGGCAGCCGGTGCAGCCGCTCATCGTGCCGCTGCTTGGCGCCGCGGCGCCTCCTGTGCCGCCCCCACCGCCGCCGCCGCAGCAAGGCGGGCTCCACAAGCCGACGTCGCTTTTGGGCCACGCGCCGACAGCCAGTGGCCCGCCACCGTCCATCTTTCCGCCGCGACGTTGTTGAGGGGCCATGATTGACTGACTGACACTCACTCACTCACTTGACGACTGGCCCGATGAACAAACGATGATGTGGAGGGGCAGAATGAAGTTTGGGGTGGGACTGGGTGGACTGAGGAACGTATTTCTGCACTGCTGTGTCGTTTTTCGTCGTAATTTTTCTCTCCCCACTCCGTTCGCTAACGCCATTTCCAAATTTCAACGTTGACACTTAATTCTGAAAGGCGAAGCGAATTTCTTCCCACCAATCATATTAACGTTCTCTCTCGCTAAAATTATTCGTGAAATGTGCGAATTTCCAATTTGCTGTCATAAATCGTGTTTGACTTCAAAATTATTTTTTTGATGTAAAATGTGTTCGTCTAGTTTTTAATATGACCCAGAATTATCCTTCTAAGCGCGACATCCAGTGACATTCCAGCGATTTCCACTCCCCGTCTTTGCAATTCTCGTGTACTGTACTGTACTCAATTCCCGCTCGAGTACCGTTTCTCCGCAACAAGTTGGATGCTTGCATTTGTACTTATTTCGTCGACTCCTGATGCGAATTTCGCGCGTGTTCGATTAGGATAGCATCCTCATGTCGTGACACGCACCCGAACTACTTTGACAGATTATCTGCACTCTCGTTCATGTTTGCATTTTTTTCTTTCCGTTGTGGTGTGATGATCCGGCTTTTGTTCAGGGCAGGGGCTTAACGATTTATTCTGAGATGTCAGATTTTGGACGTCGAAAGAATCTGATTTACTGTCAAATGTTTGGTCTGCTTCAATCATTTGGGGAAACGCCAACAGAGGTTCATATCCTTTCTTGTTTATGTGGAACATACAGTATTTTAAGATAACGTAATGTATTTCTTGAAGCAGAAAAATCTGTAATATCACGCATAATTCGATCATTTCGTGTATGATTTTAATGTACGTATTTTAACGTGCGTTTAAACAAAACGGAGGAACTTTGGTGTAGATGGAATTTAGGATGACTTGGGGTGATACAGTATGTAAATTCCATTGTGAACGCCAGTTACATCTACTCACCGGAATGGTCGAGATCTGAGAATGTTTCAAGCTAACAGGGAATTTATCATTATAAAGTCGAATCTCTATGAGTCGAACTTCCAGAGTCCAGAAAAAAGGACTTGAAAAGTTTTTAAATAGCGAAACAATCGTTTTTGTTGAGGGAAGAATTGAAAATGCAGTAAATTGTAATGGGTAATATTTTGTGCCTTGAATTGCTTTTTAAAAGAGTTTACAGGGTTCTGAACTTCGAGACAAAGGGCTCCTATGTCAAATTAATCTTACACTCCCTTTCAAAATGCATTACATTTATATTGCTTTTCTCTTTCCTGTGTCGATGAAATAATAGCCAAAAGTCCCACAGAAAATTCGAGCTTTAGAAGGTTTGAAGGGGAAGAGCCTTCGAAATGAGGTTTCTTAATGCATTGTTTCTTGGGGGAACTCAGGTAGGAACTTGAAAGAAATTCGACTTGAGGAGGTTCAACTGTAGTAACTTCATGGATGACGTCGTATTTTGCTTAATTGAAAAGCCCCGAGGGAAGTTTTCCTGAAATAATTTTTTTTGGCGGGCACTGAGACGATGAATGTTGCCCGATGAAGATTCAAACATGTACAGTACAAGTACAGTAATCTATTTAGTACATTTTTGCATCGAGCAGTTCGGGGAATTATTAATTTTCGTGTTGGATCACGACGTATCTATCCAGTGTGTTTGCTTGTAGAACGGAGCAGATACTTCTTGCTATGAGAAGAATGTTTCCCGAGTGTGTCGCCAATTTCAATTTGCTGTTGCGGTGGTCATGTGCGGAGTGTGGGGGATGGGTTTTTCAGCCGTGTGTGTGTTTTGTTCTCTGTTTTCCGAGGGACGGGGGGAGATTTCAAAACGAGGGTGGGTTTTTCTTTTTAATCCAGACAAGAAGAAAAAAGATTATCGTTATCCGCGTGTCTTCTTTTCAGCGCCCTGATTTATTTGTCTTGGATGTAACTCGTTTCCGAAGGTTGAAACTGGGGTTGAGATTTTTGCAGCCACGCTTTTTCTGTGTCGTTTCCAGCGCAATGGTTCCAGCCAGCAACCGGGAGGTGAAACTGTGTACGGTACGTTGTCGAAAGATTGAAATAGCGACGCGAAAACTCTCTCCTGCCGGACGGATGCGTGTGGAAGCGATTGTGCGTGTCTTGTTTCCTCTTCGCACTTTGGGACGAAAATTCCACAACTTGTTGTTCGTTTGTCTGGATTTTTTTTATCGTATCAGAAAAATGAGAGACCTCGAGGGAGGGGGAGAGAGAGAGAGAGAAAGAAGATTGTTCGTGTTTCATGAGGATTTTTTGACGATTTCCCGCGTTTCATTCCCCCCTCCCCTTTCTCTTTCTCGGAAGTTTTTCCTCCCCGACTTTTGTGAAAATTTGTTTCGAGTGTGAGTTGGGCAGACGACTTTGTAGGCGAGAGTAAAGACTTGTACCATATTCACTGGGGAAAAATGGCTGAAATGGTTTGGGAGTTGGATTCATTTTTTTGTTGTTTTGCCTTCGTGAGCTTGGGGGGTGTTTTTTTTAAAAAAATTCCCACTAATTCTCTTCGCAGGGTTTGAAAGAACGAACAAAAAAATCACACCAGGGAAAAACAGCGTGATGTTCCATTCCCTGTCGACGTGCTTTGGGAAGTGATGTGACGCGTTCGGGTTTCATTCCGGTTCTTCCGAGATTGAGTCAATCGCTTCCTTCACTTTCGCAATCATACGGGTCAGTTTATCAACTGACGTAGGTTTGATGAAAAATGTACGTCAGGAAAAATGACAAGGAAAAATTTAGGGGTGCTAAGGGGAGATACAGTTGTTCGTGTCCATGAATTACCGTGTTCCATTCTAAGACGACCCTTCGTTAAAATTATTATTTAAATTTTAATTTCAATACAACGCCTGCGTCTGTTGCCTTATTACAGTATTCACAATTTTAACGTTTCCTCCTAAAATCGAGACCCCTTTTTCACTTGATCCGTAAATATTTATAGAATATTGTATCTTGAAGCTTACAGTATATTGTTTCATCAGATACTGTACTAATTTCCCCCTCCCCTAGTTTTTTATTAACAGGAGAGCCAATTAAATATACTGTATTCCCATTGATTTCTATGTGTAAAATATATTCGACATGCGGGTGTTCTGACATAGGGACCGATTACGTCCGCATCTTGAGGCCCCACGTCTTCTGTTTCGTACTTTTAATGCGATTCAGAACGCTTAAGAACATCATTAAAGTTTCATGCTTCTGAACTTCTCGGGGAAATGTAATTTAGAGTTGAACTTCAGGGAGGACTTGAGCATGAATAAACAGGATTAAAAGTTTTCGCCAAGTTCTTAAAATTATATTCGGAGTCATTTCCCGCTATTCCAAATACAGAATGCGAGGAAAGCGTCGTGCGTTGTAGTTTTCCGAGGAATGGAATTGTGGGAGAGGGTCGAGAAGAAGGAAGAGTTTTTTTAGACGCGTACCGGATTCAAGGCTTCAGTGTCGCCGATTTTTTAGCCAGCCGATGTCTCGAAAGTGACGAATTCGAACTCTCCGAGTTCGACACCCTGACTCAGAGTCCATAGGGTATTTTATCATGGCTTTGGCTTGAATCTGTCGATCGTCGCACGACGTGGAAATGGGTTTTCAGTGCCGTCCCTACAGGAACCCCCGCCGACATGGAATCGTCTCATCCACGCGAACATCCAAGTGAAAAAAATCAGGTGAGAGAAGAAAGAGAGAAAGAAAGAGTGAATGAATAAAACGTCGGAATGACGTGCCGACTGTTTGGGATTTCCGCGAACCTCTGCGAAGAACGTTTCGGTCGTGTTCTTGTCTAAACTTACCCGAATCCTCAACTTGTGCAATACATTACAGTTTTCTTCATCGCGTGAATCCGTTTTTCCATTTTTCCTCAAGGACGAGGAAAAGGTTGATCAGTGTTTCTGCCTAATCTTCGTGCGGTCCGAAGAAGGGAATTTCCCGCCGAAATTTTTTCGGTTTTTTCCGTCCCCCCATCTCGAAATTTCGCCATAATATCAGCTGTATCGCGCGAATAGAAACAGTTGAGATTTGGGGAATAAATGTGCGTCAAGATTCCCCAACCCGGTTTTTCCGAGTGCATCGGCGGTCGCGGAATTGCGTTCGGCGTGACAAAATCGCAATTTATTTTTATAACGAGTGTCCTTCAATTTTTCTAGAGCCGAATTTCCTTTTGCTTTTGTTCATCGCAATTCATGTTCACAGATTGGATGTTGTGGAACCGCTGATCGGATCATCTGGATAGCAAATACCCGCTGTATCCAACCGACATGTTGCTGTGATGTGGACTCAGTTTGCCCGCTGTGACCTGTTTTTATTGTTGGTTGTTTACGAATTCTCAAAAAAAAAGAAGGAAAAAAAGAAATACGAGTGTGAAGATGCACGAACGACTGGAAGTAAAGACTTTGATTTTCGAATTATAAATTTTTTTCATGTGTGTCAATTTGAATCTTATATTTTTTAACGTGAAAACATTTCGTTTCCATCTTTTGCAGATGAATGACACGGTGTTGTTTGTGATCGTTTAGCTCGTCGTTTTTGCGCTTGGCTATCGGTGAAATTAGTCGAGCTCCAGCGAACATGGCAGAAGTTGAAAACGGTGGGCAACTTGTTTGGTTTAGTTAGTGTTAAATTTATCGTACTTTCTAGATAATGATCTTTGTCGCAGTTTTTTCAATTGATTTTTTTTTTCTTCGAGATTTAAAAGAACTTTGAAAGTTGCTGCGTTTCTCGAAAACGCTGAGAAGTATTTTTAAACCTTTTGTTAACCTTCGCTGTTTCCAAATGGAAACATCACGTGAGTCTCCTGTAATGGAAATTCTTCTTTACTAGAAAATGTTTCGGGCTACTTGTTTTTGTGTTTACGGCTCTTGGATTTTCTTTTTCGAATAATCCAATTGATTCTTGTAGGTGAGGAATGGAACGGAGACGATGATAATAACGCCGAAGAAGAGGAAAATGAAGATGGCGACGAGGCTGTGGAAGACAATGGTGACGGTGGCGGTGATAGCGATGTTGTCGGACAGGTAATTTGAGCTTCATATACGAATGTGTATGTTTACACTGGAGATTCTGCCGCATTCGTTCTTGAGGTCTAATTCTTCGAACAGAAGCAATCAATTCTTTGATTCGAAGCTTAATTTGTTTTTTGAAAACAGGTTGAACACTAAGCAGTTCGGCTACTCATATTTTTGCCTTGAAGCTTTGTATAATTTGTTTTTTGGTACCTCGTGGATTTTTGTTAGAAACAAGACATGCAACCAGATGGAATTCTTTTCCAGGATGAGGCGGAAAACGATGAAGACTTCGAGCCAAGTGCTGGGAAGAAAAAGCGTCGCGGCAAGAAACGGAAAGCTAAGAGAGACGATGATCGGCGAAGCAAGCGAAAGCGGAAACGGAAGAAGATGGCCGACAGTGACGAGGTCCGTTTCAACATATTTTATTTGATCTATTTCATCTATATGTCTGAGGTGTTTTTCGATTAAATGCGCCGTATGACGATTTTTTCCGCTTTGAAAAAGCTAGGGATGATTGCATTTACGTTTTGTTTTTAAAAATTCGGGGAAGGTTATTTCTTTCGAAGATGTAATTCTGAGTAGCGTCATTGAGCATAAAAATGCACGAGTATCGCCGATTTCGTTCCGATTGGCCCATGGGTATCATGTTTGTGAACATTTCTTTCGCCTCGCTTGGCACATACAGTACATTCGTAAGAAAATTCTGTTTTCAACCGATTGACTGAATCTCAACCTATGGCGAAGTTGTTATAAGTCTCTGAAAAAGTTGGTTCACGTCGTACGTGAATGCAAACTCTGTAGACTTATTCAAAGCTAGTGAAGTACTGCACTGCAATCGTTCGCATATTGATTATGCGTGTCTTTTATTGGAATTGAAGAACAATTTCTTGGAAAATCTAAATGGAATGACTTTGGCTTCGACAGCAGAATGAGAATTTTAGAGAGTTGATTTATTGGTGATTGTTACATCTTTTTCTTTGTTAATGTTGAAGGAGAGCGAAGGAGTTGCGGAGGAAGAGCCTGCAAAAGAAAGCGACTACATGCCGGCGTCCAGCTCCAGCAGGAGTAGTCGCCGAAAGGGTGGCGATTCCGCAGCTACATCATCGCGATCGTCGGTAGCTGAGGATTCGCCGACGCCAGCAAAGAGCGCTGCGTCCTCTACGCCTGCTACTCCGGCGCCTTCGTCTACACAGACGAGTGATTCTAGCGTGTCTACACCGTCCGTGAAGCAGGTTTGCGAAAGCTTTGAGATGAACGACGTGGACATGCAGTTCACCGAGAAGGACTACAAGACGCTTACCAGCTATAAGCTGTTCCAGCAGAAGGTCCGTCCGTTCTTGATGAAAGAAAATCCAAAGGTGAGTCAATTTTTAATGTTTTTCTTACGCAGCGCTTAATTTCTCGGGCGTTTCATTTTTTTTTTTATATTGAAAGGAACCGTATCTCATGCTTGGAATTTTATCGTATGGATAGCTTATATGTCTATTTATTTTTAAATTATGTAAGACTAGTTTATTTTCACGTCTTAAATGACAGTAAAAGGTTATACTTCTGTGAACATCGCGGCAATGTGAAAAACTGTATCCCTCAGTGAGCATTAATTCGACTATCTTGAAAAAAAAAATTCAACTCTTGGTTAAATGAGAAAATACTTTTAAACTACGAACAAAATCGTCCATCATTGCTCCTACGAAAATGTACTCTTCGAAAACTTCCGACAAAGAGGTTTTCCAGTCCAGTCCAACTTAGTTGAATACAACTTTTAAAATATTGAAAGGCTTTCGGATTTCATTTGGTTTGAGTATCGTGGAAGGGTTCGGAAGTGGTCTTTTGTTCACAATGGATTTGTAATTGTCTCGTCTATTTTTCGAATCAAGATCCCAATCACGAAGCTGATGATGTTGGTAGCTGCCAAGTGGCGGGAATTTCAAGCACAAGCGCCTCCGTCTACGGAGCAGGTGGCGGCCGCAGAAGTGGAAGCGCAAACAGCCGACGCGCCGCCTCCACCACCACCGCCCAAACCGTCGAAGCGATCCACTGCGGCAGCCAAGGAATATAAAGATCCTGACTCGGACGACGATGGCGGCGGCGGAGGAGGGGGGTCGTCGGCGAAACGAGGCAGTGCGAGACGATCTGCTCGCGGGAATACTGGCAAGAAATCAGGAGGTAAAGTGCCTACTTTGAAGATCAAGATTGGAAGTCGGAAGAAGAAGGGTTCATCGGTGAGTGAAGAAGTGGTTTATTGCTGCGCGATGATAGCGATATAACCTGTGAATTTCCTTTTTACTATTTTTACTTTATTCTTTGGTACCCTACTTCACTCCAAAAAAATTATATAATCGTGAGAAAGTGAAAACTTCTGTGTTCATTTCAAGATACAGTACTGATTTCAACTTAGTAACCTCTGAGCAGAGATACTGTTCTCCCTTCGAGTATAATCTATATAAACGTCTTGGAAGTTTTTGAGACCTAGTATTTTAGTAGTCAGTTTGAGAACTATTTTGATAATTTTAAGAGTGGTCTATGAACGGTTTCTTATATGGAATAATCCAGGACGATGAAGAGGGAGTCGACAAGGACTCAGACGCGGAGTTTGAGCAAATGTTGGCGGAAGCTGAAGAGGTGTCCAAAGACGATGTCAGTGCTAGTTCTCCTGCGCCAGTGAAAAAAGCCAAAGTCAAAATCGGTGGCAAAAAGAAGTCTAAGAAGAAAAAGGTCAAAACCAGCAGGATCGACGAAGACGGGAATGAAATTGTAAGCATCAGTAAATAAAAATGTTTTATCGCAACATTTTGAATCTAAGGGAGGTCAAGTTATATTTTTGACGAAGTACTTTTCAGTGATTCTCCTTTCTGTTGAGCCATTAGTGAAGGCATGAATGGGAAAGAATTTTTGCGTCGTGGAATGTTTTCGAGTTGCAACGACTGTATTGATTTTAGGCCTGCTCAGTTTGTTTTTCTTTTCTGTTCTTCAAGACAAATCATCAGGATTATTGCGAAGTATGCCAGCAAGGTGGGGAGATCATCCTCTGCGATACATGTCCGAAAGCGTATCACTTGGTTTGTTTGGACCCGGAGATGGACGAGGCCCCCGAGGGCAAGTGGAGTTGTCCGCACTGTGAAAAGGAAGGTCCACCGGAAGCGTCTTCAGAAGAAGATGAGCATAACGAGTTTTGCAGGTCGGTTTTGCATCCAAAATTTGGAGTGTTTCTCTTGTCTATGAATACGAAGTACAAGGTTTGATTACATTTTTAGGGTGTGCAAAGATGGTGGAGAATTGCTGTGTTGCGACTCGTGTCCGTCAGCTTACCACACGTTCTGTTTGAATCCCCCGCTGGATGATGTTCCGGATGGGGATTGGCGCTGTCCACGTTGTTCCGTGAGTTGTGCAATTTTTTTTACCCCGTTCTAGATTTTTCGATTTTAGCTGGACTTCATTAAGCTTTTGCGGGAATTTTCTGATGGAAAAGCATCACTCTGCTCTTTTATTCGTTTTTTTAAACATCTGTAAGAAAATATTGTGGAAGTATTTTCTACGCCCGATGATCCACCCAGTATTGGTAGAAGCATTTGTTGCCAATCAACTGGGAACGACATTTTCGAAGGGCGAAATAAAACTTCAGCCTGGAATTTCAACCGTGACTTCAGTGATATGTTTTTCAATTCTGAGTCACTTTACCTTCTAAGGCACAATGTCATATTAAATTTAAAGACATAATTTTGGAGTTTTGACATGAATGAACTGGGTTTTCACATTTATTTTTCCTTTTTAGTGTGACCATCTACCGTACAAGGTGCAGAAAATTCTAACGTGGCGCTGGGCAGAAAAAGCAGGTGACGATGCCGACAAAGCCGCTGCGGGAAAGAAGAAGAAGGGCAAGTCTCAGAAGCCCCCGCGTGAATTCTTTGTCAAGTGGCTTGACCGTTCCTATTGGGAGTGCGAATGGGTCAGCGAAGTTCAGGTCAGTTTCTTGATTTGTTTATTGATCAAACTACGCTTCTTGTGAGGATGTCAGATTTCACCGCGCAGTTTAAAAAATACTGTATGTACTGCGAAGTACTAGTAAAAGTACCTATTCAGGAATGTCATCACTAATTTTTTGTCGCACTTCGACGTATTCTCTACTTATTTGGAACATTTTCAACTCCCTTCGAAATTGAAGCATTTATAAATTGTAGGTTTGTACAAGGTTTTCGAAATTTCAAACGAAATTCAATATTACAATTCGTAAGCCATTGATGATTTGTAAGATTTTTTAGACGCTTGGGATTAATTTTTGAGACATTAGTTTAACCCATACCTTGTGGGGTAACTTGGAAGAATGACTCCTCGAATAACGCATGGAAGATGGAGGCGGTGGGTGACTGGGATATCAAAATACAAATGTGAATGACGGGAAATGATTTAGAGTTTTAGACAACCTTTTTGGAATTTTATGTTCATCTCAACAGCCCTACTTTAGCCTGGAATACTCAGCGAAAAAGCGAAGAATTTTGCTCATTACCTCTCATTTCTTCTTACGAATTTGTTCTGTGTAATATGTAATTTAATTTTCGTGCAGCTGGACGTGTTTCATCCTCAAATGTATCGCATGTTTCTGCGGAAATACGATACGGAAGAGCCTCCAAATTTCGATTTGGAAGAAGATGGTGAGGAAGAAGACATTGAAGCGAAAAAGGGCGAGATGTATGAAAGGTTTTATCGGTTAGTATCACTTTCGTCTTTGCATACCGGGTTACTGCTCTTGAAAAGTTTGTTGATTTTATTTTGGAATTTGTGATAGGCACGGGATCCGGCCGAACTGGTTGATCGTCAACCGAATCGTGGCCCACCGGCAAACCAGAAACGGACTAGAATTCCTCGTGAAATTCAGAGATTTGCCTTACGATCAAGCATGTTGGATTCAGGAGGATGCAGATTTCTTGCCAGATCTCAAGAAAGCCGTCGATGATTATTTTGTAAGCTCTCCGCTTTTTATTTCTACTTGAAGAAAAAAGCTATTCAATTCCCTTTCGTTCCTTGTAGGATCTGAGATCAATTTTCTCTAACGACGGCCAGTTACAAAGCAAGAAGAACAAAAAGAAGAAGAAATCCAAATCCAAGGCTGACGACGACGACAGTCCTCCTAAGCCGCAAACTTCTGGGTATGTTGAGATGAATGAAGGAAGATTGCGATACTTTCCAAGCCGTACACAACTATCAGGATTGGATTAGTTCAAGATTGTTTTCAAAGCTTTCTGTGCGACGCAAATTTTTCAAGCTATGAAACAACGTCATATCTGAGTTGTCTATTTAAAAACTGTGCTTGATGAGGAACTTATATTTGTTAGTCGATACACCATGCCGCCGGAAAGACCTGTCACTGATCTCAGGAAGCACATGGAACAACAGCCTGACTATTTGGATATTACAGGAATGAAATTGCATCCTTATCAAATGGAAGGTCTGAATTGGTTGCGGCACTCGTGGAGTCAAAAGATTGACACCATTCTTGCTGGTGCGTTTGCTTAATTTATTTCAACGATTGGAAAATGACATCTTGTAAAATGCTTACTTTCTAACACAGACGAAATGGGCTTGGGGAAGACGATCCAAACCATCACGTTCTTGTATTCCTTGTACAAAGAAGGACATTCGAAAGGCCCGTTCTTGGTGAGTTAATGTTTGTCATCATTTTAGGAACAAAGAATCGTTGGTTCCTTATTAAAGCCTTTCTTTTTTTTTATCGTGCATGCTTGAAATTGCCCCACATTTTTATCTTATTCCGATAAATAAATACGAAATCAAACTTCTATTATTCAATTTTTTGTTTTCCTGATTCTTGATTGACTACAAGAATGTTTATTTTATGCGTAATGTGATACCAGTTGAAGGTTCCGGGTTATCCTCCTCTCAATTATCTTGGCGTATTTTTCTTTTGGAAAGTCATCACCATTCTGTCTAGACCGAAAGGGTGTCCAAGAAGTCATTTTTTCAGTTGAAGCCCCGATTAGTAACTGTACATTTTTGGTAATCGACTTCACATGCACGCTGTAATTCTTTGAAGTACAGTACTGTAGATGCAATACAGAACATGGGTTGAACACCTTCTCCCTGTTCTATCCAGCGTTTGATGAAATTATTGAATTTTTATTGGATCATAGGTGAGTGTGCCGTTGTCCACGATCATCAATTGGGAAAGAGAATTCGAAACTTGGGCCCCGGAATTCTACGTGGTGACGTACGTCGGAGACAAGGACTGTCGAACAGTTATCCGTGAAACCGAGCTGTCATTCGACGAAGGAGCTGTTCGGAGTGGCGCGAAAGCCTATCGCATGAAATCGACGTCGAACCTCAAGTTCCACGTGTTACTTACATCTTACGAACTCATTTCGATTGATCAGCCGTGTTTGTCCAGCATTGACTGGGCTGTGCTTGTCGTTGACGAAGCTCATCGTTTGAAGAACAACCAGTCCAAGTTCTTCCGAATCCTGGCCTCGTATCCTATTGACTACAAGCTTCTTTTGACCGGGACGCCTTTGCAGAATAACCTCGAGGAGTTGTTCCACTTGCTGCACTTCTTGGTGCCGGATAAATTCACGGAATTGTCCCTGTTCCAAAATGAATTTGCCGACGTTTCGAAGGAGGAGCAGGTTAGATAATTCTCGAATATTCGAGTGTGCATCTGAAGAGAAAGCTAAAATTCGGGGTTTTTTGTTTCTGAGATCATAACCAATTTTAAGTATACAGTACTGTATTCTACGCTTCCGTCGCTAGGTGAAAAAACTTCACGACATGTTGGGACCGCATATGTTGCGTCGTCTGAAAGCGGACGTACTCAAGGGAATGCCATCCAAGTCTGAGTTCATCGTGAGAGTCGAGCTTTCACCGATGCAGAAGAAATATTACAAGTACATCCTGACACGAAACTTCGAAGCACTTAATGCGAAAGGCACTGGCCAATCGGTACGTTATTTCTTTTTGTTGTTGTTATTGATGAATTAGCTCATCATTGGAATATGTTCTGATATCTGCATTTTATCCTGTGATTATTCATGTGATTTTTTGTGGAAATAATGTGAACCGAGGGATTTTTTCTGTTTTTAGGTTTCGTTGCTCAACATCATGATGGACTTGAAGAAGTGCTGCAATCATCCGTTTTTGTTCCCGGCTGCGGCTGCTGAGGCTGGACGGATGCCGAATGGAGCTTTCGAAGGCAGTGGGCTTGTGAAATCCTGTGGAAAGTTCGTGCTTTTACAGAAAATGTTGCGGCAACTGAAAGATGGTGGCCACAGGTGAGTGATATTTTCTGATTGATTTTTTAAAATGTTCTCGATTATCTGATGTTTGAAATTATATTTAAAATCTTTCAGATCAGAACTAATGATCTCCTTTGAGCTTTGGGTGTTGTCTAACTCCCTTCAGCGATATTCGCTGGAGCAAAAAATGACTCGTTATACTGGGATTATTGTTCTAAAGGAGCCACTTGTAGAATAAAATATTCGTTCTTGAAGAAAAATATCGTAGACAGTCCGGTGGGCCTATTATAATAAGTCATCATAAGCAGAATCTTACTGTGGACAAGATAATTGCAGTAAGTTGTATCTGGTATTTTAGTACTCTACAGGTGCTGTATACATTTTTTTGTGCATAGAATCACTTTAAAAATTGGCTTGATTCATCAACTTCATTTCATGGTCGAGTTCGTAAAGGGGTTGTTTTCCTATTGGTATTGTGTAATAATCCAGAAGCATTTTTTCAGGGTGCTGATATTTTCACAAATGACAAAAATGTTGGATCTTCTGGAAGACTTCATGGAGGCAGAAGGTTACAGATACGAACGCATTGACGGTAGCATCACTGGGTCAGTTCGACAAGAAGCAATCGATCGATTCAATGCCCCAAATGCTCCGCAGTTCGCTTTTCTCTTATCTACTCGGTGAGTTTTTCTTTTATATTTTTGGCCAATGAAGCTTTTTAAATTTTTGAATTAATCGCAAACTTATTGCAGAGCTGGTGGTTTGGGTATCAATTTGGCAACAGCCGATACTGTCATCATTTACGATTCGGATTGGAATCCGCACAACGACATCCAGGCATTTTCGCGTGCCCATCGTATCGGTGAGTTTTATTCTGTGTTTTAGAAAGTCGAAACTTGACGTTCGTCTGCGTCCGTGACTTCAATCTAAACTAAAAGTTTTGAACGCTGTCCATCTTGAATTAATTTAATAAATAAGAAAAAATAATATTCGGGCAACAGCTGCACAGTGCCGTGAAAAATTGAGAAGTTGAGGACGTCGACCGTTTGAATAAAAGTATTTTGAAACTTCAAGCTTCATGAACGCAAAATTTAATATACTGTAGTTTAAATGTATTAGTGTTGATTTAACTTGCTGTGAACGGTCTTTTCATTATTCAGGTCAAGCGAACAAGGTGATGATATACCGGTTTGTGACGCGTAATTCGGTTGAGGAGCGTGTCACACAAGTTGCGAAGCGGAAAATGATGTTGACGCATCTGGTGGTTCGACCTGGAGTTGGCGGTCGGTCTGGAGGCTTCTCGAAGCAAGAACTTGATGATATTCTTCGCTTTGGTACCGAAGACTTGTTCAAAGAAGACGAGGTTTGTTTATAAACATTTTTTCCACATGTGATGGTAATGCAGGATTCACTTCTTCCTTTTTTATCGGGCGTCGATGGACGGAATCGAGTTATTTTTATTTTTATTCCTTCTTGCAGGGGAAAGATGAAACAGAAATTCACTATGATGACAAGGCCGTTGCTGATTTGCTGGACAGATCCAAGCAAGGTATCGAACAAAAGGAGAACTGGGCTAACGAGTACCTGACGTCTTTCAAAATTGCTACTTACGGGGTCAAGGAAGGCGAAGATGAAGAGGTTTGTTTTCCTTATTTATACAGAATTGTGAAAAATTTTCATCGTGTCTTCCCCTAGGATCGTTCAGTTGGAGGTTTAAAATTTTGTAACATCCTTATTCGGGTTGAATTATACATTTAATTTTATCGAAACGGCCAGGAAGGAATCTACTGTATCGATGTTCGACTTTCTTTTTTCCGGGTTTCCAGGAGCCGGAAACTGAGATTCTCAAGCAGGAAGCGGAAACTGCTGATCCGTCTTATTGGGAAAAGATTCTTCGTCATCATTATGAACAACACCAGGAAGATGTTGCCAGATCTTTGGGCAAGGGCAAAAGAGTCCGTAAGCAAGTCAACTACAACTACACCGACACGATCGAAACGAGGGAAGATAATACTTGGCAAGACAACAACTCCGAGTACAATTCTGACTTTTCGATGCCGTCTGACGACGACCGGGAAGACGACGATTTTGATGAGAAGAGCGTCGATGGTGAGTCCGAACTTGCAACCTTTGAAATCTTCGACACGACGATTGAGGAATTACCTTTTTTTTGTCATGTTTCGTTGTAAACGATTGTGTGTTCTACGTCCCTTTTTCAACGGTTCTCGAGCAAAAAGGATTTGCCAGAACAGCATTGAGGGACGGAAAGTAAATTCACTGCGGATTTTTAGAAGAACTTTTCCGATTGCCATGCAGTCGTACGAGGAAAGTTCTCAAAGGCTCTGTAGTACAGTGCTGTACAGTAAAATAAAAATTAGTATATGTACACGTTATTCAATTCGAATGAACTCGCATATGCACTCGTAATTTTTCAGTAGAAGCGAGACGAAGTAAGCGGAGGGAGCATCCGAGAGGAGAGAAGGATCGTCCTTTGCCACCCTTGTTGGCCAGAGTGGGTGGAAACATTGAGGTAAGTTTCACATGAAAAAAAATTGGGGTCAAACTAGAAAATTTCAACAAAAATTAATTTAAAAAGTGAATATGTTGAGTTTGTTTAAGCACATTTTTGCTTTTGTAGGTTCTGGGCTTCAATGCGAGACAAAGGAAAGCTTTTGTGAACGCCATTATGCGCTTCGGAATGCCGCCACAGGACTCGTACAATTCGCAGTGGTGAGTATTTTCTTTTAGGGGAAAACTTCAGTCATCCTCCGCACTCCGTGAAAACGTTCTTAATTTTCGATTATTAATCTTTTTTCCCCTATAGGCTGGTACGTGATCTTCGAGGAAAGACGGAGAAGAATTTCCGTGCATATGTATCGTTATTCATGCGCCATTTGTGTGAGCCCGGTGCGGATCATTCGGACACGTATGCAGATGGCGTGCCACGCGAGGGCCTGTCTCGCCAGCATGTATTGACTCGTATTGGCGTCATGGCGTTGATCCGCAAGAAGGTCAGCTTTTTTAACGAAAATTTCACGACTTCGGACGACCTGCTTTGGGATTTCTGGAAAACCCCACAAATCTCTCGATTTCCGGACTTAGAACTTGCTGATGAATTTTTTTTTCTATGAATATTTTTCTTCATGATTCAAAAATTTCTGATTGAAGTCCTTCGGTCCTTTGATAGAAGCTTTTGCTTCTGTGAAGATTTTCATGAGAAATGTGTCCCTTTAGGTGTACGAATTCGAGCCGATAAATGGGACGCACAGTATGCCAGAATTGCTGGACAAGCTGGCCCTGCAGCCACCGGCTTACTCTGTCCCTCAAGCAGGCAGCGACGCTGGTTCGAAGAGCGATTCCGCGAATGCAACCCCTTCTCAATCTGCTCAACCGAGTCCCGCCCCTGAAAGACCCGCTGAAGAAGATGGCGAACAGGCAGCATCGGCAGCAGAGAAAAAGAAGGAGGATGAGGAAAAGAAGGATTCGAGCGAGGAAAATAGCTCAGAGAAAGTCGATAAAGACACTCCCATGGCTGCCGAAGAAAAACGTGCGACTTTTATAAATGGCGAATTATGAAATGGAACAGATCTGTATTGACGCGTATATTTATGAATTTTTTCTTTTAGAATCAGAACCTGCGGAATCTGAAGGAACTGTGACACCAAAAGCAGAAGCCGAAGAGGAGAAAGCGCCTTCAGAATCTGCTACAGCGGCTGCGCCGGAGGCGAAGGAAGAAGTCAAGGAGGCGGGTGAAACTGCCGGAGCCGCAGTTGAAGCTTCGAAGGAATCCGAAACCCCGAAAGAAAAAGTCGCAGAGACTGAGCAAAAGGACGGCAAGGAAACGACAGAGAAGGAAGGTGAAGAAAGCGCTACAGCGGAGAAGACGAAGGAGGAATCGAAGGAAAGTGCGGAGGCTGAGAAGAAGGAGCCCGTGCCACCGCCCAAGTTCATGTTCAATATTGCCGACGGCGGCTTCACCGAATTGTACACGCTTTGGCAGAACGAGGAAAAGGCGGCTGTTCCCGGCCGAGAGTATGAGATCTGGCACCGAAGGTGAGACCGTCTGTTGTTGAATTTTGAGGATTAAAAAAAGTAAACTTTGAATGATTCTCAATTTGGTTTTAAATGAAAAAAAACGTCATCTACGAAACTCTTTGAAGGAGCAACACAGACGGAGTATAATTTTGCATGATTCGACGCACTCTTTCGCTCGAATCGTGATCGAATTAAACTTATTTTTATTCAATTTCTGAGCGAGTAGTCGTCGTTTTTCATCGTCCTATTCCTATCGGGAGTTCTTGATGATTTGTACTCGACGCCCGATTTTGTTTCTTTTTCTATCGCATAGGAGCAGTCTGACTTACCTAATCTGCAATTTCGTCTGGTTCAAACCCTGTTTCGTGTTGAGTTGGTTATGGTTGTGTTATTTTATTGATGGAAGTTTGTCAATTAATTTAGTCTTCAATTAGTAATTTTGAGGCGACACCTGGTGGGCGTTCAAAGAGTCAAGGTCGAGTTTTTAAAAGGAAGGGAAAAGTTGGACTTACTAGACTACGCAATTCTTTGACTTGAGGTTCTGCTGACAGTGCTTATTGAGCGAATGTTTCGTGTTCCAGGCACGATTATTGGCTGTTGGCTGGAATAGTGACGCACGGCTACGGCAGATGGGGGGACATCCAGAATGATCCCCGATTCGCAATTATTAATGAGCCATTCAAGATGGATGTTGGTAAGGGCAACTTCCTCGAGATCAAGAATAAGTTCCTGTCTCGGAGGTTCAAGGTATGTTGAACTGTTGCTAGCTAGTGTATTTCTCGAATTCCTCTTTTCTGATGATATGAAATCTATAAGTCACGTCGTTAGGAATGTTGGTTACTTCGATCATGATATCCCTTGATGTCCGCGCGTTTTTCGGGAATTCGATCGATCGTGAATGTTATTTATCATTCAATTACTTTTTCAAGATATTCTCTAACACGATTCCCTTGTATAATTGGTCCAAGAAATAATGCGTACCACAAATGTACTTCCCCACATCTTAGGGGAAGTATTCGTAAATTTTCAAGGCAAGTTAATATTGTACTTTTATTCGTGCGTGGGAGAAAAAAGGATGGTTGGAAAATTCTGATGAAGCATGGAAGACTTCGAATTGTTAAATCCTTGAGTGTGATCTGATCCATTAAAATTATGAACTGGCCCAACTTGGCTTTAACTTTTCGAAATCGGATCGAGTGGTGGAAATAAAAACACAACTTGTTATAATTGCGTTGTCTGTGGAGCAATAAGCATTGAATGCATTTTAATCTTCTCATGAAAGTGACTTTTTATTAAAATTTGAACGTGTTGGTGCCTCGCGAGGTCATTTAGTCAAGATGCCTGCTTTTTTGTTGTAGTTGCTGGAACAAGCGTTGGTGATCGAGGAGCAGCTTCGACGAGCTGCCTACTTGAACTTGGTGCAGGACCCTGCACACCCAGCGATGAGTCTCAATGCCCGCTTTGCTGAAGTGGAGTGCTTGGCTGAGTCGCATCAGCACCTTTCCAAGGAGTCTTTGGCCGGCAACAAACCTGCCAATGCTGTTCTTCACAAGGTTTGTGTTTCCTTTGACATTTATATTCAGTGTATGTATCTCTCATTCATTTTTCCGAGAGTTTCGAGGGGGAATTCAGCTGAAGCAGAAAAATGAACGTGGGGCGAATTAATAAATAATGTCATCTTTTTCATTCCAGGTGCTGAACCAGTTGGAAGAGCTGTTGTCGGACATGAAAGCCGACGTGAGCAGACTGCCAGCAACCCTGGCCCGCGTGCCGCCAGTGGCCCAGCGTCTGCAGATGTCGGAAAGGTCAATTCTGTCGCGACTGGCGACGACCACCCCGCAGCAGCAAGTGCAGCAGCCGGTGGCGGAGGCGCAGCCGTTGCCGAGCATGCCAAAGTTTCCACAGGGCTTCACCCCGCAGGGCGTCTTGAGTGGTTTCGCCGGAGCCAACTTTGCCCAGTTCCGGCCCGAGTTTGCCGTTCCGGGCCAGCAGCAGTTGGCTGCAGCCGTGCAGCAGGCTGCAGCGTCCTTCAACGCGTTCAACGCCGCCGCTGCTGCGGCCGCCGCTTCTCGGGGAAGCGGGGCCCCGGGCGTGGCGTTCCCCGGGAAATTGTAGGACGGAATTAATTGATTGCGAGGCGATGGATGGCTTTGTGGAATGACTGTGGAATCGTTGAATTGATTTTTCCCCCTCCCGACTTGCAGCCGTTTTTTTTTCTTTGCAATTACCGTGACGCGGAAAACAAAAATCGTGGCCATTAGGACGCGACTCTCGTGGCTCAAAGCGGATCGACTACGGTGTTATTTATTTTTAAAAGCTTGCTTTTGTTGAAAAGCGAAGGATCCGTTTCTGGAGGGATTTCTCCTATTCTGTGACCCTTGTTTTGTCCAACTGAGGAAAGAAGGTTAGCAGTGAAATGGAATGGTCTCGTCTGTCACGGAAGTTGTCGAGTAATAGACGAAATCTCAGATAGTGTTAATTGTTCAATACATTCAGTCCGCATTCCCACTACGATAGTACGATGTAAATGATGGATTTCATTGTTGGGTGGTTGGTGTTCTTTGACTGATGCGCTCATGACGGAGGGTGGTTGAATTGTTCGGGTTTGTTTGTGTCAGTGTGACTGTGTCTTATTTGAACATAATGGTTGTGACTGACGTGTGGAAGAGGCTAAATACATTTTTTGAACGCCGTTTTCTTCTTGGAAGAAGTTTTTCATCTCTTGATTTCGACATTTTTCAATATGATCGCTCATGGGGGGGGGGTTACGAAGTGCCGGTGAACGTCTCGAGGTGCAGTATTTTTCTTCCGACAGTTGATTAGATGCGCAAATCGAGTAGAAATCGGCAGAATTTCATAGCATTGTATGGCCATGAGCCACATCCCTACGAATCAAAATGAGGGATCTGAAGAAAGGTGGGAGTTTTGAACGACGCGACGTAAGCCCAGGTTGTTCAGAAATGCTTCCCTGGCTATGGTTCAGAATCTCGTTTCATTGCAATTGTTATTCATTCGTGGTAAGGTGCCAACTTTTGGTAATGAAGTGCAATTGTCAACGATCGACGCGGACGAAGCTTCTTGAATCTAGTATGATCAGTTATGTAAGACGTGTTGTCCACTGGACCTTCATATTCAACCGCGGCGTTAACTTAATTTGACCTTGCGCAGGTTATGGGAGAAAGTTCACGAACGAAAATTGTCGAACTTTGAGGGAATCGCCGTTTCATTTGTTCAGTGAGATGTTGGACCCGTTTTGTGCCGTTGATCTCCGACGTCGTCATATTTCTACCTGAGCTTAGATCCGAGATCATTCTCGGTGGTGTGACATGTTACGTGCGTTTTATCCGTCTCTTGTTCACTGTATCGGTTTTCACTTCAACTTCACCGTTCCATTGTGCTAGCACGTTTCATATTGAAGTTCACCTGTATACCAGCGTTGTCCTCGATTTTTTGCAGACATTCTCCATTCTAGATTGCACCCAAATTTTTTGTGCCGAAGGGTTTACATTGGTTGCTACGACGTGTGTTTTGAAGATGGCGGATGATATTGGAGATGATGATCATGGGAAGTTTTTCTTGCGCAATTGGGAACAGCAATGCATTCGAGAGTTTGAAGATGACGATGAAGAACCGTCCCTTCAGCATCAGCGTGATTTGGAAGTCCTAAGTCACGGATTGTATCACAAATTTCAAGTATGTTTGCGGTTGATTTCCGTATTTTATTCACTGATTACTTGAAAGTTAATGTCGGATCAAGATTAATAGATGCAATACATACTTAATTTGTGGAAAGACTTGAGTGAAAAAAGAAAACAAATGAATGTCATCTTTCGGGGGGCAGAATCGAAGTCGCCCTGATCGGATTTCTGACAGCGTCTTGATGAACGACGAATCTTTCTCGTTATAGGTCGCTGCCACCTCCGTCGCACAGCTTTACAAAGATAGGGTGCAAGGGGTCTCCGTGTGGACGCCGTTCCAGAATGCAGCAGGAACAGTCACGGAGTTGTACAAAGACGGGAACGATGCAATACACCGCAGCAATGAGCTGGGTTATGCGCTCGGCTACCAGAAACGAACTCGCGATGTGGTTGCATGGGTGAAGCGGAAACCGGGGCATATTCGTCGTGAAGAACTGATATCCTTTTTGTGTGGAAAGGCTGCTCCTGATGTACCCTATGGACAACGATTGCATCACGTCAGGTTGGTTCCTATAGCATTTGAGTGTTGGAAGTGCTGTTCCATTTTTTATTGATCGATTGAAATATATTTTTGAGGAATATCCTCTGCGTTGCATTAGGTAACCGGGGATTGAATACTAAGATCACTTCGGCTTTCCATTGATTTTTGTATCGAGTGATTGATTTTCTTCTTTTTCGTTTTCCCGTGTCATCCTCGGAATGTATTCGTATTTGTCTTGAATTCTAAGTAGGATTGTTTTCACTTTATTTTTCTTCAGGAATTCCCCGCGACTGAGAATGAGTGGAGAGCAGCGTTTAAACTCAGCACCTGAAACCGGAAATGGCGGGGCAGTGACTGAAGAACTGCTTCACACGTTCCAAGAAGCGATCAGTGTCGCCAGTGAGTTTATTGTTTGACTAGTTTTTCCTATGAATTCCCTACAACAAGATCGCCGCATTTACTTGAGTACCGCACACCCTTGAGTACTACACGTACTGAAGGTTCCCTCTACCATTGTGATGAAATCCTACCACCGAGTGGGACACGCACTCCATTTTTAGTGGTTGAAAAACTACGATACAATATTTCAAAAATGAGACACCAGAAAGCGAATTTCAGGAATTCAATTGATTTTCAATCTTTTCGATTAAAAATTGTCCAAAATTCTACCGTTTTCTTTTCCTTTCAAATATTGTATCCCTTAATCCTTGAATGACGCGTACTCCCTTATTTCCTTACAATTTTGTGAAAGAAGGTGCGCGTGATCCCCTTATCTGAAAGGGAAGAAGGTGGGGTTTGTTTGTAACTGTTTTGGAGAAAACCTAGATTTATATCAGATTTTATGTTAGGGTGCCTATATTTGCATATCAACAGAAATTAAATTTTGTGTATGAAACATCTTGGGGGTCCGTCGTTGCTTATATAGTATTCGTTACGGTATTCCTATTTCTCTGTAGGTTTCAATGCGGCTGTGAGAACCCCGATGCCAGGGACTGGGGTGAACCAGGGGCCGACGAGGAGGCGTCCTAGTCCGCAACACTACGTGGACTTGAGCAACTTCATGTCCAAAGAGTTCGCTAGCCACGGGCTCAAGCGCCCGGCTCCACCTTCGCCGACGCATCAAGACGAAGTCATGGACTCTCCCACCCACAAGAAGCCACGCTTCAACTGATTTCCGGCCGCTCTGGAAGAGACAGACGGCGGCCGTCCCGAATTCTCTCCTTCGTCGCGAATTCTCGGAGCTGTGGAAAGGGGCTACTGCTTGTCCGCAGGGGGTTCAGTAAATTAATTCCTCGTTCGCTCGACTTCATCGGCTGCGTCTGGAAAGCTCCTAATCGAAGATTCCGTTCCCTTTTCGAAATGTCCCGGCTTTCGTGTATTCTTCGTAAGCTTTTCATTTGATTTACAAATTTAGCACCCCCCTCCCCCTTGAAATAAGCGTATAGTAAGTTTTCTTGGGTTGCTGCCGATTCCGAATCTAAATTCAGATCATGAACTTGAGATGCTACAATTTTCCGTTACCGTTTTTTGAAATTCTGCGGGTTTGTTTTCTTTCGTCTTGTCTCTAAATGAAAGTAAAATGAGGCACATTCAACTCTTTCTTCGTCTGCGAATTAGAAACTCGCAAAAACTTCGTTATGGAACAGTGAGAAAGAGACATTTTTCATGAATATTGTTTTCCTCGGGCTCATGGCGGTACATAGAATTGAATTGTCTTTTTTTCGTGTTTCTCTTGATAAAACGGTTGCAGCGCAGTAGGAAGACTGACTAGAAGAAATGTGTCGAGTCTCTTTTTCCTTTTGAAAGGGCATTTTCCGTTTCTGGGCGTCTTCGTTCGTGTTGGGGGGAATTGAGTAATGATGCATATATATGTTATTTTGCGAAATCAGGCGAATTGCGGGCATCTTGATTCGATTAATGATTTGGTTCGATCTGCTCACCTCGTAGTTTACTGGGCCGTAAATGCTAGTAATTTTTGTTAGTATCGAGCATTGAGTCACATTTTTCGGGGGCTTCGATTTGATGTACTTTGGTTTTGTTTTTTTGAATTGTAATTATTGCTCGGATGTCCATATCCGTTGTACACCGAAAGAAATACCGAGGATATTTTCAGTACAGTAATATCTCCTGCTGTAATTCCCCAAAAATAAATCAGATCTTGTATATTTTCTTTCAAGCCTGCATTAGCTCTGATTTTTTGAGATTCATCAATGAGAAACATTTTTACAAGAACGGTGATCACACCATCTTCTATGATACTCAATTCCAGATTTGACTCCTGAACCGAATGCAAATTCTTCAGGTTAATTGTCCCGAAATGTCATGAGGTACGTTAGACTGTTACGTCAGTTTGCCAATAATCTGGTTTCTGATCTAGTTAAATTTATCGACGTATTTTGCGTGACTGGTTCCATTTTGTAGGAATTTCGCGATAATTCGAAAATCAGAAGTGCGTAAATCAGACATGTTTCATAAAATGATTTTTACGTTTTAGAAAATGGTCTCATTTTCAAACAGGGAAGAAAATTTTCCTTTTTTAAATACATTTTGAGAATTTGTGTTTGAACTTTCAATTGAGACATGCATTTCTAAATTTTCAATTGAGTTGAACGTAATGCCCTGCACTGTTCGCATTAAATAAATTTGATACATTGCGTAGTTAGGTATGTAGTGAATTGGCTTTGGTTTGATGAGCCAATCTTAAAATGTTCCATTATCCCAGATATGAACCGTTTGAACTTGATTCTTATCCTGAATAAGGTTTGTACAACGAGTGGCGCCGTAATATTTCATTATGCTTCTTATTTTCTCTGAAGTCCATATTTTCGGGGAAACACAGGACTTCCATTTTTCTGAGGTTTTGATGTGTAGAATGCATTCGAAATTATGCCTGAATTTATTACCTGCACTTCTAGAACATTTTTAGGCTTACTGTACTATTATGAAAATATCCGCGGTGAATCGATTTGAGAGGCCAGGGGGCAGAATTTTAAATAAATGAAGTGCGTTTTGCAAATTGTAAGAAATCGGAATCGCCCTGCAGTAGATGGGTTTCAGTTGACGGGTTTCAAGTGCGTCTGTTGATTCCCTGTCCGAGAAGGAGGTCTTGAGAAAGGGAAAAGAAAAAGCTGTGATTCGGGATCGTATTGAAGAAGGATCGGTTCTAGAAAAGAAGGTCTTGAGAAAGTTGGGGCGACCTGGACCAGAAATCGAATCCGCTGTTGGTTCTTCTTTGTGTTCCTTTAAAGGCTCGCGGTTTGTTGAAAACTTTTTTTTGAGGATTTTTGAAGGATACTGTATTTGAATGCGATACATAGGGTGGCCGGTAAGGCGTCGCCGATAAAATTTTTTTTTTGCGTGGCGATGAGTCTTCGAAAGTGTATTCGAGTCTGTTTCTAAGTTTGTGTGCTGTATTCATTACGAAGTTTTTTTGTTGAAAACATTCAGCTGGTTGCGATTTTGCACGTTGCTCGACTTGGAATCTCCGATCCGAGTCCCCAGGTTTCTTCCGCTGTCTCCTCTTTTATTTTGTTGCGTGCCTCGAGCATCATTATGAATCGTTCTTGTAAAGAGCAGAGTAATATTGACCTGATGCTGAATGGGAATGCGTCTTCCAGTTGCTTACCTTATTTTTGGCCATTGATGTTGAAATGTTTCCTGTTTCTCTTGCAGTGTGTCGTGGGATTTCTTGGGACGGAAATTCGCCGTCGTGCGTGGTGGAAGAATACTCCGCTGCCAAATTACTGTAATTATTATCTACCAGAGAAAAGCTACAATTTTAAGAGTGACATGTTCTGGAAAAGTGGAGCTATTTTGGTTCCTTTATCTGACCTTCCGATGATGCTCAGCAGTATTATGGATCTACCTTTTTTGTGAGAATGTTGAAATGCCAATTTCAAAATGTTCACACATGCTTGCCTATGTATAGAATTTGGCCCAGAGGTGTGTACAGTACTTAATTGGGGCTTGGATCTTATTCCTAAGAATTTGAATGGAAACATATTTGATGGGCTCTTCTGTTCAGGAAAAGTCTTCCTGAAATAGAATAACAATTGTTTCTCAACTTCAAGATACAGAAAATTGCTGTGCTGAGGAGAACCAGATAGAATTGTATATTTTGCTATGAAAAAAGATAAAAGTACATTGGCCACCTGCCTAACAGACCTTTTGTGTAAGATATTTTTGCTAAACAGACCAGCTCTGCAGGCAGTTTTTCCTCCCACCCAACAGTCTAAATCTGCCTAACAGACTTCTGTTGGCTTAAAATTAGTGTTGACAAAAGTTTCTTATCTTTTATGTAATTGAATTCATCTAAAGGACTCTTTGTCGAACAGACTTGTCCATTTCAGGAATTAAGTCTGTTAGAGGGGGTTGACTGTATAAGCAGAAGTCTTGCTAACTGTGCTCAGAGGTTGGAAAGCACTTATTCAACAAAAAAAAAAACACGAAAGCAGCCTGTTTTCGATTATTAATGAGTAAATTTATGGTGATTTTTTATTTTCATCATGAATAGCTTAATTCATTCAAGAGCTTGAAATTTTTTTAGTTGTGGAACCGTCAGAGCTTCATTTGAAGAGGTTTGACGAAATACTGAACTTTTGTCGCATTTTACCCACATGTTCTGTATGTAAGAGCCCTTTGATGCTGGTTGATTGCCTGAATATTTTTTCTTGAACTGTAGTACAATTTGAGCACATGAGGAAATTGAGTGACTTATTAAGGTTGAAAATGGATATGATACATTTGCACATTCATTGTTGCAATAACTTGATGGAGATATTCTGTAGTACTGCATCAAAAATTTAAATGTGGGATATAAATAAGGGAAAACAGTTTTACGAGGCAAGTGCAATTATTATTTTTGCCCGATAATTGCAATTAAGGGGTATTCTCTCTCCATTGATCTTTACGAATTTGTCTCCGAATAATTCCCACTTACATACCTAACTACGCAATGTATCAAATTTATTTAATGCTAATAATGGGAACAGTGCATGATATTCGAATAGCCGACGCGATGTGAGGGACAGACATCTATGAGCATTCAGAGTAAATGTCAGTTTTCGTTGAAGTGACCCGACCACTGCAAAAGGCTCGCCTTGGCGGGTGGTGTAGTTTCTCGCCGGAGCAGAACTCTTGGTCAGCCAAACTCTAGGCCTTTGCACCCCCCATCCCCTCACTCCCTATTCTCATCACTCTCTCCTTCACGCACACTAGTGATGGACTTGAGGGTTTGAGTTTATGGTGCGCTCGGTGGTGTCACAGGACTATTGTGACACCAGGTCTAGTAAGGATTTTCACACTGGAATAACAGGTTTCACAGGAATACTTCTTTACAGTTGAAAGGAGTCCACTTTTTTGTCATTCAAGTATTACAAAGTTTACAGAATCGGCATCAGTATGAATCGTTTCGAATGATCCAAGTTGACGGCAGAGATCAGCTAAGAAGGGAATAACAGTCTCGGTGTTAGCGGCGGGAATGGGTTTCACACACATAAACTTCGAAAAATGATCGACAGCAACGATGACGTATTTGTAACCTTCGGGAGACGTCGGCAATGGTCCATAAAAGTCGACGACGAGTCTTTCCAATGGGCGAGATGATTCGATCGGTGACAAGATTGTGCCGACGCTCTGGGTTGGTTGATTGAATCTAAAACAAGTTGTACAGTGGATGATTCGTTGCCAGATTTGTTGACGCATCCCGGGCCATTGAAAACGATCGCGTAAAGTCAGGTAGATCTTCTTCCAGCCAGCGTGTGCGAGTTCAAAATGGTATTCGTCAATAATCTGTTCGCGTTCAGCTTCCGCTGGTGTCGGTTTGACGTCGATGGCGTTTAGGGTAATCCGGCTGAGGGCGTCAGGTCCTTGCAGAAATCGTCCGGGACGGTGGACTAAATCGAAATTAAATCCTGCTAGCTTCGAGTAGAGACTTACGGCGCGTTCGGTCTGTAGATCGCCAAGTAACGCTTTGTGGTCTGTGTTGACTGTGAAGCGCCGATGAAGTAGATGGTGTTTAAATTTCTTGGTGACGCTCCAGACCACCGCGAGGAGTTCGCGTTCCGTGTTGGTATATCGAGTCTCTGTGTCAGTGAGAACTCGACTAGCGTATTCGATGATACGGTGTTGTCCACAGTCGTCGGTTTGTACGAGAACCGCTCCGAGGCTGATGGCCGATGCATCGCAATGAACCGATATGGGGAGTTTTGGGTCGATGCGCTCGAGTTTCGAAGCCTCAGCGAGAGACAACTTGAGCTTCATGAAGGCTTCCTCCGCCTCGGGTGTCCATTTCAGACGGTTATCTGGTTTTTTAGGGATGATCGAACGAAGTACCTTCTCGGAATCAGCAAAGTTGGTGGGGAGATAATTTCAGACGGTTATCTGGTTTTTTAGGGATGATAGAACGAAGTACCTTCTCGGAATCAGCAAAGTTGGTGGGGAGATGAGCCCTGAGGTAGGTAGCCATTCCCAGAAACTGTTGCATCTGACGAGTCGTAGACGGCTGGGGATAATCTCGAACGGCGTCGACGTTGCGTTCCGCAGGACGGGTTCCTGTTTGGTCGATAATATGCCCCAGAAAGAGAGTCTGTTTAGCAAGAAAAGTAGACTTCTTGAGATCGATAGAGGCACCTGCGTTGTGCAGCGTCTGAAGCACTTCGCTAAGGTTCTGGCAGAGCGTTTCAAAAGAATCACCAAAGACGAGAACATCGTCAACGTACGCGAGGCATTTCTTAAAGAGGTGCGGACGTAGAATCGTGTTGATAGCGCGCTGAAACATTGCTGGACCGTTTTTCAACCCAAAGGGGATTACCTTGTATTGTACTTGACCGCGGGGCGACATGAAGGCGGTCTTCGGTCTATCGTCTTGGGCGATGGGGAGATGATGGAAGGCGTCATGGAGATCGAGTCCACAAAAGTACTTGTTCTCCCGACCTAGGGCGTCGATCAGTTCTTGTACCACCGGCATTGGGTAGTGGTCATCGAGAATCAATTTGTTGAGTTCCTTGTAGTTGACCACGAGCCGGAAACGCTTGTCGATCGGCGCATCCGGAGTCGCGCCCTTCTTGTTAATTAAGAACGCTGGCGCATTGTAGGGCGAGGCAGCCATTTCTAAAATACCAGCTGCAAGGTAATGATCGATTAATTCCGCGAAAGGCACGTTACGTTCGACCGAGTGACGATAATGACGAGTCGCGGGTGGTGGCGCGTCCACCGTTGGAATACGAACGACATGGTCAACAAATAAACCGCGTTTCCCTGACCATTGTCGGATGGTCGGTGCATGAGCCCGTAACATAGCAGCTATGCGTGCGCGTTCGCTGTCGGAGCCATCAATAAAAGTAATGCCCTCACCCACCGCGAGTGTCGGTTGGGCGGGCGAACGGGTGATCTCGCGAAACCCGGTAAATACGCGTTGACCGTCGATGGTGATCGCGACGGGAAGATGCAACAAAAGAGTACGACCGAAGATAAAATCATAGTCCGATAACCGAGGTAAAACTAAAAAGTTTGACTGATACTCGATTCCGTGAAACGAAAACTGGATCTGAGCAACGCATGTAACTGTAACAGCGTTAGGACCCAGGGATGTGGAAATAGAGGTTTGGGTAGGGGTACAGGGTAGGTTCAGGGTATTAATAAGGGATTCAGATACAAGTGAAACGAAAACTGGATCTGAGCGACGCGCGTAACTGTAACAGCGTTAGGACCCAGGGATGTGGAAATAGAGGTTTGGGTAGGGGTACAGGGTAGGTTCAGGGTATTAATAAGGGATTCAGATACAAACGAGTGGGAAGCACCTGTATCAAGAAGACCGGTAAGTTGTCGCTCCAGAAGTTTGACGGAGAGAACCACTGGAGGAGGAGCGGCGGAGAGAATCGTCGAAGCGCAGTGTGCCGCATTCACTGAGCCTATTTGGAGTTTTCCTGAAACTGCGGACAATCTCGAAGCATATGACCGGTTTTTCGACAATGGAAGCAGACCGGAGGATTGTCGGAATTTCGATGAGAACCGGATGCACGCGTTGACTGCAAAGTGGACGCGGCAGCGGGTGGTTTGGACGAACCTGAATCCGATGAAGACGAGTTTTCCGATGACTGGTTTGGACGTAAGTGACATTCATGTGAGCCATGACGCATATGTCGCTTGTGGTGATCACACCACTGACGAGGAGGTAGGTTGAGACGGGGCCTGGAACCGGACTTCTGGGTATTGTTGTTTGACGAGGTCTTCTCTGTCTGGTCACGATGATTTAGCCGATAAGCCTCGGCGATGTCGATGAGCTCGTCCCACTTCATGTTGCGGTTTTTCAGCCACTTGCGTCGTAATTCGTCCCGTAAGCCCCCCTCAGAGATTCCGGAAGTTGATCCATGAAGATCTGCTCCAAAAGGGGTTCTGTGGCGTCAAGAAGATCAGCAGACAAGGGTAAGAAGGTTTCGTATTGATCGCGTAGACGTTTGGCGAAGGAGATGTAGCTTTCACCCTCTCGTGGTTTCATCCGACGAAACGTGTCGAGCCGGTCGAGATGTGGCATGGGATGGCGGCTTGCGATTGCCGCAACGAGAGGTTCGAAGCCTGTAATTCCACGTTTGTATAGACGATGAGCCGTACCTTGTATTTCCGGAAGCGTGTTGTCCATGAGGCAGCGTACACGATGTCCATCGTTGATGTTGTCGATGTCAAGACGATTCCTGAGTCTCATCGCGTAGTCTTCGAATTCTTCTTCGGCCTGTTGCTTGGGGAGCTCTGGAATCTGCGGCTCCGCGAACCAGCGGGGTGGTTGTGCAGGAAGACATGCGACCGGACCCGATGTGGGAACATGGACGAACGGTGTTGACTGCGACGACGTCTGGTGCTGCGGTGGAACGGTGAAGAGAGCGGAAAGAGGTACCTGGAACTTGTCGAGATGCATGGCGTATTCGGCCTTGGTGAGGATGTCTGGATGCCCAAGTCGGTACGTCTCGGAAAGGAACTGCAACGTAGACAGCGGCAAGGATTCCCATACGCTGGACGAGGACGAGGAGCCGGACGAGGCGGACGTGATCATCGAACGAGATGAGCCTGCAGGTGTCTCGACGGGAATCGGTGGTGGCTGTAGCGGTCTGGCTGGTAGCGGCTGGGGTGTCGGATTGATGTTCGGGGCGGGAGTCTCGTTGTCCGGAACATTGCGATTTTGTTCGGATTGTGTCTCCATTTGTAAAGCCCAGGCAGCGGCAGCGCGTGAATTTTCAGTGTTGCGGACCATCAACTGAAGTATGTCTCCGTGAAGAAATCACTGGATGGCTCGAGCCCCCAATAAGTGTAGTAATAAATAGAAGACCTTTCTCCACGAACACACTTGTAATATTTCTTGAAGTCAGCAACACAAACTACACTCAGGTCAAAGTTAAGAGATGATGTCCAATCAAGAGCTAAAGTCAGAATGCCAGTCCTCTCCAGCCGTCCGAGCCTCCTGCGGTGGTTCCTTCGATGGTGCAAGAGATAAGGAAGAACTGGGTGGGTTCTTGGGACGTTTGGACTTTCTCCAGTAAGATCGCCTAGGTGTCGCTCTAGTTGGTAAGGGAAGGGCCTTACTCTATCGGGTAATAGCGTCCACGCAGAGTCAGCATGTTCAAAATCTCACTTCAGCTGCTCCCCGTCCGCTTCACCTGGCCTTCCTCCAAAATCTGAAAGAGGATGTCTGACCCACCCGCCGCCCATTCACTCCTGCGGTGGTTCCTTCGATGGTGCAAGAGATAAGGAAGAACTGGGTGGGTTCTTGGGACGTTTGGACTTTCTCCAGTAAGATCGCCTAGGTGTCGCTCTAGTTGGTAAGGGAAGGGCCTTACTGTATGATATTCGAATAGCCGACGCGATGTGAGGGACAGACATCTATGAGCATTCAGAGTAAATGTCAGTTTTCGTTGAAGTGACCCGACCACTGCAAAAGGCTCGCCTTGGCGAAGGTTTCCCCCTAGTTTGCAGATTTACTTTCACCGAGTCGACCCTGAAAAAGTTCAAGTTGAGAATGTGCTTCGGGAAGTCCCCCCAGTTCTGCACGATTTGTGCAAGCGTGTCGATCTAACGAAATTTCCGATTACGATAATTCGCGATTCTAATTTTTCAGAAAAGGATATGCATCAAGACGAAAGTGAATATACCAAAGAGAAATGTCAAAAAACCTTGGCATTCTTACGCGACGCTTCATCAGTAGTGGGTAGTGGACTCGGCGCGTATTTTAGACGATTTTCGGAATCTCTTTCGGAAGAAGCCGACGTCCGCCTTGAACAGTCAGCCTTCAGCTGGTTCAAGGCGTGTCCCTTCTGTAGGGCTGACCGAAAGTCGCTGACATTTCACAGTCATCTCGAGCCCGAGAAACATGGAAAGCGATGTCGAACACGGTTTGGTCAGAACGAGAATGAAAAAGACAAGAAATTTGTTTACGGTCCCGGTGCTTGTGTAGGAGCTAACGCTCTGGTGTTCCATTGTCTCAACTGCAAGAAAACTTCTAAGATTCGTCTGCCAAAACCTGGAAAAGCAAGGAGTTTTTCGACTGGCAAGAAGAAAATCGGAGTGATCGAAAAGTCGAAAATTATTAGTGATCCGCAGAAAAGAATGCAGAAAGCTGCTAGGTTGCGTGGGTTATTGGCAGAAGCAGCGAAGCAAAAACTCGAGAAATTCAAGAGCAAGCCAAGATTAAATGATTTCTTTGTGTGATATCTTTTCGCCGAAGTCGTTCCCCCAAATACCGTGCTCTGTATTCAAAAACGTACATGGCTGTCAGGAGAAAAGCACCGAATGGCCGAATATTAAATGGCATCGTAGTGTTAATTTCTCTCCCGCTCGTGTCAGGATTCTGCTAATATTATAGATTGAAATAAATTTTGTACACGTGGAGATTACTACGCGTTCGAATTTTTCGAGGACTTCATTCAGTGAGACAGTGTCATTGCATGCTGCTTGCAGCGCGTGGTTTCTTCCTGTCACCCTGAGTAAAATTAGTTCAAACGAATCGAACTCTGCGAACTGGAGTTTTTCTTTTTAACGAATGTATTTCTGATTGATTTTCAGGACTTTTTGCAGATTTTGGTGCGCGGCGTTGTGTGGGGCTTCAAAAATATGCCGATTGTCCCTCTGAAGCCCGCGGTGGACAAATCTACTGTACGTTGCCAAAAATGCCTTGAATTTGGTCATTGGACGTACGAATGTAAAGGGAAAAGAAAGTATGTTCACCGTGCATCGCGATCAACCTTGCTGAAGAAGCGTTTGCGTGAAATAGAACACGCGTCGTCAATTGAGAATGGGCAAAAGAATGAAGGTGACCCGGCGAAGCTATCCGAAAAATTGAAAATTCGTGAGAAAACAGAAGATGACAATCATGGGACCAGCTCGGATTCATCTAGTTCCGATTCATCTGATTCGGATTCTTCTAGCTCGGATTCCAGCGAATCCGACTCTTCGGACTCATCAAGTTCCGATTCAGGTTCTTCGTCTTCGTCTGATGGCGAATGCTCTGATGCAGATTTAGAAGCGCTGAAAAGTATGCTCGAACAAGCACAAGCTCAAACAAAGAATTTGAAAAAGAGGAAGAAGAAAAAGTCCGATAAACCCGCGCAAAAGGAAATTTCCGATTCTGATTAATCACGTTGGCGTTTTTTTCTGCATTATTTGTCATATTTTTTTGGTTTGATCGCGGATACATCTGCTCTTCCATTTTCGTTTTTGTTTAATGGAAAATGCCGTTGTCACTGGTAGTATTGTAATTCTGGATATCGATTGAATTTCAGGTCTTCCGAATTATTTTTTCAAATTTTGGTTGACCAAGAATCTTCAGTAAAAGTGTATGAATGAACGCGTGGAACAATGCCATCGTTCCAAACTGAACACAGCGATGCGCGAGTGGAACTTGTTGACGTGGACATTTTGAAAACGGGCCAAGTCAGATTCACTGATCGCATTAAGGTTAGTAATATTTTTTCGCTTTTGTTTTCATGAAAATGGGGTGAAGCAGTCATTTTTCTTATCTAGTATGCGTGCTTCGATGTTTCGAAATCCTGGCTGGTTTGTGGAACTGTGGCTGGCAGCTTGCATATTTTCGAACGTGGTTCCTGCAAACTTCAACGAATAGTTCCGCTTAAGGTGAGTGTCAAAAGCGGATTTTATTCATGGGTCTTTTATTTAATTGGAAAAAAATCAATCGGGGAAAGCCTTTTTATGCTCAATTCAAGAGTTTAATTTGTGAATTGGTAACTATTGAGTGTATTTTTTAGAAGCGTTTCTGTTTCAACTTATAGGACGGCAATGTAAAGCAAGTGGCTCTATCAGAAAGCGGCCCTGAAACCTGGGTTGCGTATGGATGTGAATCGGGTTCAGTTGGCGTGGTTCTTATCGATCGGTGTCGTGAAGAAATTGACTCGAACTGGTCCTCTTTGTCAAGCACTTCTGCGGTAACTTGCCTCAAGTGGTCGTCTTCGTCATCGTCTCCGCGATCCTTATTTGTCGGAGACGTTTCAGGACGAGTCCTGCAATCGTTTGTTTCGTGTTCTCGTCCCGTAAACTTTTTCAGGGACAACTCTATTAAACTGGCTGCTTTTGACGCTGAAATTGTGCAACTAGACGAACTAGAATCCGACGGGAGATTTTTGTTGGTGTCTACTTCGAGAAGAACGTATGTGTTGGACGTTGTTCGTGAGCTGTTCGTGGCAGTTGGCAAAAAGCCGCGGGATGCTCCGCTTGGAGCATGTTTTGCCTTGGATTCGGAGGGGAATCTACGTGTCTTCGCCGTCAGACCCAAGGGAAGGATTTGGGAAGCAGAATTGGACGGACAAGTGATCAGAACACTCCAGCTTCCACCCGTGATAGCAGTTCCGGTTGCTACTTTTGGCTCCGGGGATGTAGCGCAAGAAATTGATCCTTTTTTGACGAAAATTGTGTATGAGCGGCATTCCCGATGCTTGGTGGGTTTCTCATCGAACTTCCTGCATATTTTGGACCCGGATGATGGACGAGTCCTGGCCTCGAGCATCGCCGCGAACAGTGCAAGTATCGTAGACGTGAAAACTGCGAATGGAGCCGTTTTTGTGCAATACCGCGAAAAATCCGCGTCGATTTTCGCCGAACTCAAAATAACTGTACCTGGCAGAATCGTCCAGCATCCCGAGGAGCCTCCTCGGAAAGTCGAGGAGGAATGGTACGAAGAAATGCAGTGGGAACAAGATGATGGGTGGATTGCCGCGAACATGTCTATGATGGCGATCGGGATGTATTCACCGGATATCCTAAGTTTCAATGAAGAGTTTTTCGGGGACCTTTCGATCAAAATGCGGGACAAAGTGTCGAAATGGCTGAAGAGCTCGCCGCCCGTCATGGGAACGAAGCCTTCGGAAGCATTGCCTGTGGTGCCAGAGACGCGGAACGCGAATGTGGTTGGAATCAAGATTGCCACTGACGTGAAGACGCTTGTGAAAGAACTGGGCGAAAAGGTTAGTCTCAATACAGCCTTGTTGATTTTTTTTTTAATGTTTGAAAGCCAGATCGCCAAAAATGTGTGCAAAAAACACGTCATATTTGCCCTTTTAGAGTTCTTCAATTCCGTTGATTCAAGCTTGCGTGGTGGTTTTTGTCACTGTCCGAAAACTTACGATCAAATGAATATATTTTTTTTTAGTCACATGGTAAATATTGCTGATTATCTTTTTCATTAAGGGATTGTTTTAGTCCGAAAAAAATACTTGCTGAAAAGTAAGTGTTGAGCAAATTTACTTGAATCTTATATCTAGAATCTCTTCTTTTGGAAAATGAAGGTTTGTTTTGTTGGGTAGTTAACTGTTCATTGTAAAATGGTGATCCACGAGAGAAATATCTTTTGATTCTTCCCTCACATAATTTAATTTTGAGTAGATGTTTCATGGAAGTCTTTAATTACGTTACCAATTTACATTCTATACTACAGTACTTACATGAAACTGGCTCCGTTTTTGCATGCAAAAGTACAGTATTCCTTAGGGGTTGCTCGTTTCTAGCTGGCATTTATCATAGGAAATAAGTTATTATTTTTACTTTTATTAGTTCTTGTCATTGTCAAGTTTGATACATTTTTGTGCATCGTGTACTTTTTAGTTAACTTATTTATCGTTTCTAATGATGGAAGGTAAGTTGAATTATTTGCATTAATTCATGTTTTTCAGGCAGTAATATTAAATTCCCTACACGGCGACCCGGCGATGACTGAAGAAGAATGCCGCGCGTTATTTGAGAACTGGATGAAGTATTTAGAAGGATTTCCGGAAACCGTGCATGCTGTCACGAAATTCCGGTTCCCGACGTCAGCCTGGGCGGCTATTATTCCGGAAGAAGTAAGGAAAGTCAACTCTCACGTTGTGGCTCGGTTTTCGAGTGAAACCGTCGAGCCTGGTGTCGAAGAAGCTTTTGACGTGAATGAATTACACGCCATGTTCCAAAACGAGGAGGACTTTTGTTGGGACGTTGACAAGGTTTGTTGAGTTTGGGCTAATTATGCATTTGAACCCCGACTTTTGAACCTCTTGAAGTCAGTACCTCCCTCTTTAAATTCCCCTGGAAGCAATGCATTAAAAACCTCCATAACTCGAATTTTCTGGGAGCTTTTTGAATCTTATATAATTGACACGGGATAGAGAAAAGCAGTACAATTTAACTTGACGCAGTTTTGAAAGGAAGTGAAAAATCACTTCTGTAAATGAACCCTTGTCTCCAAGTTTAGCATCCTATCAGCTCATTTAAGAAGCAAACCAAAGCTCAGAATATCTCCAGTTACAATTTCCTGTACGTCCTCTTCATTTCCCTCAGCAAAAATTCTTCTTTCATTAATGTAAAACCTTGCCAACTCGGTTTTTTTTTTTTTTTGCTGGTCCCTTAAAGGTTGACTAAATATCCCTGAATGAAAAGGCTATTTGTGAAAGATAATATAGAGTTTCTCTTGTATTTCGTGAGCTTTCAGCTTCTGAACCGTTGAAAAGCACTGTATACCCCATGTTCAGTACTTTTAATTTTCGATGAACGTAGGGCACAAGATGATCGATTAAGATTATAGGCAACGATTGAACATTGTTTTTACTTGAATGGAAGACCACCGAGACGTGTGGGGTACCATTGAGTTTTCGTCTAAAAATGCTGTACTTTAAAATTGTCTTCATTAAACGATGCATTATTTGTACAGTATTTACCCTTCCCTCATTCATTTTGTAATGAAGCAAAATGTATACTGTAATTTCCCCTTTCTTTGAAGGTTTGGTTTTTACTGGATGGATCTCGTATTTTATCTCAAATGACGGAGATGAAGTTGAGCTTGTCGTGTCGAAAAAGACTGTGGACGATAGCTGACCAAGTTCTTCTGAGGGCTTCGAATTCGTCACAAGAAGTTGACGAAACTCGAATTTTTGCTTTCCCGAAACGCTCTTGGCTCCCTGTCATTAAATCTCGGTTAAAGACTAGGCAAATATCCGTTGGCAGTTTTGCCAAACTTTTGCACGAAGCAGATGACACTTTGCTTCCCGTGGAATTGCTGTTCTTATTGGCGGAAAGTGCCAACGATGTGGACGAGTTGCTGAAATCCTTCCAGGATTTCTGGCGGTTTGCTGATGACCGAAATCGACAAATTTTGGAAGCGGCGAGTTTGTTGTACGGATTTGATAAGTTGGCTGTGCAAGCTATTGCTGGACAAACGGGTGAAGACGGAAGAACTTTGGTAGAAATCGGAAAAAATGCGGGTTGGCTGTGTGAAGATGCATTGCACCGTATTTGGGAAGAAGTTGACTGCGCTGATGTCATTGAAAACTTGATCGGACCAAGCTTGAGGGTCTGTGGGGCCGAAAAGACGCTGGGATTCTTGGAAAAAGCCGAGGACAAGTTTTCGTTTAATAAGAGGTTAGTATTGTTGTCTATAATCTTGGAAGAGAATGTCTAATTTTTTTTGTCTGAAATGGATTGGAACTCCATTTTTTAATTTATAAACACAGTCGTGGAAAAAATCAGCTTCTCAAAGCGCTTACGTATAGTTGTGCGGAAGTCGTGTTACCCTTTTTTCTTTTGTATAAAGGCAGCTTACTTGAACTAGTCGCATTTTTATAAATCCTAATCCGGGATTATCCGTATTTTGCTGGGGTTTCCTTTGTTCCTTCTGGAATGCTGAAGTTGTTCACATCCAGTTGAGTCACGACATCACCCCGTTGTTTTCTGCATTTTTGTTGTTGAAGGAAATGATATACTTCTCTGCCTAAAATTTTACCGCGCGTTGGATCTTGTCAAACATTATCGTTAGAATCACTGACCTGACCAAAAATAGTCTTAGCTTGGACTACCTAGCTTTACCGTAACTAAAATACAGTTATAATCGAGTATCAAAACATCCGTGAATTCTGTCAACAAGCGTATTTTGTCTACGTTAGGAGCCCTCAACTGAACCTTCTCAAGAAATACCCTCAATTTACTGCCACCTTTGAAACGATGTGGACGAGTTGCTGAAATCCTTCCAGGATTTCTGGCGGTTTGCTGATGACCGAAATCGACAAATTTTGGAAGCGGCGAGTTTGTTGTACGGATTTGATAAGTTGGCTGTGCAAGCTATTGTTGGACAAACGGGTGAAGACGGAAGAACTTTGGTAGAAATCGGAAAAAATGCGGGTTGGCTGTGTGAAGATGCATTGCACCGTATTTGGCAAGAAGTTGACTGCGCTGATGTCATTGAAAACTTGATCGGACCAAGCTTGAGGGTCTGTGGGGCCGAAAAGACGCTGGGATTCTTGGAAAAAGCCGAGGACAAGTTTTCGCTTAATAAGAGGTTAGTATTGATGTCTATAATCTTGGAAGAGAATGTCTAATTTTTTGTCCGAAATGGATTGGGACTCCATTTTTTAATTTTATAAACACAGTCGTGGAAAAAAATCAGCTTCTCAAAGCGCTTACATATAGTTGTGCGGAAGTCGTGTTACCCTTTTTTCTTTTGTATAAAGGCAGCTTACTTGAACTAGTCGCATTTTTATAAATCCTAATCCGGGATTATCCGTGTTTTGCTGGGGTTTCCTTTGTTCCTTCTGGAATGCTGAAGTTGTTCACATCCAGTTGAGTCACGACATCACCCCGTTGTTTTCTGCATTTTTGTTGTTAAAGGAAATGATATACTTCTCTGCCTAAAATTTTACCGCGCGTTGGATCTTGTCAAACATTATCGTTAGAATCACTGACCTGACCAAAAATAGTCTTAGCTTGGACTACCTAGCTTTACCGAAACTAAAATACAGTTATAATCGAGTATCAAAACATCCGTGAATTCTGTCAACAAGCGTATTTTGTCTACGTTAGGAGCCCTCAACTGAACCTTCTCAAGAAATACCCTCAATTTACTGCCACCTTTGCTTACTGCTACAAAATGTTCCAGGACTATTGATGGTACGAAATAGAGCTTTGACTGTACCGTATATGATTAAATCGCATGAATTGATGTGGAGATCCGTTTCACCCCCTACCAATACTGTAGTTTGTTGACAAAAGTTATGCTGTGCTGCTACGCTGAGGGGAAACACGGAATGGACTCGCGGACCGCCGCGCTGAGTTTGGAGACGGCGGCAGAGACGCGTTCCCCGTTGGCGCCTCTGTTGTCGACTCGTTCGCCAGAGGCGCCGCTTGCGAACAGCGTCCCGTTTTACCACTGGAGCACCTGCGTGGACGCCGACTCTGCGTGTTGTTCGTGCGGGATCGCCTTGTGCAACGAGCTGATGCGGTTTGCGGACGACGGACGTTACTCGGGTCTCGTGGTGTTCAAATGTGGGCATCCTTACCACGCGACGTGTTTGAGTGACGCGAAACTGTGCTTCTTGTGTCGGTAAAAAAAAAGAAGAATGAGTACCGTATTTACTCGAGTACCACGCGCACCTGTTTTCGAGAGGAAAAAGGGGGATGCCCATAAAAGGCGGTTATACACATTTTTCGAAAATGTTTGGAAATTCAGGTGTGGATTATATTTGATTTTAATGGGAAATTATAACAGAATAACTTAATGCAATGGAAATTGTTGAAAATAGTCGAATTCAGGATTCTTTCATGTCTAAATTCAAATTTGGGTGTTTAAAAAAAATGTAAATATTGCAGTTTTAGAGTCACTGAAAATGGGGTGTGCGTGTGCGTCTCATTCGGGGATACAATTTATGAACATTTTTGTTCGAAGAACCTGGTGCGTGTCTTAGTCGAGGGTATGTGGTACTTGAGTAAATACTGTACATTTTATTTCTTCCGTGGATTCGGAATCGGTGATTTTGGAAAGAAATCAATTATATTGGGGTGGTGTGTTGGCTGCGAACTGAGGGATTATTTGCAGATTTTTTGAAGGATTTTTCTTTTTATATCACGGGTTGAAAACTTGCTTAGCGAGGTGCTGCTTTAACACTTCAAATTCTCAGTTCCCTTTTTTATGTTCATTGTTGTTTTCTCTGCGATCTTTTGAGGAAATTTGATCAAATCTTTGGGACGATAGCTTCGTTTTTTTGTTTTTGTGCGTTTCTGATGTAAACTGCCAAATAATTTTTTCAAGTCGAGTGAAAGACTTCTTATCGGAACGGGGGCATTTTTGTTGAATTTTTGGAGCCGTTTTTGAGCATTCCCCGCAATTTATTCGCACGTCGCCGTTTATTTTAGACGTCTTTTGAAGCTTGAGTGTCGACAAAATTTACTGTGCTGTGAGAAGTTGTAGAACCGTTTTTTTTTTTNATGGACTCGCGGACCGCCGCGCTGAGTTTGGAGACGGCGGCAGAGACGCGTTCCCCGTTGGCGCCTCTGTTGTCGACTCGTTCGCCAGAGGCGCCGCTTGCGAACAGCGTCCCGTTTTACCACTGGAGCACCTGCGTGGACGCCGACTCTGCGTGTTGTTCGTGCGGGATCGCCTTGTGCAACGAGCTGATGCGGTTTGCGGACGACGGACGTTACTCGGGTCTCGTGGTGTTCAAATGTGGGCATCCTTACCACGCGACGTGTTTGAGTGACGCGAAACTGTGCTTCTTGTGTCGGTAAAAAAAAAGAAGAATGAGTACCGTATTTACTCGAGTACCACGCGCACCTGTTTTCGAGAGGAAAAAGGGGGATGCCCATAAAAGGCGGTTATACACATTTTTCGAAAATGTTTGGAAATTCAGGTGTGGATTATATTTGATTTTAATGGGAAATTATAACAGAATAACTTAATGCAATGGAAATTGTTGAAAATAGTCGAATTCAGGATTCTTTCATGTCTAAATTCAAATTTGGGTGTTTAAAAAAAATGTAAATATTGCAGTTTTAGAGTCACTGAAAATGGGGTGTGCGTGTGCGTCTCATTCGGGGATACAATTTATGAACATTTTTGTTCGAAGAACCTGGTGCGTGTCTTAGTCGAGGGTATGTGGTACTTGAGTAAATACTGTACATTTTATTTCTTCCGTGGATTCGGAATCGGTGATTTTGGAAAGAAATCAATTATATTGGGGTGGTGTGTTGGCTGCGAACTGAGGGATTATTTGCACTAAAAAACTTCCTAAAAAGAAAAATATAGTGCCCAACTTTTGAACGAATCGCTCCACGACGAAATTGTGAAGTTTAAGAGTCAAGGGAAAAAATACAAGTAACAACAAAAGAGACGCTAGAAAACTGGAAATTTGATCAAATCTTTGGGACGATAGCTTCGTTTTTTTGTTTTTGTGCGTTTCTGATGTAAACTGCCAAATAATTTTTTCAAGTCGAGTGAAAGACTTCTTATCGGAACGGGGGCATTTTTGTTGAATTTTTGGAGCCGTTTTTGAGCATTCCCCGCAATTTATTCGCACGTCGCCGTTTATTTTAGACGTCTTTTGAAGCTTGAGTGTCGACAAAATTTACTGTGCTGTGAGAAGTTGTAGAACCGTTTTTTTTTTTTTTTTTTGGTTAGGTTCAATTGGATTTAACCGTCGAAACTTGGAGCGTTCGACGTAAATTTGGAAGTGGTTCTGTGACTACAAATGATATTGACCAATGTGCACACTTTTAATTTTGTTAGAACAAGTTTTTAAACATCCTTGAGTTATATTTGGAGTGATAACTAGGAATTCTTCAGTTTATTGAACATCGGAAGAATCCACTTGCACTCTCGACGAAGCAAAAGTCGAATTCGCTGAATTCTTTCTTGACTCCTTTCCTGATCAATCGGATATTGGGAGAATATCTTCTGCTTTTTTTTTTAGCTTGGGATCGATGGCTGTTTTTAATCGCCTGAAACGGAGCAATATTGAATCGATTTTTATACGGACAAAACTGTGATGCCGCTGTTTGGGCTGCGGTTCTAATTTTTGTAAAACCTTTCTTCCCTCTGGGGGCTGTGCAGAAGCAAACGAAAGATTCGTAATTTTTTTTTTCTCAGTCCTCGATTGCGTGAGCGTCATTGCGGTATTTTTCTTCTTTTTTTTGGGTACAGGGTTGGCGTATTGAAATGCAGGAATAGTTCAATGGATCATGTATTTGTATTGATTTTTTTTGCAGTCTATGTTTTGGAAGAATCATAGGTTTTTGTTTCCTGTTTTTCAGAATGTGACCGGCAAGTGTTCTGTTCTGTTCCTTTTGTGCTTTTGTTTGCTCTGATAGTGGTTTTTTTTCCTTTCCGCTGTCTTTTTGTTCATGAGGGAGAATGGCGAAACTTTTTTTAGTTTTCTGCACTTGGTGTGTCGCACTTGGTGAGTTATTTCTTGGGTTCTGCTGAGTGTTTTGAAAATTTGCAAAACTTTTAATTCAAAGGGTGAATGGAAGAAATTAAAAAAAAAAACTGGTCAGATTTCAGACGGAGAGGAATTTGATATGATTTCTCTCTGTCCTCATTTGCCGTGAATTATATGTATTAAGTTAAAAACTGTATTTTTTGATTTCAGTGGATTGTGTTCCTGACGCAACCCTGGAAAGCGATTTGCGTCCAGCACGGCAATTCCGTGATGTGACGCTATTCAATTTTGACGTTCCGTTGGACACGAAAGTAGCTCATTGGGAATTTGCTGCCTTTCAAGATGAAGTTGCGTGTCCTGGCCGGAAAGTTCTGATGTAATTATCTTAATTTTTCCCATTTCCGCAAGCGAGGGATGGTTCAAAACCTTTTTTGAGAGTGTGAAATGACGTTCTTCCGGTACTCACTTTTCAAAATCTGAATCTTTCATACGTTGAAAAAACCTCTATATCAGATTAAGGAAACATATGCTAAAGGAACTTACTGAAAAACTAGGACTTTGAAGCACGAACGGTATAAATCCGGTTGGAAGCGAAAATCATATTTAAATCTTTGTTAATGGTCGTAGTCTTACGCCTTGTCATGGAAACGTGCTTGTCAGATCTGGTAGTTTTGTGGCAAGTGAAGTTTATTTATCAACAGTGTGTGGTTTGATTTTGAACTCAGTCTTTTCTTGGTTTTAATTCAAGGGAGGACAACATTTAAAAAAGGGTACGAGAAATAATGATATTATACGCGAAACCAACCAGAAAAAAACTTGACTATTTTCATATCTGCTTTTTGAATAGAGCAGAAAAAACCTGGCTGGTTGACGTGTTTTCCGAATGGATTTCTTCCAAAATTGAAATAAGATGACCACGTAAGAGGAAAATAGCGAGTTTATGAAGAAAAACATCCTTTGAATTCTTGGTCGAACTTTATTTGAAATTCAGGATTGATGAGCAGTACAGTAATGTTGCTTATTTAATTTCACAACTTTTTTGTTGGAATTTTCTTTTGGCACATGGTTTAATTATTTTAAATTTCAGATGACATAAAATATCCCATTTTGAACTTTTCGGTGTAACTGGATAAGTTCGACTCATGTTGAACGAATATTCAAACGAGACCTTTTTCAATGTTCCCAAAAGTTTGAATCCAACGTTCTTTTTTAAAAGTTAGTGGAAGTAATTCTCCGATTTTGTCTGACTCTTCGAAGATATTTGAAACAAGGTGGGTACCCAGCAATTCTACCGGGAGACGAGAACAATGCGGAAATGGCAGATTTTCACACTGAAGCCGTGGCGAGTTTTGAGAAATCGCCGGCAGCTGGATTGAGAGTTGCGAGTCCGAAACCTGGGGCCTGGTTTGCTGTGGCATATTTACCCGCGTGGGACGAACGAGTTAATTTGCAGGTAATAGGCGTGAACCGTGAAGTTAGTATTGTTATTGTGAGGGAAAAACTTGAAATTGTTCTTTCTGGGATCCTGAAATGTTCTGGCTGTAGGTGTTCGTCAAGCAAAAGCCCTAGATACTTTTCTGAACTTTCGAAATTAATGGAAAGATCTCGTGGCGATTTATNATAGTCTAATTCCTTTGTATACGATTTCCTTGAATGACTTTTTGATCCTGAAACTTCGTGCTTGCCATATTTAGGCCAACCTTCGCTTTTAGTATAAATTTAGAAACAATTACCAGCATCAGAATGCTCTTGTCATGGAAACGTGCTTGTCGGATCTGGTAGTTTTGTGGCCAGTGAGGTTTATTTATCAACAGTGTGTGGTTTGCTTTTGAACTCAGTCTTTTCTTGGTTTTAATTCAAGGGAGGACCAAATTTAAAAAATCGTACGAGAAATAATGATATTTTACGCGAAACCAACCAGAAAAAAAACTTGACTATTTTCATATCTGCTTTTTTAATAAAGCAGAAAAAAAGCTGGCTGGTTGACGTGTTTTCAGAATGGATTTTTTTCCAAAATTAAAATATGATGACCACGTAAAAGGAAAAAAGTGAGTTTATGACATTATGAGGAAAAACATCCATTGAATTCTATGTCGAACTTGATTTGAAATTCAGGATTGATGAGCAGTACAGTAATGTTGCTTATTTAATTTCACAACTTTTTTTGTTGGAATTTTCTTTCGGCAGATGGTTTAATTATTTTAAATTTCAGATGACATAAAATATCCCATTTTTAACTTTTCGGTGTAACCGGATAAGTTCGACTCATGTTGAACGAATATTCAAACGAGACCTTTTTTAATGCTCTCAAAAGTTTAAATCTAAGGTTCTTTTTTAAAATTTAGTGGAAGTAATTTTCCGATTTTTTCTGACTCTTCGAAGATATTTGAAACAAGGTGGGTACCCAGCAATTCTACCGGGAGCCGAGAACAATGCGGAAATGGCAGATTTTCACACTGAAGCCGTGGCGAGTTTTGAGAAATCGCCGGCAGCTGGATTGAGAGTTGCGAGTCCGAAACCTGGGGCCTGGTTTGCTGTGGCATATTTACCCGCGTGGGACGAACGAGTTAATTTGCAGGTAATAGGCGTGAACCGTGAAGTTAGTATTGTTATTGTGAGGGAAAAACTTGAAATTTTTCTTTCTGGGATCCTGAAATGTTCTGGCTGTAGGTGTTCGTCAAACAAAAGCCCTAGATACTTTTCTGAACTTTCGAAATTAATGGAAAGATCTCGTGGCGATTTATTGCTGTAGGTTTTGGAATTTTGTTGTCTAGTCTTTATTTAACCTGAAGTCCAATAATCCGGACAGTCATTCACATAATTTAAAATTTAAATTTTTACTGTTTCACAGTCTCTCTTGAATTCAAAGGCTTGTTTCAAAAAGACTCTTTTCATCTCTGGAGGATCAACTGTTCAATTTATGCGCGGTCAAATGAATAAATTACCGTATTTACTCGAGTACCTCGCACCCTCAAGTAAGGCGCGCACAGGGGTTTTTCAGTTCAAAATTTGGCTAAAATTGTATCCCCGAGTAAGACGCGCAACCCCTTTTTAATGACTCTAAAACCACAAAATTTTTAAAATAACAACAAAAAATTTGACTTTAGATGTGAAGTGAACATGAATCTGATCAATTATCAAATTTTTCAGTAAAAAAAAGTTTTCTTGGTAAATTTGTCACAAATTTCTCAATTGTAATCAAGTATAATTAACATACAACTTCCTAAAACTTTTTGAAAATTTTGTACCCGCTTATGACGTGCACCCCTTTTTTTCTTTCTGAAATTTGAGAAAAAAGGTGTGCCTGGTGGAGTAAATNGCAAAGGCAGGATTAGCTAACCTTAGTACTTTTCTGAAGTAAATCTTTAGTGTGTGTTTCTCAGTCCATTGGACTTAAAGCTTTGTGTTTGTGTTTGTCTTGTCTTGTACAAAAACCAGTGTATGATGTTAAAGTCTTATTGTGAATAATCATACACTCGACTCACAATCCTTTCCAAGTTCCATTGATCAGGGAGCTAGGGGGGGATAACAAGTCTCTCTTGAATTCAAAGGCTTGTTTCAAAAAGACTCTTCTACTCTCTGGAGGATCAACTGTTCAATTTATGCGTGGTCAAATGAATAAATTACCGTATTTACTCGAGTACCCCGCACCCTCAAGTAAGGCGCGCACAGGGGTTTTTCAGTTCAAAATTTGGCTAAAATTGTATCCCCGAGTAAGACGCGCAACCCCTTTTTAATGACTCTAAAACCACAAAATTTTGAAAATAAAAACAAAAAATTTGACTTTAGACGTGAAGTGAACATGAATCTGATCAATTTTCAAATTTTTCAGTATTTTTTTTCAAAAGAACCATTTAAACAGTGTTTAAAGAGTTAACATTAGTTCATATTAATTGTATGTTGAAGGATTTTGAAAAACTTTTAAAACATGGGCGAATGCTGCGCGTGGGGAAAAAAAGAACTGAAATTTGAGAAAAAAGGTGTGCCTGGTTGAGTAAATACGGGTACTTCACATCCAGTCATCCAAACCCTTTGAATACTCGAACTACTCTTATTCCTAATTAATGAAAATAATCTGAGTTCTATTTTTATTCAAAATGTATCGTTTCCCAGCAAAGGATTATTTCTTGCAGAAAATTATCAGGATGTAGGTCCATGTATGATTATTTGAGTTATTGAAGCAGTAAAATTCTCAAAAGAAATCAATTAATTATTTTCAGAGGAGAGTGAATGAAAGTACAGCACTTTACCTTTGTTTTTTGCCAGTTTTCATGAAACTCGAATGCATTTTGCGTCATAAAATTGATGCATTTTTTCCGGTCATACAATTTTTCATCGCCATTGATTTTATCTGGAAAATTTCCTTCATGTGTTCATGATTTCCCCTTCGTCATTTCTGCGACGGACGTATTACTGTATCTGAATTGCGTACTCACAAAACATTTTCGTAAAATCTTAATCTACGAGAAAGAAAAATTTTTCGGAAATTTGAGAAATAAAATAATTTTTGATTATGCTTTATTTCCGAAGGGTTTCTCGCATAAATGCAGATACAGCATTGGAGTCGTGGCTCACTGGGTTCGCAGTGAAGAAATAAAAACCCTCGTGCTTGGTCAAAATCATCAACTAGAAACGACAAGCAGTTTTCGACGTTACAGGTGAGAACTTACACCACTTTTCTATCTCTCTTCTTGTTGAAATTGTTGTGCGAATTGAATTGAACATTTGAAATGAATGTTCCGTGTCCCGCTGCATTTCCTCCCCCCCCTAAATTCGAGAGATGTCATCGTTTCCGCGTGAAAAATGAAAAATAATCAAACCAGTTTTTTTATATTTCCATCAATTTCCTACGTTTACTCTTGCGCGACTTCAATATTTCTTTGCCGATTCGAGAATTACACGAAACACTCCAACTATAACAATATTGACAGAGCTGATGAAGCTGCTCATTTTGATTTGTTTGTAAGATCAGATAAAGCTATTTTTGTTAACCAGTATTATTTCTAAATTCTTTCCCGGAGGTTTTACGTGGATGGAGGAGTGGCATCGGTGAAGCTGATTTTCGACGGGTGTCGAGCAGTTAATGGGTCAGAGCGGCGATTGGCAGATGTCAGCTCTTGTCTGACAAACATGGTTCTTGTCCCTGAAGCCCCGCCATTTGATGCTGCTTCTGAAGCATCTGCGGTGCTTCTTGGTGATCTCGGCTTCGGAGCTGGACAAGTCATCAAGGAAGTGTCGACTGGCATTCGACACGACGGTTCACACTATTACTTGGGGGTCACCTCACCTGGAAAGGTACCCAGCTGACTTTCATTCTGGAATCTTATACATGTATTTATACTCATCATTCGTACAGCCACCCTGACGGATGGATGATTCCACGTGTGGACACTTGAAAAAACGGAAAAAATCACTAAAAATATTGAAAAACACACACATTCTGATAATACCTCAAGATACAAACATTTCTGGAAAAATATTGATATATCTTGAACTCATTGAGCCTTAACACAAAAATTAAAACGACTCTACCGTGATTATTCAAGTACAGGACAACTCGAATTTTTTCTTTAAAAAAAATTGTGGAAAAGAATTAAATACTTGTTATGTAGTCAGGTACAAATTTTCAAGTGACATTTTTTTGAAAATTGAAAACTTTTCTCCATCTGAAGACATTTTTCAGGCGTCTCTATTTTTCAATTTTATCACTGCACAGTGAATTGGAAACCATAAATAGAATTATCTCAACGTTCAAATACTTTTCAAGAAATTTATCCTGAAAAAATGCGTTATTCTGTTTGGCAGGTCAATTTTAGTGTACGGATCGAACCCGGAACTGTGTGTGATACTGGAGGAAATCTCAGAAACTGTCCGAATTGGGTGAAGTTGACACGAGTGAGCAGATCCGTGGATTTTGAGGCTGACTTTTTCGTGGAGGTGCGTGAACGCTATTCGGAAAACCTTCGTTTCTTCCTTTTTTCTTTTGATATTTGTAAAGATTGTTATGAAATTTATATTTCATTAATAGGATGCGGATGATGAAATCAACCAAGTCATGCTGAAAGAAGATCGTCCGGTTTTGTTGACTTTTGTAGTCTTGAGTTACGTTGACATTGGTGGATCGCTGCATATAAGAATCTCCCCGGATTTTAGTTCAAACGTGAGTCTTGTGTTCATGAAAATCATGATTTTGAAAAGAAAGAAAAAATATTTTTGCACGTTGACGTGTCACCTTGAATCCTGAAGTGCAATAAAGCAAAAAAAAACAAGAAGACCGATGCAAAATTTGAAATTATGTTATTCAAACTAATGTCAGGAGTTGAATTCAGGTGACACCTTGGAACAAGAACGAAAAGCAAATTTGGATCGTGGAACATTTTACATTTAAATTTTACCTTAATTTTTGATTGCTTTTAAGAGCTCAGCGGAGGTCGTGACGGAGACTCCGAGTCAAGTGACGTTAGTGAAAGCGTTTCTTGACACTGCGACGATTTTGCAATCTGTTCCCGGAAACCGAAGCCCGAACCTGACAGCAAGTTTTACAAAAAAGACTGATTTCCTGTCGATTCCCTTCCCTCGAGCGGGTTCCTACTCACTTTATCTGACGCTGGAGTGCTTCAATTCTCAAAGCCGGTGGGATTTTCCGTCTTGCGAGGGTCACGAGGTTTTTAAAATTTTCAAAGTATTTGTTTGAACATTAATGTAGAGCCGCGGAAGTTTGTCGCGAAGCTGACAATGGAAACGGTATCCCGATCCAGGTTGACGTCATGACCCGGATGTGCGCAGTTCCGGATTGGGATGGAGAGCGTCGTTTGTGTGGAAGAAGAGGAACATGCATAGAATTACATCGAAGACGATGGTTAGCCTCTCTTCCAATTCTAAAATTTCAATTATTGTGAATCCTGGCGAACTCTTCCTGCAGCGTAATTCCAGAGACCAGAAAAAATTCGGTTTAACGAAACTCTTTGTAGAGAACCCACATGTGGCCTATAGGCCTATAGCATGGGGAAATAACCCCAAGGGACCGAAAAAATACTTGATACTGAACCGGGAAAATCATTTTACAGACAATTTTCGTTTTAGAGATAATCTACCTGTGGTTGAAAGTACATTAACTAGCTAATGCAGTGTTTCCCAACCTTTTTGGTCCCTCAGACCTGAAAATTTCTATTAAATTTTCTGCGGACTTGCGAAGTTTCATACAATTTTTGCAGACTCTGAAAAGTTTCGTTTGAAAGACTTTATGGCAGGTATTCAAAGAGTTTCTGCTTTTTGTGAAAATTGAGTCAAGAACCAATAAAGCAGCCATAGTAGAATGTCTCGACGATTCAGAAAGGGGGCCTTGAGTAAAGTTTTCTAAGAATGAAGAATTAAATAATCTATTTCAGCGGGTGAAAATTTGTCTGAAGGGTTAGCAGGAGAAGAGCCAACTTTTATTTATCATCAGGTAACTTTAGCTGCCATTGTCTTTCCGAAATTTCAGATAAAGATAATTGCTTGATGGCAACTTTTATTGAATTCATTATGATTAAAAATTTTTCTCAGGGATCAGCAAAAAATCTGCGGACCGGTGCCAGTCTGCGGACCACGGGTTGGGGAACACTGATCTAATGCTCTAAGATTATTTTGTACGCTTCGTTATTTGAATGCCACAGGCGTTCCCATTTCTAAGAAATGTTTAGATCTTCAATTCGTTCGAAATCCCCTTGTTTGTCCTGTTTCTACCGTAAGTTAGTAGGACTGTAATTTTTGGGGGGGGGAACTTTACAGTATTTGCAAAATTTAAAGGGTACAGTTCTGCAAAAGGTCACGTTTTGTACATTTATTCTGTTTTTTTTTTTTTTTAAATTCAGGTTCTTCTCGACATGCGAGTGTTATCCCGGTTACACCGGCTGGAATTGTTCTCAAGATGTCAACGTCGGCTGGACGTTTTCTTCCCAAGAAATGCTGTCGCCTGGGCGAGCCATGTTCATACTGACCTTGTCGAACGCTGCTTTCATTCCCGTCATTGTGCTCGCTGTCCGACGACGACTTTGGACCCCTGCTGGTGTTTACGCGGCGATGGCGGCTTTCTCTGTTGCGTATCACGTTTGCGACGAAACGAGCAATGCGTCGGAACCCGCGCTTGGATACGAGCTCTGTATCGTGTGGTTTGAGGTGAGAAAGGAAAGCAGGAAATGAAGGCAACGGCGGAGAAATACGAATCTGAAGAGAAGAATGCGACAACATTTATTTCAATTTAAACTCTCTGATCCTGACAACTTCTTGCTCACGAATTATTATAGTTCAACCTTCGCGTTTAGCGTCAATGTCGGAATAATTAACGACATCTGAAAACTCGTGTCATTGATACCTTATGTATTTTCATTGGTATTTTTCTGTTATTTGAAATATTTAGTAGCTTTTCCTGAAGTCCAGGAAACACGAGTGTGTGACAGGTGAAGCTTATTTTTTTCACAGCGCTGAGGTGCATATCATTCAACTTTCCTTATTTCAACCGAGGTTGATAAAAATTGAAGTACTGTACAGCAGTTGATATTCGATTTGAAAAATACTGTAAAAATGTGTCACAAAGATAAAGTCCAAGCCGGACTAATCGATCCTCAAATAGCGTCTTCTTCATAGAAACAAGCGATGAGCGAGAGTAATCGTCCAGATTAAAAAATATCATAGGAGGTTAAATAATTACTGAATACTGTTTACAGCACTGAAATTATAAAAAGAATTTACATTGCCAGTGAAATTCGGCTCAATGCGTAGTTGAAATGTTGATTCGGATATTTCATTAGACGTTCGAATGATGGAAAACTGGTGCTCGAGTATCGGGGAATTACTGAATTGCTCAATTATTCGCAATGTTATTTTTTCGCCGTGTTATTTGTTATTTATGAGGAAACTTGCAGGATTATTTTTAGAGCGTACGAAAGAAAGAATATCTGTCTTTTTATTTTTTGCTGTGGGAACCACTGGATTTCGTTTCGATCAACTTAATTTTAGACAAATTCGGGTTTTCGCCATGAATTGCTCTTTTTGTTTTCTTCGTTCGACTTTTAATAAAGCTTGTTGTTTCTTTTATTTGACAGGTGTTGGCCTTTTTGGATTTCCTCGGCTCGAGTGCGGGGATCTGGGTCACGGTGACGAGTCTGGCGGACGTGAGTCCAGGTGTGGAGTCGGCTCTGATGGTTGTTGGCGTCCTGTTCCTCGCTGGAGGAGTTCGATATTCCAGGACGGGTTTGGTGCCGATCTTCCTGCCTTTGTTGCTGGGTGCTGCTATAGCGGTGAATTTCTTCTTCATAGATTTTTCAGTTTGGAAAATTCTAAGAAATACAGTAGTTGCCATCGAAAATGAAGACCCAGGACGCTGATTTTTCATATTTTCGTTTTGCAGTTTACTGAGTTTAGTCATAAAAGGGGGAAAATCAACTTTGATTCTGAAATACACCTGTACAGCACACAATTTTCGAATACTGTACCAAATTAAGGTGCTTATTGGCTAGTACTGGTTTACCGGAATAATTTTCGGGATTTAGGGGGTTATACTCGACTTGACAGCATTTGCCAAAAATAAAAGAAATAGTGTTTTTTCTCGTACTTGGCGTGCTTTGAAAAATCCTGATTGCAGGTGGGGACGAATGCCAGAACATTTTGGCGCAAACGCAAAGTTGAGGTCGAGTGGCGATTGGTTGTGATAGGAGCTTCTATTGCACTTGCCGGCTTTTGTCTGTATGCTTTTGTCGAAACAAAACTGAACTATCCGGTGAGTTCCTTCTGTTCTCTTTTCAAACAAATTTTTCTTTCGTGAATTACGCGTGTCCCATTCTAAAATGCTGATATCTCTTGAAAAAATTTAGATATTTATTTTCAAAAAAATTCAACAACAAAATCGTTATAAATTTACTCTAATTTATAAAACAGGCTCATTTTCCTGAACATTTTTTCCATAATCTGTGCACAGTTTAGGAGGACTTGTTCTTGTTCTGACGTTTTTAGGCTCCTTTGCGTTCCAAAAGATCACATTCTGTGTGGTTTTTTTCTGCACAGTTATTTTCTTTGTCTTGAAGTTTCCACAAATTTTAAATTCTTTGGCGACTTTTTCCCAATTTTTGATGAACAAGAAAACCAGTTGAATGTGTTCCCATTGAATTGCGTGGGGAAAACGTGATCCGACATGCGGACGTTCCAAAATACTGTACTTACGAGGTCTAATTCCGTTCGCATCTCGGAGCCCCTCTCCGCTGCATTTCATCGATATTTATTTGATAACTCTTCTCTACAATGTTTTAATTTTCGTGAATTGTCGTATGCAGGTCGTGCACAGTGTGTGGCACATGGTGATTGCCTTAGCACTGGTGTTTCTGCTCCCACGTTTCCCTCGTCACGAGCCAAACCTGAGTCGAGACTCGGTGCGTTACTCGGGCACAGAATTGATGCTGGTGACGAACCATTCGGAAATGGATGATGACGCCTGGCTGATTGATGGAGCGGAACGAACGGCTGAGTCTTGACGGGCTTGAATATTTTCCAGTATTTGTTCAGCAAAAAAAAAAAAAAGACGAAGGTTTTGATTTCCTGGAACTTCACCAGTGACATGTAGATTCAGAGGAATTTTTGGAACGAAACAAAAGATAGTTGCTTTCGGGATATTTCACTGCAAAATGCTTTCGAAGGCCCTTTTGAGGACAACAGTGTTACCGAGAGGAGGTCTCTCTTTTTTGAGATTTGCCTCGACAGCATTCCAAGATGGTTATTTTTGGACGACGACCTGGTCTAACTTTGAGAATTTTCGTTTCGTTTCCGGGTGTTTTTTTTTATGAAACTGTTGCTTTGCTTTTCTTGGTTCTTCTCTCTTCAACGCCCGACGTCCTGGACATTTTGATTTTATTTTAATGTTGTGTAGATGTCGCCGCTGTGTCTAGTCCAATAAGGTTCAGCCTAATGTTGAGTACAGTACTGTAATTACTGGAGTACCACGCGCACCTTTTTTCTAAAAATTAAAAGGAAAACATGGGGTGGTCATAGGCAGGAGGACAATTTAAAAAAATGTTGAAAGTATCACACTTGAATATAATGTGAATTTTTTAAAGAGCAGGAAACAATGTTGGAAGTTTCACACTTGAATATAATGGGAATCTTTGACAGGAACTTCGTAAAAATCAGAACAATTGAAAATTAATTGAATTTAGGTTGAATTCCTTTTCATATTTGAATTCTGGTGTCTCTAATTTTTGAAATACAGTCTTGTGGTTTTCCAGTAACAAAAAATTGGGTGCGTGTCTTACTCAGGGATAGAATTTTATCAGAATTCTAGGATTAAGAATTGGGGTGTTTGTCATACTCAAGGGCACGTGGTACTCTATTACAAATGGTATTAGGATCAACTTAGGCGAGTTTATTCTTGGAATCGGCCTAGTTGAGGTTGAATCTGTTTGACTAGTGACATCTGTTGAACATTCCAGAAATCAAGGTCGGTCGTTGGAGAACCCCTCTGCCTAATAAGTCCTGATGAGTTCATTGGAGGAATGATAATTCGATGCATTTAAAAGAAGAACCTCTGAGAGTGCAATTCCGTCCTGGTGACGTCTGTCCCGAAAAGGTGCATGAATCAGCGCGTAGAACTTGAAAGCAAGAATGGAATATTTTTTACGGAATCATTTCGGGAAATGATTTGAATGTTGCCGAAGCTCTGTGAGAATTCTTATGTGGTTCTCTTGTGCTTCGTATCCCAATGATTGAGGAAGTACTGTAGTCAGAAAATTGTAGTACGCGTTTTTTTAGTTGTAACAAAAGATTGAAATCATTTTTTAAAGCATTTTTTAAATCGTGCGTTGAAAAACCTTGGCTTGAGTCTTGCGGCGAAAACTTCTTTTTTTCGTAGTCTGAGGAAGAGGAAGAAAAAATTGAGCCGATTTCACGGTTGTCTTCCAGCAGTGTTCTCAGGACCCGCTCGGCATTTTTTGTGTGTGCTTAGCTTGGATGAGGCTGGCGAATAAATTCTAACCGCGAAGTAATTGACACTCGTATTTGCCGATAATTTTCCGAGTAACATTTTGGATCTTAACATGTCACGTTTTTAAATGTTCTTTAATCCGCAGATAATTTCGCCATGGAATCACCAGTGAACGATAGTGAAGATGGCGAGGAAAGTCTAGCCGTGGATTGTTTTCAAAATTATTCTCCGTCTGAGGTGTTTGTACAGAGTCTGGCGCGGCAAACAGACGAGGGAGACGTGGAAACCATTTTGTGTCATCAGCGAGACCTGTGAGTTCATTTTCCTCTTTTTAACCGAAAATAGCAAATTTTAGTTCCTTGAAAATTGAAACGAAGAATGTCGAAGGAAATTTTCGATCAGATTTCAGTTTTTTTATTGCATTTACACTCGGAGAGACTTGTAAGTCTATTTTGTCAACCCTGAGTTTTGGTAAAATGAAGCACAGTACAGTACTGTACTGTATAATTGAAATACGAGGTATGTTTGATTGAATGCTGTTGTGACAACGAGACGCCTTTTTTCAATAACTTTTGAAAAATGAAGATAAATTGAAGTGTGACCTTTGTCATTCCAGTGCATTCTGTTAGAGGATACTGTATACAGAATTGAATTTTAAAAATTGGCTTGCTTTTTGTCCACCCAATAGTAAACTAAAATTTTGCTTGTGAATCCATGAATGTCATTCATTCTAAAATGTGCAGTACCGTGCGTCGGATTTTCAAGTCTAAAGTAAAGAAAGGACTTGTCTTAATTTCCCGTAAACTCGGCAAATTATCCTTCGTTTTTCAGGAGGCTTTTTTGCTCAATGAAAATGTGACTCGTGCTCAAATGTTCTCAATAGAAATGTTGATGGTTAAAAAAAAGCGAGTCAAGCATAGTTCTGTACATTTTCTTCTACTGTCAATTACAGTAAAAAAAACTCGTTCAAGTGCGAACAGATGTCACTGGCTGTCATAGAAGATCCATGCCTCCTTTTTATGAGAACTCCATCTTGTATTTTAGGGTCTTCTTCTTTCTGAAAAGAAGGTAACTTTTACTAGAAAAATGTTTGCAGACTCTCGAGGTATGAGAAGACAAATGAAATGTTGGTGAACAGCACGACGGTCTCTGCGATGCGAAGCCAGAATGCCGCCGTGGATTTCAAACGACACGTGACGGTGTTGCGCGANTTGAGGACAACAGTGTTACCGAGAGGAGGTCTCTCTTTTTTGAGATTTGCCTCGACAGCATTCCAAGATGGTTATTTTTGGACGACGACCTGGTCTAACTTTGAGAATTTTCGTTTCGTTTCCGGGTTTTTTTTTTTAAGAAACTGCCGCTTTGCTTTTCTTGCTTCTTCTCTCTTCAACGCCCGACGACCTGGACATTTTGATTTATTTTAATGTTGTGTAGATGTCGCCTACAGTTTGCTGTGTCTAGTCCAATAAGGTTCAGCCTAATGTTGAGTACTGTAATTACTGGAGTACCACGCGCACCTTTTTTCTAAAAATTAAAAGGAAAACATGGGGTGGTCATAGGCCGGAGGACAATTTTAAAAAAATGTTGAAAGTATCACACTTGAATATAATGTGAATTTTTGACAGGAACTTCGTAAAAATTAGAACAATTGAAAATTAATTGAATTTAGGTTGAATTCCTTTTCATTTTTGAATTCTGGTGTCTCTAATTTTTAAAATACAGTATTGTGGTTTTTCAGTAGCAAAAAATTGGGTGCGTGTCTTACTCAGGGATAGAATTTCATCATGATTCTAGGATGAAGAATTGGGGTGGTTGTCATACTCAAGGGCACGTGGTACTCTATTAAAAATGGTATTAGGATCAACTTAACGCTCAAATAAGAACCTTAGCCGGATCAACTCCAACTTAGACAAACTGATCACTGTAGACAACTTGTAAGGTCTTTAGTTCCAGCCAGCAACCTCTTGGGGAGACGGATTATTCAGGACTACTCAAGATTGGAGGAATGATAATTCGATGCATTTAAAAGAAGAACCTCTGAGAGTGCAATTCCGTCCTGGTGACGTCTGTCCCGAAAAGGTGCATGAATCAGCGCGTAGAACTTGAAAGCAAGAATGGAATATTTTTTACGGAATCATTTCGGGAAATGATTTGAATGTTGCCGAAGCTCTGTGAGAATTCTTATGTGGTTCTCTTGTGCTTCGTATCCCAATGATTGAGGAAGTACTGTAGTCAGAAAATTGTAGTACGCGTTTTTTTAGTTGTAACAAAAGATTGAAATCATTTTTTAAAGCATTTTTTAAATCGTGCGTTGAAAAACCTTGGCTTGAGTCTTGCGGCGAAAACTTCTTTTTTTCGTAGTCTGAGGAAGAGGAAGAAAAAATTGAGCCGATTTCACGGTTGTCTTCCAGCAGTGTTCTCAGGACCCGCTCGGCATTTTTTGTGTGTGCTTAGCTTGGACGAGGCTGGCGAATAAAGTCTAACCGCGAAGTAATTGACACTCGTATTTGCCGATAATTTTCCGAGTAACATTTTGGATCTTAACGTGTCACGTTCTTAAATGTTCTTTAATCCGCAGATAATTTCGCCATGGAATCGCCAGTGAACGATAGTGAAGATGGCGAGGAAAGTCTAGCCGACCTAACAAAAGTTTTAATAAGAGGCAGACTCCACAAACATGTCTCAGACCGCGCCGTTTGTCTGCTCCCTCTGCACCTTTGGTAAAACACAGTAGTCGCTCTGGACACTCAAGTAAAAGGAGAAAAAAACCGAAAATAGCAAATTTTAGTTACTTGAAAATTGAAACGAAGAATGTTGAAGGAAATTGTCGATCATATTTCAGTTTTTTTATTGCATTTATACTCAGGGCGACTTGTAAGTCTATTTTGTCAACCCTGAGTTTTGGTAGAATGAAGTACACTACTGTATAATTGAATTACGAGGTATATTTGATTGAATGCTGTCTTTGTGTGACTATGAGATACCTTTTTTCATTAACTTTTGAAAAATGATGATACTGTAAATTGAAGTGTGACCTTTGTCATTCCAGTGCATTCTGTTAGAGGATACTGTATACAGAATTGAATTTTAAAAATGTGCTTGCTTTTTGTCCACCCAATAATAAACTAAAATTTTGCTTGTGAATCCATGAATGTCGTTCATTCTAAAATTTGCAGTACCGTGCGTCGGTTTTTCAAGTCAAAAGTGTAGAAAGGACTTGTCTTAATTTCCCGTAAACTCGGCAAATCATCCTTCGTTTTTCAGGAGGCTTTTTCGCTCGATGAAAATGTGACTCGTGCTCAAATATTTTCCTGAATGTTGATGCTTAAAAAAAAAAACGAGTCAAGCATAGTTCTGTACATTTTCTTCTACTGTCAAATAGAATAAAAAATCGTTCAAGTGCGAACAGATGTCACTGGCTGTCATAGAAGATCCATGCCTCTTTTTTATGAGAACTCCATCTTGTATTTTAGGGTCTTCTTCTTTCTGAAAAGAAGGTAACTTTTACTAGAAAAATGTTTGCAGACTCTCGAGGTATGAGAAGACAAATGAAATGTTGGTGAACAGCACGACGGTCTCTGCGATGCGAAGCCAGAATGCCGCCGTGGATTTCAAACGACACGTGACGGTGTTGCGCGAAATGAAGAAGGATCTGGACTACGTGTTCCGGAAAGTGAGAGTCTTGAAAAGCCGCATTAAGGACCGGAACCCGGAAGCTTTTGCAGTCGCCGAACGAAGCGTCAACTCTGGTCGACTCCGGTCCGATTCATCAACAGTTGACGAGGCTGACGAAGTTGAAGGAAAGACCTGACGGGTAACGTCACACACATTTCTGATGGTTTTATCACTTAATACTGAACTGCATGTGCAAAGCATTGGGTCCTGGATAACGGAAATCGTCAATTCCTGCTGAATTCCGTTGTGTGAATCAAAATTTCCCTTTAGGTCTTTTTTCGCGCGATAAAAAAGAAATGAAAAAAAAAAAGTATTGCGTTCACAATTTTTGGAGCCTTCTTTTTCAATGTTTGATCTGCTTTTGCAAAAATTTCAGCCTCAAAATCTGCCAAAATATATGCATTTTTGTCTGGAAAATTTCATTGCGTGAATAAATTTTTGTCAATAAAAATGTCGGCCTGTAACATTTTCTTGGTCGAGTTTTTTTTTTCAATACGGGTATCAACTGTCCTCTAGGAATTCCACTTTCTTGTGTGTGTTACAAATAAGTTTGATGTTGGTTTGAGATTGAGAATGCCATATATTTCAAATGTTTTTATTGAGCTGTGATGTATATCAACTATTCGGCTTAATGGTTGAGCAATTCAAGTCAGATGCTCGTCATCATCTCTACTAAGTTTTTGTTCTGGTTTTATTCTTAGGTTAATGAAATTTTTGTTCTAAGACAGCGTTTTCTGTGTCCGCGTGATTGGTGGACAATTGCTTGTGTTATTTTTTTTTTGGCAATGTGGAACTTGATTTACGGTCATGTTTTGATGTGATGGATGTTACAGTGTCGGAGCTTTAAAACAAATTCTTGAAAATAGACGGGATGTTCCATTCGAGAGAAAGAAAATGTTTTTTTTTCTTGGGTTGTCGAAGACGCCCGACGTCCATTTTAAATTATGCTTGGAATTCTCGTACTCTACACTACTGTCTGTAAAAAAAAAAATTATCCGCAAGTTTCAGATCAGCTGTACCAAAATGAGTTTTTCGCGCTCAATGGACTTCGCGAGCTTTTTTCGTCGAGGGTTCAGCACCTCGACAACGACGCGATCTGGAGTGAAAACCGGTCTTCTTATGTTGAATATGGGTGGGCCGCAAAACGCTGCTGAGGTTCATCCATTTCTTTTGCGACTCTTCTCTGACCGGGAGATTATCAAACTTCCTGTTCAGTCGTGGGTTGATTTCCTTTCTCTTTTGATTATTTTTATTAATTTTTCAAGTATTGATATCAACAGTATTTGTGCAGATAATTTTTGCATCCAAGGTGTAGATGACAAAAATCGAGGTTCTGAAGTCGTAAATTGATCATCGAGCTTTTCTGTCACAATATAAATGGATAGGAAATTATTTCTGTCTTGAATCAATCTTACAATTTTTTTAAAGATACTGCTTTTATACATGATTATCAAAAATTGATGATTTGAAGTAATTTTTCAAAAAATTCGATCAGGGTCGTGGATCTCTTGTACTATTATCGTGTCAGCAAAAGGTTGAAAAAATGGGTTTCTCTTGTGCAGAGTTTTGGGACCGTGGATTGCCAAACGACGAGCGCCGTCAATTGCGCAAAAATACGCTGAAATCGGCGGTGGTTCGCCGATTCTTCAGTGGACCGACAAGCAGGTTTGCACACTCGTGATATATTTCGGAAAACGAAGCACGAGAATTTTCGCGATTTTTATTTCAAAATTTCCCCGCATTCCGCAGTTACTTCAAAAAAGTTGAAATTTCGTAGAATCGTTGGTTGATTTTGATTTTTTAAACCTCTCTTTTTCGTGTCACGGTCTGGTATTGAAGATTAATCAACTACCTTTATTTGCCTCTTGAAGGGAAAATTGCTGTGCGATAAGCTGGACAAAATCTGTCCTGAATCTGGGCCACACAAGCACTACGTGGGATTCCGATACACTCCTCCATTGACGGAGCATGCGTTGGACGCCATGATCGCGTGAGTTGCTTCTTTTATTCTAAAAATTAATGGCCAAAAAANCGTGTCACGGTCTGGTATTGAAGATTAATCGACTAACTTTATTTGCCTCTTGAAGGGAAAATTGCTGTGCGATAAGCTGGACAAAATCTGTCCTGAATCTGGGCCACACAAGCACTACGTGGGATTCCGATACACTCCTCCATTGACGGAGCATGCGTTGGACGCCATGATCGCGTGAGTTGCTTCTTTTATTCTAAAAATTAATGGCCAAAAAATGGAAAGCATGCATATTTTCGAAAAATTCATTGTTCTATTTCATGAGATCTTTGAGCAAATTGTATCGCTGCGAAGTATTTGAATTTTTTAAAATTATAAACCTCAAGTTTGTAAAATTGTGGATGTTCTTCTCGAACAATGTTTTCAATTTTTATGTAACTTTTTTTTTCTAGGGACGGTATTGAACACGCTGTAGCTTTCAGTCAATACCCTCAATACAGTTGCGCAACTTCAGGGTCCTCCTTCAACGCGATTTATAACTACATGAAAAATAAAACGTGAGTGTCCTCGACATTTTTTCCCCGAATGCTGGTAATTTTTACTTCTCATATGTGTACAGTGACGGTAAGATGAAGTGGAGCTTGATCGACCGATGGGGAACGAACAGATTTCTCGCGAAAACGTTTGCAACGTTGATTCGGGGAGAACTGGAGAAATGTGATGAAGTCACGAGGAAGAATATTGTTTTGCTTTTTACTGCGCATTCTTTGCCCATGAAGGCTGTGGAAAGAGGTGATCCCTATCCTGCTGAGGTGAGTCTTCGTTCAATTTTGATAGGTGCTGAATGTTGAGATTCCTCTGAAATGTCATTTGTGAACGAAAAGTTATCCAAAGTTGAAGAAGGGGGAACTGCGAGTGAAGAAAACTCTTGCCCAAAAAACTTCTCATCTGGAATTTTTAAAATACTCTTGAGTACCATGCCCCCACGTGTATGATGCGCATCTTGATTTTTGAGACAACTTTTTTTGTAAAATCAATACCCGCTCAAGATGCGCAACTCGATTTTCTGTGACGCAAAAATCTATTTTATTTTATGCAATAAATAATGAAATTCGAAATGTAGACTACAGTGGTATAATTCAAACACATTTTTGCTGCATTTTCATTTGCCTGCTTGATTTGAGCCTGAACATGCCGTTGGGCCCCGAGATCCGGACGTAATTGGTGTTTGGTCCTCCTGTTCATCTAAATTTAAGAATGAAGTTCCCAAGAAATGAAATGAATTTTTTTTCGCAACTTCAAAATGCAGAAATTAAGTTTGCAAAAGAAAGCTACACAAAATCTGATCTTCTGGTATCAGAACGAATTCAAGAAGCAAACATAAAAAACAAGTTAGGTACGCAGTGCACACATGAAAAAGAAAAAAACTCTGAAAAAAGAGCACCCAATTAACTCGTTTTTGATGATGAATCCGAGTAATTTGAAAGTTAAACTTTTAATTTGTAAACTAGAAAGCTATTTGTTCGAGATATGAACGTTTAGAGTAGTAAAAAGAAGAAAAAAAATTTTTATAGAAATTTTGGAGAATTTTCTATATCTTGAGGCAGTGTCCAAGTGTTCAGCGGTTTTATAGTTGCAAGTCTCGAGTCGAATTGTCCGCCTGTCGGGGTCCCGCTTTACATTTTTACTTATTCTATTCTTTGAAAAGGCATTTCTTTAACATTTTTTGAATGTGTTAAGTATGATGCTCCCTGACATTATAGAAAATTCGCGTTAAAATGTACATTTGAATATGACGCGCACCTCGCTTTTTGAGCCTAATCTTGAAGGGTACTTCATTGTGCGTGGTATTTGATGTGCTGAATATTTGATTCGATAACTGATTGAAGTTGTGATGCAGTTCAAACCAATAAATTCATCTCCGATCGTCAATTTTTTCGCGCACAGGTTGGAGCCACGGTTCAGCTTGTTATGGAAGAGCTCAAATTCGCATACCCGTATCGGTTGGTGTGGCAGTCAAAGGTTGGCCCCTTGCCTTGGCTCTCGCCAGCAACAGATGCAGCTATTGAAAGCTACGTGAAGCGAGGAAAGAAGCACCTGATGCTCATTCCGATCGCATTCACTTCGGAGCACATTGAAACCCTTCACGAATTGGATATTGAGTACAAAGAACTAGCTGAGAAGGCTGGTGTGGAGAAGCTGCTGCGGTGTCCTGCTCCGAATGACAATTCGGTGTTCATTGATGCTTTAGTGGACGTTGTGGGGAAGCATTTGGGTGAGAAACGCGCAGTACCTCCTCAGTACTTGCTTAGGTGTCCTATGTGTGAGAATCAGACGTGTGGTGAGGCCAGGGCCTTTTACAAGAAGAACGCCTTTGAATTCGCCTAAATGTGAAGGAAACGTTGTTTTTTTTCTTTCGCTAATCTATTGAAAAACCAGGGTCGAATCAACGAAGTTGCAGCTTTTTTCTTCTATAGACTTTCAAATTGAGTTTATGATCAGAAAGTTGAATGATTCTAAAATGGCGAATGCTCAAAACAGCGAAAGTTTGAAAAAGAGGCTGACAAAATAATGCCTTTTGTTTTAGTCTTTCAGTCCTGATTATGTCGAAATTGGAGCCGATTGTTTTTTCTGGATTGTTTGCCGTGAAAAGAATCTTTCCAGGCGTGGACTTTGCATTCCTTATTCGAATCAGCTTTGTGCCTTTCGGAGGTATTTGAATCTTATGGTGATGGCTTTTGTGTTTTACTTCGTGTGTGAATTGTACTTGGGAGGGAATTCCAAGGTGCTGATGATTTGGATCTTGCCTCGTTGTTAAGGTTGGAGTTTGATGACTAAAATAATTACGGTGTTTCTTCTTGTCTCTTTGTATTTTTTTCAATTTTTGTGTTTGTTTTCAGTTGGAATTTTTTAGCTGATGATGCGATTTTGTTCTCCAGAGATTTTTTGGTTGTTATTGCGGATGCGCCCATAATGTCTCAGAACGGTGTTCAAGCAAAAACATGTCGTGTGTGCCAAAAACCTGCTGTTCATTCGTGTTCAAGATGCCTGGCTGTGAACTATTGCTCAAAGGATCACCAAAAAGTTGACTGGAAGGTGCATAAGCTGAGTTGCTTCCCTATAAAGGTTGTGGATTCAGAAACTGTTGGTCGAAGATTCATTGCTACGCAGTAAGTAATGATTACTCCGGGTTAATCCTGACACTGTACAATATTTATTTACTTGGGTACCATGTGCCCTCAAGTAAGATGTGCACCCGCTTTTTTCAGCGTAAAATTTAAATCAAAATGTACCCTCCACCATTTTACCACCGCATTTTTTGAAACTGAAAATTCCTATGCAGGTGGACTCTCTCTTTCTCTTTTACAAGGATCCTGTCTACAAACATTTTTTCTTTTTTGATTATTTTGGTCCCATAGGTCTGGGACCGAAAAGAAAAATCTTTATCCGGGGAAAATCGTTGTGGAGAGAGTCTATTGGGGTTTTTCTGGATGTTGATGTAAAACCTTGAATTTACAAGTAATTGAACAGATGTTCTTGGCAATATACAATTTTTTTTATCTTAACTGGTTGTAATTGAAAATGCTTGGTTGCATTGAAATTAAATCAAACACTGGATATATAAATATAAATATATATATGAATATATTCTTTGGTATATTCAATCACAAGCAAACACACATATTCAAAACATACAACACAGTCAAGAAATAGTTGTAGGTAAGTTAAAGAAGTCTTGC